TAAGCATTTGACAATCCGTATTAAGTTAGGTATATTTAAGAAAATGAGGAATCATAATATCTAGTTTTCTTTATGCAAGACACTATACTTTCATTATATGAGTAAATAATATGTAAAGATCATAATTGATCTTTCAATAGTGGAATAAATTCCATCTGGTTCAACTCTATTAGTATAAGGTTTTGGTCTTTGTGATATTCCTGAGAATAGTATAAATGCCTTAAAGAACGCAAGAACAAAAAATTTGACAATGGTTAGCAATAATTGTGGTACGAATGATGAAGGTATTGGTATATTATTGAATAATGGATAATTAAGGAGAGTTAAAGCATCATATGCTGAAAAAAATCATAATCTTGCTAAGTAAGTAAATAATATTATACTAGGAAATACTTTGATGGTGAATTAGAACTTGAGTTAATCCCTTAAGGTATGGATTGATAATAAATAAATTGTAATAAATTATAGCAAAATTCTATTTTGATTAAATTTGATTATATTATCAAAGCGAAAAATTTTTTTTTTCTAAAATGATTGAAAAAGAGATCTTATCAAGATTTGAGAAATCGAATAACAAAAAGAACTGCCCATGAATTCAAAGTATATGAATTTAGGAATTGGAATACCTACACTTATACCAACATTTTTAGATCTAAATATTACAATATATTTTCATACCGAAATAGTTGTTGTTGGTCTAGTTAATTATCCTATAAAAGGATAAGAATTAGGAGATTTAGTTAATGCAGGAAAAGAATCTATTACTCTTAATTTATGTTCATCAAAATTCCTAGTAGTGGATTATTTGGAATGGTAGGAGGAGGCCATCCTGATTTAACTGTATTAGGAGATATATAAATAAATAAATAAGGTGATATTGCTAATTGGGTTATACAAGGAAGAATGGTTAAAGGAATGGGAAGTACTATGGATTTAATTGATTCGGGTTCTAAAGTTCTTGTTGTTATGGAACACATTGCAAAAGGAGAAAAAAATTATTGAATGACATCACTCTCCCTATTACAGGACTTAAAAGAGTTGATTAATTTATCACTGGTAATTATTTATATATTATTCTTTAGACAAAGCTGTTTTATTAAAAGAAATGAACAATTAATTTTGACTGAAATAGCAGCTGATACTAATTTAGAATGGGTAAGAGCTAACACTGGATTTCAATTCACTATTGCAGATAATTTAAAAATAGTTGAAATATGAAATTATATATAAATTTGAAATATGAATTATATATAACTCAATCATCATCAAAATTATGTTTCAATCTTATGTCTCTTTTTTATAACTCTTATTCCAAATTTATTAAAAAATTATCTAATTAATCAATTACTTCCTTATTCTCTTTTATGTATTCCACCTTACTACAAATTAACTTCTAAAATAATGATAAAGTTTTCTATATGTTTTCTTAAAATATTAAATATTTATTTACATTTATAAATCTCATCTAAAGCTTGCTATAATTCATTTATCTTAGTCTTGCTCCAATTTTCTATTTCATTTAGCTATTTCTTATATAATTCAGCTTCCTTTTTATAATTCATCGATTAACTTTCTTTACCTTATATTTTATTATTCATCTAACCACAATTTTATATGATATTGTTTAATTCAATATTACTATTTTTTGCTTCTCTTATTTATTCTTATAAAATTTTATTTGTCTCAAATAAAATCTCTTTCTCTTTCTCTTACTAAAGTAATTCCTTTTACAATCTTTATATTAAATAATCCTAATTTTTCTTATAAATCCATGATTCATCAATTTAACTCTAAAAATCACCTAATATCTAAATAAAACTTTGCTTTTCTATACTATTTGTTATTTATTTTTTGTCAAGTTGAAGAATCATTTTTTTTAAGTTCTGTATCTCTAATTGCTATTTCCTTTCTTTTTATTCTAATTATTATATGATGTTTTTTTATTTTATAATATTTTCTTCCTCATTTTATAGTTTTTATTTTAACTTATAATTCTCTTCTTCAATCTTTATGAAATATAGCTTTTTCGCTTCAAATTCATTTAATTTTTCTTCAATTTCTTTTTTCTCTGTCTTCAATTCATCTAATTCTTAAACTTTCTGAGTAATTTAATTATTTGTATCCTCAATTTTTCTTTATTATGAAATAAATTTTTCTTATTATTATTAATGCAACTCCTCAATAAATTTTTAAGTTTTATTCTATGTTTCTTAATACTCTGATTCAGTTAAACCTATTTAAATTGATAAATTTTGAATTTCTAGTTACATTTATTTTAATTATTATTAAAGATTATCTTTTTCTTCTTTAAGTGTACCATTTTAATAAATTAAAATCTTTATATAAATATAATTATACCTATATTTCTTCTTTTTATTGTTTATAATTGTTTTCCATTAATTAAAATTACTCTTTTATTTATTATGTAATAGATTGTTCTAATTCTATTCGTTTATTAGTTTCTTCTAACTAAACTTTCATTTATTCAATATTGACTCTATGAATTTCCTCTTACTCTATAATTTTTTAAGATAATGAATGAGATTATTATTTGAGCTCTTAGATTTATTTATCTTTCTCTTTTGTATTTTTCTATTCCTACAATTACTGCTCAAGTTAAAGGATGTAAGTTCTCTGTTTATCTACTTTCTTTTATACTTCTTTTTAAGACAACTCATATTGCAAAATTAACATTTCTGAACGTTTAAAATTACTTTGTATTTAAGCTTCTAATACTTTAAAAAGAAGTATTACTCCAATTTGTTAGCTCAACTTATTTCATAACCCTCTCTGAATCAATATTCTTAAGTTTTAAATGCAATTGTTCTACTTCTTTTTGTAATTATTTCTCAACTAAATTAAGTCTCTATAGATTATCACAGAATTAGAAATACTTTATTTTCCATTTATAGACTTCCTATTAATTTATTTTGTCTTTAAAATTCTTCTTCTGATCTGATAATTTCTATTTCATCATCACTCATTTCTTTTAATAAATATTAATCATCTTAAAAAAGAATTATGAAGATTAATAAGAATTTAATGAATACTAATAAGAAATTAATAATCATTATTAAATAAAGTATTAGAAATGTTTATTCTATTAGAGTTTATTTCATGTAATTCATAATAATTTTGACCAAAAATATCAAATAAATCATTATTATCTTGGTATATCATAATTACTCATTCCTTCATCTTGTGGTTTGAGTGGTTCATAATACCATTTTTTAATTTTGAAAGGACGGCTTTTATCATATTTCCATATCTCCAAACTTTCATTAACAGTTGTCATAAGATCTTTCCAAAGTTCTTTAGCTCTTTTTCTAGCTTTTGTACGATTCTGTAGCAAATATTTACCGACAGGAAATTCACCACAACAATTCCAACAAGTTAAACAATTGTTCATTGTAATTAAACCTGGATATTTGTTATTAATTTTATCTCTCAATTTATCAATCATATTTGCTTTACTTTCAAAATTTTCTCCTATAATTTCTAATATTAAGTATGCAATAAAAGGAATATTTGTACACATCAAAACAACATACCCTGCCAGGACTTTTTACCTATCGTAATTTTAATCATCTTATAGGCTTGAATAAATAATTGTTGAAATACTAAAAGTCAGAGTGAGTAGAACATTTGAAATCTAATCAATTTTATTAAGCCTTTTATTACTATAAGGCTCTATATATATACTAAACAAGAGGTAGATAAATGTCAAAATTGAAGATACTGCACCCTATAAATAATAGATAACATAATACCATAATTATAACATTTTGAGCTTGTATACAGATTATAATACTGATAAATGACCTAATATAAATTCTAACGAACTCCCAATAATAAATAATTCTGTCTTTATCATTTGAGTATTCATGATAAAAGTATCCCCATGATTGCATATATGAAATTTAATCAAATTTATTATACCATTTTCCTACTCTTAATTGCCAAAGGAAGACTAAAGGTAAAAGAAGAAATATAAAGAATCCAGGATATGCAAACCATTATAACCACTCAGAGTGAGTTGATGTATCATATAAATAGGATACATTGGCTTAAACATAATTATCGCCACTAATAGTTCTCTTAGCAATTAGATTTAAAAATTCAATTAAAAATGTAGGTTATAAAAATATAAACATATAAATAGCCATTGTATATAAACTCTTCCATTTTAATCTATTAATTAAAATAAGGAAAAGGATGATAAAAGTATTTACAAAAATACACATAATTTATAGAAGTAATGACCAAATTAATCTGGTATAAATTATGTCGGCCTCAAACATATTTTCCTTTGCTAAAATGCAATCTAAGGCATTTCCCATAGATTTAGCAGGCATAGTAACAGTATTCATTGCCTATATAGTATCTTAAGGAATTGAAATTTTAAAGCTTTCTAGAATAGAGAGTAATTAAATGAAATTGTTAAATATTTTCATTAAGATTGCTGCTTGATCTAAAGTAGCTTTAGCAGATAAAAGTTTAAGTCTTCTTAGAATTTTCATAGTAACAACTTTTTCCATTCTATCCTCATGTCCTTTTACTGATTAAATGGTGCTATAAATAGTAAAAAAAGAAATAAGGATTATAAGAATAATATTATTTAGATTATCCTATGGACATTCCCCACATTCATATTTACCTGAAATAGAATAAGCTTAATCCCAATGTATAGCATAGATATCACATTCTTCACAAAGTGCTCCAATATATCCTTCTTAACAGATATCATTCCCAACATCATAACCACCTTTACAGTTAATTTCTTTGTTAAAACATTTTTCAATTTAATCACTTTAGTAATGAGGTCGCCAATGATTATTTTTTGTTTTAATTCTATTGGATTCAGCATCATCCATAGTTTTAGAGATTAATGGTTTACAAAATTCAGCTTTATTTACTAATGCATATAAACCCCTTTCACATTTGTTACAAGTTCCCGATTTTCTTGAGTAGGATTCTCCAAATTCACATTCAACTGATCTAATTCTAACTTTTAATGTGTATCTAGTATCAAAACCCATACATTGAAATGGATATTCATCATGATATATGGGTATATTAACATGACTGCTATTGAAAACTGCATCAAGAGTGATAAAAGTGTAAGGATCAAAATTAACAATTTGATTTGAATAGTTAAATCCTTATACTTCATTAATTTAAAATTCTCTTCTTGTTTCACTTGGGAAAGTTTATGTTTCATTGTCTTTCGTTGTTAAAACATCTGAAGTTAGATCACATTTCTAACCATGTTAATAACTCATAATTTTATTTTATTTGTCAAGAAATACTATTACAATTGATTAATTTTCAAAGTTTCTCATTTATTAACCACTTTTAATAACAATTGGATAATGTAACCATCCAGTATATGAATTAATTTAACCTTATTTTTATAAATCTTTATTCACTTTTACACCTAATTAAGTAGGATATTCAGAAACATCATCTCCATATTTTTTTGCCTTATTGCCAACAAAAGTATTACTTGTAAGATGATAATTATTAATTCCACTTTCAACAACAGCAATAGCACCTCCTATACTTGCATTATTTCCATGAAATGTATTGTCTGCAATATTTATTCTATGTTATATTGTACCTCCTTCTTTTGGATAAGATTCAAAATATACACATCCTCCTCTTCCAGTAACTATTGAATTAGAACATGAACATAAAGTTAAGTTAGTATTTAATCCATAAATTGATATACCTCCACCATGTACTGCCTTTACATCTTATATATTTAATTGATCCAATATTATATGTGATAAATATGGAGGATTAGGAATTGCATAACTAAAATTATACTTAGTTTAATTATTTATTTCCTCTTCTAATAATCTTTTTTATTGCAAAGGAATATTAGTAAATTCATGTATTTTTTTGGCTGTTAAATTAGATTATAATGGTGTATCAATCAATTAATCAATCTCAACTTACTCTCTAAAGTATTATTCACTTGAAATAGCAAAACATCCATAATAAGCTGATTCTGAGTTTGAACATCTACATGAACTCATTTCAACTAATGAATTTTATCCAAAATTTGAAACCCTCATTATTTGAACCAAACCTCCATGACATTCTTTGCAGTTTACTCTATTGATAGCTACATTTTTCAATATTAAACGAGTACTCTCCTAAATATAATCAAATAACATTAATGCTGGATTAATTTTCAATTCTTAGTATTCTACTCTTATTTAAAGAACTATACACAATCCATTTTTAGTAATAGAAGAACAATTTAAATTATCTGTTGAAATTGATGAAATATTTCTTAACTAAACTGAATCAATTAATATTGGATTCTCTAATGGTTCTAATATTTCTATATAAGGTCTGTATGATAATACACTATGTTAAGATTCTAATGTATTCATTCTAATTAATGTTGCTTACCATATTGATATAAATCCATAATAAAATAGACCTTCTGAATAAGTATTCTAAATATCTATCTATCCATTATCTTATTCAATAGCAGCTATTCTCTTAAGGAATAAGAATTTTTCTATTTACTAAAAAGATCCTAATTACATTAAATAGTCCAAAGAATTTGATTAATTACCTTAAATCTTAACTGATTCAAGTGTCATTTTCTAAATTTTAATAGTTTTTGAATAAAATAGAGTTTTTATAGCTAGACCACTAAGAGCATAACAATTTGAAATTATTGAATCTTGAATTCTGAAATTTTATTATTTATCGTAACTTATTAAAAAGATTCCACCTCCTTCTCCTCTAGTAAAACAATCTTTTAATTCAGTATTTAATATTTTCATATCTAATTATGATGCCATTGAATCAACATATAAACATCCTCCTCTTGATGATACTGCTCCATTTAAAGGAGTATAAGCATATTTCATTGAAATATTTTAAAGAGTTATCTTACCTTCTTTTAAAGCTCTTATAAATAAAACTCCACCTAATTTAGCAGTTGAATTTGAGAAAATGCAATTGCTCATCTCTAGATTGAATGCAGATATATAAAGATGTCCACCTTCTGTTATTTCATTGATTTAAGGGATTGAAGTTTTGGTTTAAACATCAAAGTTACTATTTATCATAGATATATTTGAAATGATTTAAGTTCCTACTTCTAAATAAAGAACTGCTCCAAAACCTTCAACAGAATTTGATCTCCATATACAATCCTATAAAAACAAAGTTCCAACTACACTTCTCATTAAAAAAGTTGGATTGCTAGGTCTTAATGATCCATCTATCTCCATTTTATGATGATTATTTTAAAAATACATATGATTAATTTATACAGTTTACATTTAAGTAGAATCTATCAATATTGCAGACGAAGGAACTGCTAAAACTGTTGTAATAATTTGACATTATATTACTTAAACTCCACTAATAATTATTTTTTCATAGTAATCAGCAGTTGATGTATTATAAATTAAATTACTCCATGATGATATACCAACAAATGAATTATCTCTTCCAATTAAATTAAGTAATTAGATATTCAACAATTCTACATCTTTGTAAGGGTTATTTATAAATAAGCAATAATTATTTCTTATACTTAATCCTTCCTTTTAATAACAATTAAGATTAATAAATTTAGTGTTCCATACTTATTCTACATAAAATATTGCTAAATCTGGATTCTCAATACTATCAAAATCTGAGACTACTAAAGTATTACTTTTTTCTACTCTTATTGAAGCACTTGTAGCTGCTTCCCAAATTGTTTCATCAAATCCTATTGTATTTATTTATTTAATAATTAATCCTTTCATTGTAATGTTAATAGGTATGTCATATTTATTTTATATTTCTGTTATTAATATTAAACATGATGGAGTTAAACAAATAACTTAATCAAATTCAAGATTAATAAATTACAACTTCAATCCTGAAAATTCAGCATCACCAACTCTTATTGTATTTAATTCATATTGTGTTTATATCAATCTACCTTTATATGTGAATTTAGTATTCTTCATATAAACATCACTTAATTCAATTGTTGTTATTTTGAATAATGAAGTATAATTAACTTTTGAATCATAAATCTAAAAATCATTCACTTTTATTTATTACATGGTAGTGAAATCAGCTATTCCTCTTGAATTATTGTATTCAACATTTCTCATTAGTAAAGAATTAATTATTACCATACCCATTGGTCTATCAACAATTTTTGTACTTAAAAAGGCTCCATCATTTACAAAGTAACAATCATAAAATTATGTTTAAGTTATTAATAATTTACTATTCCATTCAGGAGCGGTTAAAAAATTAACTGATTAAAGCTCAAAAATTGCTTAGCTTTCAACAGCAATATCGTAAAATTTAACATTTTCTAATTTAATATTCATATAAGGTAAAATGATATCAGAATCATAAGTTAAACCAAAAGGTTTGGCTTAGAATGTAATGTCTGAACTAAGCAAATAATTTTAAGATTAAATAACAACATCTTTTAAATAGATTTCATAAGTGTTAAGAAGTGAAGTAAAGAATGGTTTTTACTTCTTATGTTTAACAGCTTCTGAACTATAAGGTGTTGTATATGAATTTTTATCTTCATAATGACTTTAAGCATGAAGGTTCCCAATTTTAACATTTTAAAGTGAGAATTTAGATCCAGTATTATTTTGGAATATCAGGCCGAAAGGAATTTCATATTTTGGAATATGTTAAGATATTGGTTAATTTTCTAAACCATAAGCTGGATATAATTCAAATCCATTAATAGAGACAGAAGTAAAATAAGCAAAGTAAATATTCCTTTAAATAAACCACTGAATCCTTTCATTAGGATTAATTGAATTAGTTTTAATTTTTAATTCTAATTCATTAATAGAAAAGACATTCTTTCTAATATTGGTTGTAAAATAAGTATCTTTTTAGAAGAAACATTTTGAATTATCTCCAGATTAATATTAGAAATTAAGAATGATAGTAATTTTGCTGACTGCTTTTTTATTCCATTCTTAAAATTTTTCTGATATCGTAGAAGCTAATTTATCTTCCAAAATGAGGAAGGTAGTTTTGGATGTAATATCACTGAATTATGAATTGATTTTCCATTCTGTATTAGAATTTGGTTAATTTTATTAACAATCTGCATTAATAGTGATTTCATCATATCTATCACAAGGAGTTAAACAATCATTTTTATAAATACATCTACCTATTTTAGTATCATAATAATAATTATCACCATCCTCACATTTAAATGATAATCTTGAATATTTTAGATATGTTGTATCAGTAGGAGCATAGAATTTATTAATTAGAGCAATTTCAATTTAAGAACGATCTCTACAACCAATAGTATATTCTGGACATTCTATACAATCAGAATCATCAATTGAAGAACTAAGAGATGATCCAACTTTACTTATATCACATTTATTGCAATATCCTTTTGTACCTCTGGCTTAGAATTCTGTACAAAAAGGTCCTCCTTTTTCACAATATCTAAGATCTTCATTTAAAAAAGGTCCTTTTTAAATATCTCCAGGTGTACATTCATAACAATAAGGACCTAATACTTTTTTATCCTCATCAAAATCATAGTCAAAATATTCAGAATGATGAACAGATTGTAATGATAAACTATAACATCTTTTACAATATCCATTTTCTGCACATTTTTGACATTTACCTGTAGACATATCAACAAAGAAACCATCTAAACATCTTAAACACCGCTTTTTCAATTCATTTAAAACACAAGATTAACATAAATAATCTTGCATTAAAGAAGAACAATCCATTCTGCATTCCCAATTTCCTGAATTATCATTTTTATATAGAGTATATCCAATATCACATTATAAACACTATTATTTCAAAAGAGTTTCTTTTTTATATGTTAAACAACCTTAATTTGGTTTATTTATTGTATCAAATATAGTACATAATTTTTAATCATCAGATAAAAAATATCCATCTTCACATAACATACATTTTTCTAATGATTATTCTATTAATAATTATTATATGTATAATACCTTCTTTATCTAGAGGATCAAAATCATTTGTTAAAGTTGAGAATGAAGTTTCACTACCAACACTCGGATCACCAACTTTTGCACATAATTTACAATTTGCAATTGAACAATCTGTACATCCTGTTCCTATAGCATAAAATGTCTAACTAAATTTATCACATTCTCTACATCTCAAAATATATTGAGATTCTATTGATTCTATTTCTGCTGTTGTTGGTTCTGGACTATCAGGTTCAACTACTTTTAATTTCTCTCTCGTTGGTCTTATTATTAAAATATTATATACAATGATGAACTAGATTTATATTCACATCTCTTGCAATTTGTACCACATCTTATACAAGTTCTTCTATTCAAAGCTGGAACAAATGTACTTTAAGTAGTACTTGTACAAAATTCACATCTTTATGCTATACGAAATTCTTTAAATAAATCCTCATAAAACTTCGTTTCGTTTGTTTCATAATTAAGAGTAAGTAAAAGTGCATGATTATTATACTCATCCCATGGTTTCTCATTAAGATTTATTTAATCTTTTCCAAAATGACAAGTATCACAACCTGTAAAGCATGCAATACATTAACTATAAGTTTCTATTTCATTAATTTTTGTTCTAGTTGTAAGTAAACTAAATCCTTCATTACAAATCAAACAATTCTTCTTTATAGTAATTATTTGCTTTCCTGAATCATCTATAGTTATGTTTTTATTAATTGAACAAGACTTACAATTTTCTGGACAAGGATCACAACCTCCCAATATATCACTATATTCATATCCATCTGAACATCTAATGTACAAATTATTTAAATCATAAGAAAATTATTTAGATACTGGAAGACATGTCTAATTTTGATATTTACAAAAATGTTCACATCCATCACAACTTTAAGTTGTAAACTAAATTTTCATTCTATTTTATTACATCCTAAAATCCACTCTTTACTACATAAAATAGTTGTCTTGCTGGTCTCTCTATTTTATGAAATACTGATATTCCTGTTGATTTGGTCTTGTAATCATATGTACAAAGTCTAGTCTTGTCCCTAAAATATCTATTATTTTTACCATGTTTGACTGTTGTCTAAACAATCACCACAATAGTAATTATTTGCTTCATTAAATTTTATGTATGGACTATTATATATTATCTTTTTACCATTCTACACATATTCTTGTTCCTGCCTTCAATTCTAATTCATTATGATCTTGTGGCAGTGAAAATAAAAAATATTACCATTTGCACAGTTCGCAATTTCCTTTTACTACATTCAAGCAGTTATTAAATTTTTCATTTGTCTCATATACTTTCGTGCTTATTTCGTAACCAAAATCAAACAAGATAGTTAATAGAGTAAATAAAAAAATTTTCATATTTAATTATCATAATCTAAATCAAAAAAGAAATTTAAATACGTTTTTTTATATAAGCAATCTAGAATTATATATCTACTCCTTTTTACATTCAACAACATTGTGAAACTCAAGATTTTTTCAAAAATTAATTAAGATTATTATCAATATTTACAAATAAATCATTATCTAATACCATAATAAACTATTTTACAATTTTTTTACCTATTTTCATTTAATATACTGTTTATCAAAAAACTAAAATCAAAGATTACATAAAATAGTTTATAATCTTATGATACTAAAAATATATTTTCAAAAATATTATAATTCTGTTTCAATATTGATGGTAAAATGAATTAATATTAATTAATTAAATTACTTAAATTACAAAAATTACTCAAATTTTCCATTTTATTAATCTATCTTCAATTATTGAAATTGTTCTACTATTTAAGAGACGCTCACTAAATAAATAAATCAAAGTTGGTTCATAAAAAGAATCATACGCCTTAAAAACCATTAATTCTAACTTTTTTCCTATACCTTCATTTGGAAATAATTTATTCATTACATCATAGCAGACAACTAAATCATCTTAAAATAAATAATTTGTGCTAGGATCAATATGAGAAAAATTGAATTTTAATTATTCTTTTAAAAAATCATTCTTTTAAACATTAACAATCAAACAGGCAAGCTTTAATTATTATAATGCACTCAAGGATGGTTTTTCAAGTTCCTTTTTTAAATCTTAAATATTAACTAATAACTTCACTCCTTAAACATATGCATCTATAGCTATATTTAAATTATCTTAGAATGTTTAAAAATCATTAACAAAGTCAGATAAATTTTTACAAACAAAAGGATAAAATTAATTATAATTCATCATGAAAGGTTTAGTTTAGGTTATAAAATTCCCTTTATTAAAATATATATTTTCAATGATTTAATTAACAAATTAGCATTCTTCATCCTCTTAAGGTGTTAGTTCTATTGTCAAAGTTGGATAAATTCGTTTTAATATAATAGCTAATTTGATAATACTAACTTTATCCTTGACATCTTTAAAATTACTTTTCAAAACATTTTATACTTTTTAATAAGCTTTATATAAGATTCCTGGATGTAATTGATGTTATTAAACAAGTTCTGATATCAATTTATGAATTTGATGAAAATCTGAATTCATAATCTAATCTTTGACTATTTTAATTAATTTTTCAAATGTATCAATATTAAAATCAGTAACTCTCCAACCCATCAGTAATTCATATGCTTATTCGATACTTGGTATTTCATTTGTTTCTTAGAGTTTTTTTAAAAGTTCAATTTTTATTTTTTTCGATTTATAATAATTCATATTGAGGCATTTAAAGTTAGCTAGGATTATATCATCAATTGTTTAAATAGATTTAGGTAGATGACCTTTTTAATTTAAATAGACATCAATATAATTATTTTAACCTTGTATTTCATTAATTTAATTAAAATCTTTTAGTTTATCTCTTAATTGATCACATGATGATAATAAATTAGAAATTTGAGATGGTGAAAATTTGGGTATATTTTCTTTAAGTTTCATGATAATTTCATCATCAAAAGGGGCTAAGATATTATAAATCAATAACCATTTATGTAATTACTCAAAATCCACTTTTGCTGTAAATTCTGCTTCAATTTAAAATTTTATGTATGGAGCAATAAATTAAAAATTAAGGCCTATTTACTCACAAATGTTTTTATTATTTTATAGATATTAAGCATATTTGTAAATGAATTCTATTACAGATTCATCATTAGAATTTTTAATAATTGCTTTAATCACTTGCTAAATTAAATTATGAGGATAAATTTGCAGATTATCTGGTTATAAATATTTTAAGTAATCTATTTTAAATTTATGAATAAAATCAACTAAAATTTCACAAGTTCTTTAATTTAATTAGAACTAATTACTTTAATTTAATAATCTAATAATGGCTCTTAAATGTTTTTCTTAAATATTCATTGTAGTTAGATATTTTTCACAAAAACCTTAAGGAATATTAAGTTTAAATAAATTAACAACAGAAAGTGATTCTAGAATGACAGATTTCTCTAACCATTCTTCTAAACATTTTTTTAAATCAATAAGTTCATCGTTCATAATATATTATGGAATTTCATCAAAAAATGTTTCATTTTCAATACAAAGTTCTCTTAATGAAAAATAAACAGATCTTATAATATTTTCTAAAGTTTTTTCATTAAAATTGGTTTCTTTAGACATTTGCATAACTCTTTTAAGTAAAAGCATATAAATTTTATAATCTTTAAAAGCTTGATTTTTTTGTGAAACTAGAATAAAATTCTTTAAAATTCTAAAATCGAATTAATAATTTCCTTCTTAATCTAGAATTCGTTCAATATAAACTTTTTATATTAAATCAAGAAACAATGGGGATGGTTTAAATTTATTGAGTAAAAAAAAAAGTTGAGCAAGGTAGTATATATGCCATTAATTAATTCCTTAATAAATTTGAGAGACAAGGTAATTCATTTAATGATCATCTAATTCTGAGTATTAAAGGACTTATAATAATATTTCAGGATGACATGTAGCATTAGGATAGTTTGTTATAGATGTATCATATTAGGATAAGAATAATAAGGCATATGCTTTAAGTGAATTATTATCACTATTCAAATATTCTCTTAATTAATCAATTTTATCAGATTTTAATTATGGTAATTTCTTCTTATTGATACAATACTCCATTATTTAGATTAAAATTGTGTTGAATTAATGCTTTTATCTCTTGAATACATTAAAAACTTCTTTATCATTCACAATCAAACCAGAATAGAATTAAATGAGTAGAATAAATTAATATTCATTATGAATTGGTTATTATAATAACCATTCAATATACTCTTTAAAATTAGGTTTTTGGAATTGCATTTCTAAAAATTTAATCATGTTTTCAAATAAGATATCATCTGTGTTTTAATTTGTTTCTATTTCTTGTTTAAGTCTATTAAGAATTATAGAGCTATCAGAAAACTTCATTGGCATCATTTGATCATAAATTTTTTCATTTAAAAATGCTTACATAATTGAATTAAGTTGAGGTAGTGTTTAACATTATTCAACATTAGTTTATAATGTAAATAAACGTTCTTTGAATAGTTTGTACTTAGATTTGAAAGAGCTGAATAGAAATTTTAATTTAAGCATTTTTTTATGACAATTATTAATAGATATAATCATTTCTTTTAGGTAGCAGCAAATTGATCATAATATTTGCGAAGATCTTTTTTCGAAAAGATAAAATCCTTCATGGCAATTTTAATGAATTTATCTGAGTCAAAATTATTAAAGAATTTCTAATCTTTCAGAATAGCAATAATTTATTCCATAGTTTTTGCCTATAAATATCATTTTAATGTAAATTACATTCAAAATTTCTTCTTTTCTAATTTTAAGTATAGCTAAAGAAGCTCTAAAAGTAGTTTTATGATGTTCATACCAAAATATATCTGTTACTCTTAGAAATATTTACATAGGAAGAATTGAACTAAAGAGTGTAATAAACCTAAGAATATAATCAAAATGATTACCATTCAGCTGCATAATAAAAGGGAACAATATTAAATTTAGTAAATTTAGCATGTATATCAGGTAGAAATTATTTAACCAAAATATCTAAAGCATGAAAATATTTCAATGTATTTGTAGGATTAATGTATGTATCAAGACAACCATATTTAGTAAGTAAACTATATAGATGCCAATAGACTAATTCATCATTCATCAATAATAAAAAAGAACCAGCTAAATAATTTAATCCTTGACAATATCCCATATCTTAAAATGTAAGACTAATTGCTCTTAATACTGTGAAGAGTGATTGACTAGTTATAGTATCCATTTTAATTAAATCATTAGACTAAAATGTACGCATAACATCTAAAGTGATTTAACTATCATGTGGTGATATTTCTTCAGATTCTATAAGTTCCTTATAGGTTCTCTTTATGTTTATATTTCAATAATTTACTTTTGCTTATATTTTCATTTGATCTATTTCAGCTAGACAAGGCCAAATAAGCATTCTTATACCTTCTGGTATACCTTTTCTTAAACGAGATTTAAGTTTATCATCATTATTACTCATTAATTAAGGAATCTTTGGAATCATTTTTCTCCATTTTTCAATTCTTGCATTTGTCTTTAACATTTCTTCTTTAGTTGGAGTTTGATTGTTATGCTTTGGAAACCCATATGGGTCTCTATTTTCTTAATTCATTAATAATAATAATTAGTCAAATTTTATCATAATAGGAGGGGTTGTTAATGAAAAATATAGAAGAAATATAAATATATATATATTATTGTATTTTATCAAACGTCACAAATTTTCGGTGATGGGAAATAGTTTTGAGAAGTTTTTTATGGAATTTCAGGATACCACTTATTTAAACTAGCTGTCCACCTATTTTTTAATTAAATTATTTTATTACCAAACACCATTTTAAGAAAATAAGGATTCAGGAATTTCAGATTCATTTGAATCAATACATCCTACTAACCAAGCTAACCATTCAGTTTTTAAGGCTTCAGTAGTTCCCACTATTTCTGATTATTTATCATTTGGTACAACAAATGTAACTGCTGGATCATCTTTATCAGCTACATAATATTTAATATGAGCATTAGATGATATCAATTTCTCTTAATAATTTTCTTCATCACCAAAATTTTGTACAAATATCAAATATTTAGTAAGAATTAAAGCATCAATTTCTATAGCTTAAAAACTATATTCATCCTCAGAAGATTTTCCAAATTTAGCTCCAGTACATTCATTATCTAAATAACCTACTAAACAATTTGACTTATCTGTTGGGTTAAAAGATAATTAGAGATCCAAATTAATATCAGAATTATACCATTCTAATACTATTCTAATTTATCCAGATTTTAATTTCTTTGATAATGGCACAATAGTAACTTCATTATCTTAAAATTCATAACAATTTTATGAATAATCTGGATGAGTAACAATTAAATTATATTGTGATCCCTAAACTAAACGAGTAAATGTAACTTTTCCATTAGAATCAGTTTTAGCAGATCCATAAACTTAAAATGATCCACAACTACCTACCCTTAAATCAACTTTTGCTGATTCTAAATGATTCCAATTCATAACATCAACAACATAAACATCAGTTTAATAATAATTGATTTAGAATATTGAAGAGAAATCTCCTAATTTACATTCTCCATTTTAAGCTTTATATCCTTACTCACATACAGCACATTTATTTTCTTTAGTACAAATAACACAATTTGGAATTTTGGTAGTGCATAATTTATATGCTAATTTACATTAACCATTATCAAAAGTAGAAAAGGCATCACAAAAATCTTGATCACATTTTTCTTTATCTTTTGAACATTTCAAACATTAATTTTGAGAATAAGGTTTAGAACATCCATTTTCTGGTTGACAAGATTTATCAGCTTATAATTGATATTCTGATTAACAACTAATACATTTATTATTTTTATCGCAAAATTTACAAAATGGAACATTTGTGCATCCATTCGGTTAACATTTTTTTCTCGCATCCAAATATTCTCCAGTTTTACATTCACCTTAATTTTTAGGTTATTCTTTATTAGTAGGATTATTAGTAGGATTATTAGTAGGATTATTAGAAGGATTATTAGAAGGATTATTAGTAGTAGTAGTACCACCAGCTTTAGGTTATTCTTTAGAAGTTGAAGTAGTAGGATTAGTGGAAGTACTTGGAGTAGTAGTAGTTTTAGGTTCACTAGTAGTAGTAGTAGTAGTTGATGGTTTTGTTGTAGATGTTTCAACTTTATGGAAATAAGTTTTTGGAGGTGTTGTAGATTAAACATTTGGTATTGTTACATTTGATCTTAATAATATAGTTCCAAAATTAATCTCATTTTCGAATTATACAACTTATGATTAAACATAATCATCATAACCTATTGCAGCAACTGTTATTAATCCAGTTGTTGGTTAAAATAGTTAAGTACTATAATCAGCAACATCAAATGTTGATATCTATAATTTATATTCACCTTTTGGTGTTGATACATCACAAATTGGTTTATCTAATCCTTCTTGACTCCAACATATTTTGGCCTCTTATAATGGATATTAAGTATATATTTTATCATCTCCTTTTTTTATTTCACCAACAACAAATCCACTTACTTTTGATTTCATTTCCTTAAATAATTATACTTATATTTATTCACTAACACCTAATTTCCCATTAAATCTACAACCTCTTTCATCATCTTTATCAAATCCTGTTTTACATGTTACACATTTCTCTTCTTTACATTCTTAACAATTAGGTATATCACATTAAGGTTAAGTTGCAGCACTTCCTTATCCTTTTGTTGCTTAATCATTACCACCTTTATCAGATGAACTACTTGAGCTTGTTCCAGTCTTTGCTGGTTCTGTTGTTTTCGCTGGTTCAGTTGTTTTTGCTGGTTCTGTTGTTTTCGCTGGTTGTGTTGTTTTAGCTGGTTCTGTTGTTTTAGCTGGTTCTGTTGTTTTTGGTGGAGTATCTGAAAAATGAGAAAACATTGAATAATGATATACTTTGCTATTCTTTTCATTTATTGGTATATCCACTATATTTTAATATAAATTTATTATTAATTCTTTTGAACCTACTTAATAACATACCTATACATCATCCAAATACTATTACACATATTCCTATTTACCAATTATTGCAAAAAAATCTTATTCATTTCCTACATAATCTGGCCATAAAAACTTAGCAGCTGCCAATGTTTAATATGTTGTTGCTTCTTTTCTCTTAAATTATTAAACTCCTTTTACCCATAATCCAAATAAGATATCTAAATTATTATTTTATTATAATACTTGTCTCTTTTTTTCCTGTTTCTACTTTATTTAAAGGACAGTTTGTAGTTGATTTANGGATTATTAGAAGGATTATTAGAAGGATTATTAGTAGTAGTAGTACCACCAGCTTTAGGTTATTCTTTAGAAGTTGAAGTAGTAGGATTAGTGGAAGTACTTGGAGTAGTAGTAGTTTTAGGTTCACTAGTAGTAGTAGTAGTAGTTGATGGTTTTGTTGTAGATGTTTCAACTTTATGGAAATAAGTTTTTGGAGGTGTTGTAGATTAAACATTTGGTATTGTTACATTTGATCTTAATAATATAGTTCCAAAATTAATCTCATTTTCGAATTATACAACTTATGATTAAACATAATCATCATAACCTATTGCAGCAACTGTTATTAATCCAGTTGTTGGTTAAAATAGTTAAGTACTATAATCAGCAACATCAAATGTTGATATCTATAATTTATATTCACCTTTTGGTGTTGATACATCACAAATTGGTTTATCTAATCCTTCTTGACTCCAACATATTTTGGCCTCTTATAATGGATATTAAGTATATATTTTATCATCTCCTTTTTTTATTTCACCAACAACAAATCCACTTACTTTTGATTTCATTTCCTTAAATAATTATACTTATATTTATTCACTAACACCTAATTTCCCATTAAATCTACAACCTCTTTCATCATCTTTATCAAATCCTGTTTTACATGTTACACATTTCTCTTCTTTACATTCTTAACAATTAGGTATATCACATTAAGGTTAAGTTGCAGCACTTCCTTATCCTTTTGTTGCTTAATCATTACCACCTTTATCAGATGAACTACTTGAGCTTGTTCCAGTCTTTGCTGGTTCTGTTGTTTTCGCTGGTTCAGTTGTTTTTGCTGGTTCTGTTGTTTTCGCTGGTTGTGTTGTTTTAGCTGGTTCTGTTGTTTTAGCTGGTTCTGTTGTTTTTGGTGGAGTATCTGAAAAATGAGAAAACATTGAATAATGATATACTTTGCTATTCTTTTCATTTATTGGTATATCCACTATATTTTAATATAAATTTATTATTAATTCTTTTGAACCTACTTAATAACATACCTATACATCATCCAAATACTATTACACATATTCCTATTTACCAATTATTGCAAAAAAATCTTATTCATTTCCTACATAATCTGGCCATAAAAACTTAGCAGCTGCCAATGTTTAATATGTTGTTGCTTCTTTTCTCTTAAATTATTAAACTCCTTTTACCCATAATCCAAATAAGATATCTAAATTATTATTTTATTATAATACTTGTCTCTTTTTTTCCTGTTTCTACTTTATTTAAAGGACAGTTTGTAGTTGATTTACATTCACTAGTCAATTCTATTCTACTACCAACTAATTATGTTATTGATTGACACATTCTTGTTTAAATCTTTGTAAATTCTTTTGCTTTAACAGCTTTTCCTTATTAATCAAAATTAACTTCTTTTTTTAATGGAATAGGGGTATAATTATTTACTAACAGAAGAACTCCAAAAACAATTGTACCAATAAATAATAATAGAAATAGTGTCTCTATATTTCTACCTAGAGTTTTATCTGATCTTGTTCTTCTTGAAAGATGAAATTCAAATAAAATCAATGCAAATAAAAATAATGGAGTTGCTAATGATAACATTATTAAAATTAACAAATCTTTTGTGAAAATATTACTTACTGTTTTACAACAATTTAAATTCAAACATCCTAATGGATGATCTGCTGGATCTGGAGTTTCAACTTCCCATCTCTATACTTAAGCTTCTCTATCACATTAAGTTGAATATATTGAACATTCCCTCTATCCATCTGGACAATTTGATGTTTAAATATCTTTTATATATTTAGAGGCACAAGAATGCTAAGATAAATAAGATTCTGATAAATTATTCATTTTTTATTAACAATTTGCAATATTACTTTCCTATTAATCTTAATAGTCTCTAATATATTGAGCTTAAAATCCTAATAGAACTGGTATAATTAGAATTTAAAGAGCTGCCAATATCATTAATAATCCTTTTATTTTCCAAGTGTTTGAAATAATTGCTAATAAAATTAATGCCAAAATTATTAAATTTAAAATTGCACTTATTGAATAGATACCCATTCCTTTTAATAAATAAACTGATCCCCAACAAGTCAAAGATACAGCAATACAGAGAAGGTATATGTTGAATCGACTAGTTATTGAAGATATTGTCATTTGATAAAAGTTATGAATTGTATATGTTAATCCAACTACAATTAAAATTGAAAAAATCAATATAATTGGTTTCATAACTGATACAACTTTATCAAATTTCTAATAATCGTTTCCTATCTTCTCAGATTAGTACAACCCTTTTACATATTCACTCGATAATATTATTAAGATAAAAAAAACGAACTCTGCTATTGCCATAAGAATAGTCAAAAAGAATAATAATCTTCATATATAATTGTATTACCTCCCGTTAAAGTTATCTGTCAATTCTCCCCATTCGTCTTCGGTTGTTCTAAGATAGTTTTATTGTTAGTGATTCCAAACAAGAGTCCCTATGCATATCAATACTATCAGCACATTTATGATAGCATAACTAAGACTAATGTAATTTAACACAAATCCATTGATAACAAACAACATTACAGCATCTCCAAGTGCCAACAATAATACAATAATAGAAACATATTGTTGTATTGTTGTCAATGTCAACTTTTCACTACGATTGAATTCACTCTAAGAAATGAATTACCGACTTTCAAATTCCATTTTTATTTTTTTATTTTTATTAATAACTGTATAGTATTTAAATCAAATTTTAGGTAATTTCAATTATGAATTATTGTTTATGTAAGGACGACTAGAATTGCTACCTAGATCTGATGTTTTATTAAATTTTCAGATAATAAATTCATTCTTTATTAAAACCACGATTTCTATTTTGGGATTAATTAAACTCTAAAGATTAATAAACTCCTTTGATTTTATATTTTATTTTAATTCACTTATTTCAGAAAGAATTGATTATTTCTTTTATGGTTTAAGTATGGAAATAAACAAAATCGATATTATATCCATAATGATCTCATCAATATTTTCTATATTTATATCCTTATTAACCTGACTCATTCCAACAATCTATTCACTTGAATTTTCAACTGTCTATTATTTAATTTGTGACTCATATAAACTCTACTTCGATAATTCCTTTATTTCTCGAACTTTCTGTTTATTAATTTTTTAAAAGCTTTCTTAAAAACTAAGCTCTCATATTATCTATCAATTCATTCTATTCTGTAATAAATTTTTTAAATTCATTTTCAGCCATAATATTTTCATCTTTCTTATCTTAATGATTTATTTTATTTTCAATCTCTTCTTCCTCATCCTAAAGTCTTGAATTGAAAAATTTTCATTCTAATTTTTGATCTTGAGAATACTTATTTAATTTTTAGTTCTAATTCTCCTTTTGGATCAGTAAATAATTTATCACAAATTTGATTAATACTTACATCCAAAATCTTTAAATTTTTAGCATTGCTAAATGAACCTTTTAATGTTGATATTTTATTATTTCTTCTAATATTCAATTCTTCCAACTTAATAACAACAAGTTCTTAATTAAATATTGAAAACTAAAAAATCTATTTTATCTATTAAGTTTCCTAAATTCAAATATTTTAAGTCTTTTAAATTATTAAGAAAATGAATCTATAATAATAAAAAATTCGATACTTTATATAATTTATTGTTTTCTAAATTCAAATGCTAAATTTATCTACTTCCAAATATTAGATCTGTTATTCTGTTATAAAATAGATCTTATTTAATAAATTTTTGTAATTGAATTTAATAAACTCCTTCTAATTCACTATTTGAAAATCTTCAATTATCAAGAATGGTATAATCTATATTATCGATCAAAGAATTAGAATTTTAATACTGTTTTTAACTAATTATGATATAATTCCAAATTCTGAACCAATTTATATGATCTTTTATGCATCAATTAATTTCCATAATACCTTAATTAAAATTTAATAATTTACCTAAAATGTTTAATCTGAGAGATTTCCCTCCATCTTACAATTTGGCCATTACTAGTTCTATCGAGAAAGGTTATTCTTTTTACATAAAATTATTTAAATTAAAATAATAATATAAATAAATAAATTTATAAAAGAATATATTAGTTTTTAGCTACATAAAATCTAATATATTCTTATAATTATGAATAGTGATATGTGTCTTTTTTAAGAGTAAAAAATATATCTATTTGAATTCTGACAAAAAATCAGGTTTATTTATTATTAATAAAAAATGAATTTTGAATTTCTAGTAATATTCATCAAAAGTAAGATGATCGATAATGAACAATAATTAATAAGTTAATTAATTAGTTTCTTAGAATTAATAATAATATGAAGCAGCGATAAAAATCTCATACATACCTATACAAATAAATTTGTAAACATTTGAATGTACCCTGTTCATCTGAATTATTGAATGGAATTTAAGAGACAGAAATAGTTTTAATTTTAGAATAGATAGGGTTATAAGGTATAAAAATAAGAATAAATAGATATTGAACCTCTGTAGTTATTGTTAGCACAATGTAAATTCAAAACAATAACACTGAAAAGTATATAGAAGAACTTGAAATTAAATAAATCTATGGCACATGATAATTATAAAAATGAATTATTAGAGATCTTGAAGGTGATTACTAAGTTATTCTCAAAGAGCTTAGATGTGATAACATTTATAATTAGAGACATAAGAATGAGTAGTGAACATATGCAAATAATTTCATAAGGGATAGCAGTAGTGTAATCTTTAAAGGAGCTACGAATTATATAGTGCTTGATGACTTCAAATCATTTCAGCATTCTATAACCATCACTAATTTAGAATTCCTCTCTTCATATAGTAGATTTTTCTCACAATTATTTGACACATTAAATTGGAGTATTGTTAGGATAATTACTTCAAGAACATGGCAAAAGAAGAGACAGTGTTGATTATTTGTATAGAACAAAAGGTGAAAGTCCAGAAGAAGACATATCTAAAATAGGAATAGGAGAATTAGACTTATCCTATAATAAATTAAATGATTAGTTTGTTAAAGATGTCGTTCCTTATCTAGAAAGAGATAGATGGATAAAATCAATAAATTTGAAATATAATGCTATACAAAAAGAGGGATTTGAATTACTAATCTAATTACTTGATAAAAATACTACTATAACAAGTTTAGACACTCGAAGAAATTTAGGAACTACTCAATAGTTTTAAAAAGAGATATTAAGGAAATTGATGAGAAATAAAAATACTAAGAATGACTTACAAGAATAAAGAATAGAAGAGGAAAATGAAAACATTTTAGTCAATGTGTCTGCTATCCCATAAAATCTACTATCTGTTATATCTGATTAAGAAAGTCCTGTTATGTCTTTTGGAGTTTTCGAATAAAATAATTAAACTAAACAAATGTCAATATCAGGTAGACAAGATCAATTTAAATTCAAATCTGGTTATAAGAATAATGATTCTGGGTGCTTAGATTGTATTCGATTGTAAATTAAAGTTAAAAAATAACAATAAATTATTTAATTACTAAAATAAGAGGTATAATATCTTAGATTTTCACTGTAATCAAAACAATAACAATCCTAGTAATAATAATCATAATAACAATAGTAATAATAACAATAGACAATGAATTTTTTAAATTTATCAGATAATCACAATTAGCATCCACCACCATAAGAAGTGGAATAGGAAGATATGTTGAATAAAATAGAATACATGATGAATGAATTAACTAGAATGATGGATGGTTTAGATGCTTAAGGAAGTGTAACTAATAATCTTAATGCTCATCTTTCAAGTACACTTATTGGATAAGATTACACTAGAGTAATATGTGAGAGAGAAGATAGAGCTAATGATTTCATGAATATTTTAGGAGACAATAGCTAAAACAATTCATCAGAATGTTCTGAAGATGAAGCTAAATCATAGTGATAATATTTTTGGGTTTTTGATAAATTAATAGTTATCATTATTAATCTACTGCTTATTATTCTGGTTGTTTTTAATTTGGAAGATCTTACATTTCCATTTCCGCCTCTCTAATTTATTATGAATTAATCCATTCATCAACATTCTAAGATCTTTAAATTTGAGAGTATTCACTGTTATAACTGATAGCAAAGAATATTGCATATAACTTTTTTATACATTAAATATACCACTGCTGTTATAAATAATGCAAAAGCTCCTTCAACTCTGCTATGAGGTACAACATAAACAGTTTCAGAGCCTATTGCAATCAAAAATCCCAAATAGGTCATAATCACACAACCAGGTGCTGAAATAAACATGCAATATTATGCACACGATACCATGTATAATTTTGAAATTATTTTACTTTTAAATAATAAAATCTAAGAGTATATATAATCAAAGTCTTTTCAGCAACAATCTATTAATTTACATTTTTTTTTGTTAACATTGATGCTCATATTTATGTATATCTAATTGGATATTAGGATTTTAGAATTTCCTTTAATTTTAATAAGATCTTGTATCACTTTATATTTGTTGATTTTGCCATTCATTAAATAGCTAAAAGGCTCTCATGTTTTATTAGGGCAAATCATTTTTGGCTTTTTTCTCCAAAATATCTTTTAGTTTAGATTAAAAAATGACGCTCTTTTTTTATCTCAAAGATTGAATTGTGTCCTTTTTATAGAAATCCAATTTTGTCGTAAATAAATCATTAGTATCAAACATGTCTAAATTGATTGTTTCTTTTTAGTCAATTTATTGTTTATGATTTATTTAATTTTCCCCTCTCTCATTAAATGATAAAGATTATCTTCTTATAAATTTTTATTGTTCATTGTAATTTTATGATACTTTTGAGATTTTTTCATTCTCTTAGTATCCCTTTAGACTGCTGTGATTAAGTCTTATATTAACAGATTAAGAGATAGGATGAATTTTCTTAGGAATGAAATCTTTATTCTTTTTGTATAGAATATAAGATGAAGGAATTTCACACCTTTTAATAATTTCATCAACGACACGGCCTTAAATCTTTGGTTCTAATTTAACAGATTAATGTATGATTCTTGATTATCTGATCTATGATCTGTCAATAAAACCACAAGGTTTTCTATTTTTAGGTGATTCAGGTTGATTCTATAGAAAAGGCAATATATATGTATTAATAAAATTTTGATCCATAATATTTATAAGGCAAAAATGATTATCAATTTTTGAGCTTTTAAGCTAACTTTGCTGATTTCGGAGTCGTAGTGGTTGTAGGTTATTTAGTGACTCTAGACGAAGAAGTGCTCGAAACAGCAATTTGACTGCTAGGAACACTTGCATTATTATCAAAATCATAACCATTAAATAAATCTAAAATATTATCTATATTACTTTATATAGAATTCCTTCTTAGCATCATTTATTGATCCTCATTTATAGAATCATCAGAGTCTCTTCTACTATCTGATGGAAGATAATTATCTTCATTACCCTTAAAATAATAATTTAAACAATTACATTAGGTATAAATGGGGCAATCATCTCTTTACTATTCAGTTTTTCCCAACTGAAATCTTTAAACCAAGGATGTTCTTTTACTTCATCTGGTCCATTGTTTCCCAATCTATTTTATGGCTTTCTTTAAAGTAACTATCCAATTTTAAAAATAACTAACTCTATTAGTAAAATCTGCAGCCTCTAAACTCCATCCTGGAGGTATTTCTTATCTTTTAATCGCTGCTTATTTAGCTAACATTTATTCTCTTATTTCTTAACGACTTCTTCCTAAATAAGGTCTTCTTCCCAACATGCATTCATATACTATCACCCCCAATGCGAAATAATCAACAGCTACTCCATGATTATGTCCTATTAAATTAATTATTATTATTATCTTACTACACATTACTTCAGGAGCCATGTATCCTGGAGTTCCACTTGTGTCTTAGGAATTTTCTGGTTTCCAAATTCTTGCTATACCAAGATCTGTTAATCTCAAGTATCCTAACTTAAAAATTCATTCTATCATACCATTACTATCAAATACTAAGTTTTCTGGTTTCAAATCTCTATGTAAAATTCCTTATTAATGTAAATATTCCAATGCTAGTATTATACATCCACTGAAAAACTCTACATTTTATTATCTAACACATACTTGTTTGTTCCTCATTAAATTTACGATGTCTTCCTATATGATATCTCAAATCTCCTCCTGAAAGTAAATCCATAACTAAATACAAATATTCTCTATCCTAAAATGAGTATTGCATGTTGATCAAAAAACTTTATTTTATTTCCATTTTTACTTATGCTTCAAACCACACAACAATGCTTTCTCATTCATTACAGATTAAACTGATTTTTTTGTTATTATCCTAAATAACTTATTATTATTATCTTACTTAGGTTTTGACATCACTTTCAAAGCATAAAATTATTTATTCTTCTTTTGTCTAACTTTCCACACTTTACCAAAACCACCTCTTCCTATTGCATCTATAAATTGAAAATTCTGAACAGACATCACTACTTATTTATTCTATATACCATTGTTTTCCATCAAATCCTCCTTTTTTTCATTGATATTACAATTTCCCATTTTAATATAAATATATATTAAATTATTATAATAATTTAACCATCCCCTTCTCCCATCACAAAAGATGAATTCCCTTTCTATAAAAACTTTACCTAAACCTTTTTATATTTACACCTAATTAATTATTAAAATGATATGCTAATATTAACTAATTATATCAATATCTATATATCATATACAATTAATTAATTATGTTAAAATTTGCCCCTTATTATTTATACTCTATTTTATGCCATATATTTTCACTTTTATAAATATTTCTAATCCTATAATTATAATCACATTACTCAATAAGTTAGATATATTCATAGTTTATTTTATTATATATTAATTTATATAATAAATCTATACATGATCATTCCAAGTAATCATATTAACTTTGTTTATTTTATTACGATTTGCAATTTATATTTATAAATTTATTAACGAATATGCTCTATGATTCTACTTAACCCTATGAAGGAATCAAAGGGGGTACTTGTTTCACTAATGATGATTACAAACCAAAAAAAAGGAATATGTCTACATAATCAACAACAACAAATAAAAAATAACATAAGACTTAAGGATCAGTATCAACCTTTAATAATGTCGAAAATAGATTGTTAGACTATGAAAAAAGAAGATTAATTAAAATTTAAAGAATAAAAATGGAAAACCTTGCAAACAAGGAAAACCAATAAATTCATAAAAAATTATCATAAAAATCAACTTCAAATAAAAATTTGTAGCCAAATGAATTTAGATTTATATAATAGAACAGCATTTTGAATTAATGTATGAACAATTTTTTAAAGAAAAATCAAAAAGGCTAACTTTATTTTTGACTTGATTAATATATCAACATATATAATTATATATAATTACACTTAACATCATATGTTTCTAAATAAAAATGAAAATAAATATAAAAAAATGAAAGTAAATAAATAATCATAAAAAATGAATAAATTAGTCTAAGATTTAATGAAATTATATTACTGTTTAATGGAAATGAAATCTTTAAAACAATTTGAACTTATTTTAAGTTAAAGAGAATTTTTGATTAAATTAAAAAAATAAATTTCCATTAAGAGTTTATATGTCAATCAATTATTATCTTATAACGTGTTTTTTGAAGTTAATAATATGAATGAGATCTGATTTATTTATTAAAGAAAATTGATGTTTTCTGACATTTAATAGTTAATAGTCAATAAACTGACTAAAAGGGGGTTTATGATTAGATAATTAATTGATATGCTGCATAATTGTTCGTTTTGGATTTAATGATAAAAATACAAAACAAGTATAGCTACTCAGAAGATGATCTGATAGGAGAAGGTGCTTATTCAAGGGTTTATAAAGGTTTTTGTAATAAAACTAAAGAGTTCGTTGCTATAAAAGGTTTGAATGCAACATAATTTTAGTTATTGATTGGAGTAAAGTAAAGGATAAATACTATATTTCTGGTTTTTAGAGAGAGATTCGAATACTTCGAGACTTAGATCATTAAAATATAGTAAAAATAATAGAATTGATTCATGATGCCATTTAGAACAGAGAATATCTCATAATGGAATATTGTGATAGTTAAAATCTTACAGCTTTCATCAATCAATCTGGAGGAGTTCTAAATGAGAACATTACCAAAATTGTATTATAGTAATTGTTGACTGCATAAAATGAACTTATAAAAAAAGAATACTTGCATAGAGACATTAAACCAGAAAACATCTTAATTCATTAAAGGACTTTGAAATTAGCAGATTTCGGGTTTTCAATTAAGGCAGATTACTCTGGGAATCAACTATTTAAAGAAAATGTAGGCACACCATTATATATGGCTCCATAAATACTTGAAAATAAACATTATTCTGTGAAAAGTGATATTTGGTCTATAGGAATTATGGCTTATTAAATGATAACTGGATAATATCCTTGGATAGCTGATGATCCATCTTAACTTTTAAAATCCATTAAATCTCAAAAATTATATTTTCCTTCGCATATCTCAATCTCAGATGATTTCAAAGAATTCATTAAATATTGTTTGTAATTTGAAGAAAAAGATCGATACAATTGGGATGATTTATTTGAACATAAAATATTTAAAACGAAATATGTTATACAAAAGAATTAAATCAAAATCGAACAACTCTAAGTATTATTTTTTGTATTAATTAAGACAGCCATTAATTAAATTAGACAAATTCAATAAAAAAGAGGAACTACTCTTGAATAGTTATTTACTAATTTAGATATGGATGGGGATAAAAAGCTTACTTTTGAAGAATTTTAAGTATTATTACTCTATGTTGACAATCAAATGGAGATTAATATATAAAAAGGAATCTTTTAAAAATACAATGTTAGCAAAAATAACTTACTAAATTTTAACGAATTCAGCAGGATATTTTGATGATTTTTATAAAATTTATTTGTAATAATTTACTAAAATTTATTTTCTTCAATATAGAATATTTTTAATTTAAAGATCTTCAAAATATACTAATAAAAAGACTAAATCATTAATTTTTTTCTAAAAATTTTAAACTATAACATTCTTTCAAAACTCAAATACTCTGACTATTTTATTCATTTACTTTAAATTTTTAGTAATTATAAAAGTTTGATAAATAATTATTAAATTTATGTAATTAATGTAATAATTTTTTATTAATGAACTTCAAAAGAAACCACTTCCTGAAATTTCAATGATTCAATTTATATAATCACAATAGTTTGTTGAATAGATTGAATTAATGAATCTAAATCAAATTGAATAATATTTACAATAATTATCGATATTGATTTAAGAAAAAAATGATTAAAAAAGTTGGGTTTATTTTGGATTACTATTGAGATAAATGTTAAATTAAAGAAATTAAATGACTATCGAATAATATAATAGAAATGCAATCAATACTTTTGTTTTGATAATTCAAATATTAAATATTCATATTACTTCCTCTTATATTGAATCAATTTTATCAACATTTTATGAATTTATTGATAAAGTAGATGATCAATTTTGGATATTTTTAGCATGGCAATTTCGAAATGCTTCAAACAATATCAATTAATTAGAATTATTAAAACACTTAGTAATTTCGCAAACATAAAGAAATGAATTTTTGGATATTTTAATTTTAAAGATTAAAATTGAAATAGAAAAACCAATTGCTAGCAAGATAAATAATAAAGTTATTTTATCCTCATTGTAAATTGTCTTAGAAAAAAACCCATATTAAATAATTTCATAAAATTTATTGAATTATTTGACTGCAATTTTAGCAAGTGATTAATTACATGAAATACCAATTAAAGACTTTTATTATGTTATTGGATTAATTGATTCATTTTTTGAGCATTAACATTTAGTATAATGTGATTCTAAATAGTATGAATAATTTACACATTATTTATTTTAATATTTACTAAATTAGATTGAGCAAATAAATTGGTAAATTTATAATCATTAAAGTATAAACAAAGAGATTTAAAAAGAAAACTTTAAATTGTTAACAAAATTGTGTTAAAATCATTATGCTTTAAGATTATTTAAAACTAACAAAGAAAAACTCTTACATTTAATATATTGTTAATTATCGAATTATATTGAATTATATAATCAAGTATAAAATGAAGATATTCCCAATGAATTAATTGATCTTATAAGTAAACAAGAAAGCGACACATATTTGTGTTCAATTGTGAGATTATTTGTTGCAATGTGTTCTTATGTTCGATAATTCACATGTATTGGATATCTTCTTTGTTCTTAAGTGCTCAATATAATTTTTTAAGTAGAATTGCAATAAATTAATATTATCAAAAACCAAGTCTCATTTTATTATGATCCTCAAGATATCAATAATATAAACTAAATTATCAAAGTAAATTAAACATTGCCAATTACTTAATTACAAGCATCTTTGATTTTACTTACGTCAATGAAATTATTTATTGTGGATTAAGATATTACACTAAAAAATCTTGAAAATTTACTTAGGATTCATTTAAATAATTTGACATCCTAAATGGGTAATGCAAGTTTTAAAATTATATTTATGCTCTTTTTGTAAAAATATTAAAAGAAGATATTTAAATAGTAGTAGGATGAAGATTTTAACATTTAATATTTAAAATATATTTTATAGTAAATTACAACTGAAAATATTGAAAGTTCAACAGCTGTTTCAGTATTTCAAATGATAACAAAATCCTCATCTAATTACAACTTATTATAAGATTTTATTTAAGTCTTAAATCCATACATTTAGAAGATTATTTCTACGACTACAGATATTGACTTTTTTCAATCGTTAATAAATTTAGCTAAAGTTCATTAGCATTTTTTTTATAATTATTCAGAGAGTTATCTTATAGTTTTATAATAGAGAATATTCTTAGAAATAAGTAAATAGAATAATCATGCTGTCATTAAGATGTTATAAACTTTTAGAGCAATTTATAAAATTTGGCCTTAAGAAGAAACATATAATTCTTAATTGGATGTATGGAAAATGATAACATTTCTACCTCAATCAAAAAGAAATTCTTTTGATGAAGAACTCATTGAAATTTCAAAGATATTTCTAAAATATTATTGTAATAATTATGAACTATTATAATTTTAGAAGATAAAAACCAATATGAATTTGTTTTACTATTTGTAATTTAATAATTAAATTTGTATGTTTAGCAAGCTCCATACATAAAATTCTTAGCAGCTTTGAATAAGGATTAATTTCAATTTATATCTGACGAAATGCCATAATAATTGTATGATGTAATAATTTCTGAGTAATATAGATTTTTATAATTTGTTTGAAGTGCATAGAATTAAATTATTTGATCAAAAAAATAAGAAAAATATGTAGGAGCTTATCATTATATACAGATTTGCTATTTAAATAAGAATGTTAAAATCTCATTAAGAATCATATATAATAGACTTAAAATTAAAGTTAGTCTATTTTTTTAATTTGTTATTTATGCATGAGCAATTAATAAGAAACTGAAAAATATCATGATTATTTAGTAAATAGAATTTTAGATATTTAAGAGCGTGATGTGACTCTATAAAATTAATCTGATATTTTTGATTGTTGTTATGCTTTAATAAAATTGTATGAATACACATAGGAGAATTTTGGGAAAGCTCAATATCAATATAATTAGAATATCTTTTATAAATTAATTGATCTTTTACATTGTTGTTTATTAATTGATGATAAACAGAGTGAATAAAAAAATATAACATTAAATGAAGTTTATATGTTATTTTAACAAATGATTTTCAAAATTTAGTCTAAAATACTTCCAAAATATTTGGATGGATAATTTGAATATGAATTTAAACTATAATAATTAATGCAAGCAAAAGCATAATTTGGATTAATAAATACAATATACAAATAATTTAAAAAATGAATATTTATTATAGTGTATAAACGTGTTAATTAAATTATTTTAAATGAATAATCTAGTTATAGTTTTTTTTATTCTTTTAGTTCATGGTGAAGAAATAGATTGGGGATTGAATATAAATGAAGAGTAAAAACGAGATTATTTAATTGTTAATAGTAATGTTGAAATAAATTAGGTTGGATGTAATATTATAAAATAATTTTTAAGCGTATAATTAATAAAAGGGGTAATATGTAAATGGTTAGGACTAAGTTAATATTAGTGAAGGAACTAAACGTTAAATTGAAGAGGAATTTCTTTCGTATGATTTAGATGAAGGTAAATATGAAAAGAAATAATAAAGATGGAATTCTAAGAATTGATGAACTAAAATAATCATTTAGAGGTGAAGCTGAATAATAAGTTAGAAAACTATTTGGATTTGGCGATGGAGATATGAATGGTTTTATAAATTTTGAGGAATTCTTTAAATTTAGGACTAGAGATTCAATGACAGATTTATGAATTAATTAAGAAATATATAAAAATATATTTTTTCATTTTGTTGATCGCTTAAGTTATGCATAAGGTAGCATTTTTTAAGCTCTTTAAATTAATTGCTTGTGATATTAAATTAAATCATTGGTTGATAGTTTAGAAATAGTTGTTTACTTTTTTTATAAATATGTTGATTCTATATGAAGAGTAACTTATTTTTTAAATGGAAGTGAACTGTTAGGGGAAATAGGAGTTGTGTCTATTCGTTTTTCTTTGCTATTTGGTCTGCTAGTAGCTTTCTATTTGATTATTTTTTTATAAGGGGAACATTCTCCAGCTTATATTTGAGGTTGTGAAAAAACTCTTGCTCTACTTTCTTCTTATTTTCGATATAAAAATTCATTTAAAAGTGACTATATTAAATAATTTATTATACTTTACATTTATGTTCTTTGGATTTTAAATACTTTATTTAATAAGTTATTCCAATTGATCACGTTCAGTTTAATGAAAACTACGAACAGGAGAAACATTTGTCAATTTTAATGATAGTCTTTCTGTTTTAGGGGCTTATCGTTTTTGTTTGATTTGTACATGATTATGATTATGTAGTAATTAATTATCTATCAACATAAAATAATTATTTTTTTAGAATAAAAAAGGATGAATAGAATTGATATTTAATATTAAAATAATATTTTTTGTGTGATAAAAATTAAATATAGAATATAGTTATACAGATTATATGAGTATAAGAATAAAAATAAGATAGATTTTAAAATGAAGATAATTTAAAAAAAATGAAAGAATGATTAATTAATTTAGTAATAAATTATGATTAGAATAAGATGATAATAAATAAGGATTGTTATTATTTATTTAAAGAAGTTTATTAAAATATTTTAATTATAGTATAATTTAAAATTAATAAATAAAAATGGCAGGAATAGAAGAGGAAGGAATGATAATTGATGAAAATAAATAAGGTATAAATATATATATATATAGATTAAAGAATGAATTTTGCTGATGAAATTATAATAGATGATTAACATATTTTGACAATATCAGCAGAAAAGATGTTTGAAGAGCCTTAGAAAAGAACACGTAAATCAAGATGGGGAGGTAGACCAGATAGAAAGTGTGCTAGACCAGAGTAAAAACACTTGCAATTCAATCCATTAGAGGCTATGATGAATAGAAAATGCATATTACCTGTTGGAGCATAAAGTTTAGCACCTCCCGTACCTATTGGAATGGCTTTACCATGGGGAATGTAATAAATGCCTGTTATGTCTTAATCATATGGCTACAATTTTGTGCGAACAGATACTTCTGTATTGGGATTTGTTTTAATAATTAGCATACTCGATGGGGTCCTGAATATGAAAAAACCTTTTAGCCTCCTTCTTTAAATTGTATACCTCCCGATCTTAGTATTGATGATTTAGAATATATAATCAGATTGTATTGTCTTGATGATATCAATCAAAAATTATAATAACCTATCGATAGTAAAATGGATGATCCTGATTTAAGATCTCCTTCTCCAGAACCTGTTTATGATTAACATGGAAAGAGAGTTAACACAAGAGAAGTAAGAAGAAAAGAAAACTTTTAAAGAATTAAATGCTCTTTGACTGAAGAATGTATTAAAATTAATAAAAATTTTGTTCCTCCTTATGATTTTAAACCTTTAAAGAAATCTTAAAAAATTTATTTAACTGATACTCTTAATGCTCCTGATACTAATTATATTGGTCTTATTTTAGGACCAGGAGGAAATACTTAAAAATTCTTAGAAGGAAAAACTGGATGCAAAATTTCAGTTAGAGGTAAAGGTAGTTCAAATACAAAAAAAGTTGATTGGGATATGGATGATAAATTACATGTCTTAATCTAAGCAGATAATGATGAATAATTATAATAAGGTGTTATTGAAATTGAAAAAATATTATCAGGAAATTAAGAAGATGAATAAGCAAGAAATGCTAGATTACAAGGATAAGTTATTGCTACTGTTTTGAGAGATGATTTTTGTGAATATTGTCATGAAAAAGGTCATAGAACCTATGCTTGTCCTACTAAAATACCATTTGAAAAAGCTAGAGTTAAATGTGATATCTGTCATGAATTTTCTCATCCAACTTCAGATTGTCCTTAAAAATTTGAACATAAAGAAAGCTTTATTCAATAATAATATGATAAATATAGAAAAGATTTAGGATTAGAAAAAAATGCAGAAATTTTAACTTCAGAAAATTAAAATGAAAAAAGAACGACAGAATAAAGAGTAATTTTGTTATTATACTAATTTAGGTTGCTTTTATTACTAGTGCATAAATTGTTAAACCTGTTTAAAATTTATAAATTGAAGATGATAAATTCATTATGGAAAGATTAAGAAGAGAATAATAAGAAAGAGACAATTATGAAAAAATTTAGAAAAAGGCATTAGAATAATACACATTATAATCCTAAGATAACTAAAATAAATGACCAATAATTATAATTATTAAAAAAATGTGTAAACAATATTTATTTTCTAATTAAATAATTAATATTACCTTGTTATTATCATTATTAAGATTTTTATCATCTCAATCCTTCATCAAAACTTTTAAATTCAAGAACAACACAAATATTTTTTAATTCTTCAATGATCTTATTGATACAAGCCATTATCTATTTCTAAATAATTTAGGTTTGCTTATATATGTGTACCATAAACTATCAAATTTATTTAAACAGTGAGATCAAATTCAATTAATCTTAGACTATCTAAAGAAACTTTATTTTAATTATTAATATACCTAAAAGCATTTAGATACATTTATTTTTATTATTATTAAGCTTTATTTAGCATTCAAAAGTTACTCATTGAACAGACTGTATTTTGTATTTTTAAAATTTCAGATATTCAAAGAATTAATAGACAAACTTGCTATTAATGTCAAAAATATTGAAGGAGAAATTTATTTAGATATAGAGTAAAACTATTTGAAAGCTTTAGAATAGTTCTAATTTATTAAAAAAATACAAAATGATAATTTTAGTTAATTATTTTTGGCCATTGATGATGAGGATTAAAAAATAAGCTAAAACGAATTTAATATTCTTTTTTCATTTTAAACAATAGAGTCTAAAAAACAATGAGATTTATGGTTGGAATTTGTAGAGAATTTTAGAAGAGTAATCACAAAATCTAATATTAAATAATTAATTAATTATTTTGATCGGATCAGACTTATGCTATATTTGCGATAAATATGAATAATAATTCTCAATTAATTGATATAACTTAAATTATATCATCTACAATGGATATCACATAATTATTTATAGTATTTAGATAATTAAAATTAAGCTCTTATTTAGAGTTTCCTATTTCTAAGGAATGAATAATCTAATCTTCTCCATTAATATTTTGAAAAATGATTTATTTAGATTATGGAATAATCAATAAAATGGGATTAACTAAAATTTATACAGATAACTAAATTATCAAATAAGACATTACTTTAGATTTTTACTCTTTGATTTAATTGCATTCAATTCCACTCTCTCTACCTTATGAAGTTTATAATTATTTTAAATTTATTAAAACAATCTTTTAAGTATTTTATTCCACTTTAGTGTTTTTTTAATTAACTACATCATTACTTTCAATAACAGCAAAAACACCTTCTTTATGAATATATTTAAGATCTTTAATACCCCTTATCTTTAATGGCTCACATTCCAAAGTAAATAACACAGTACATTAATTCATTCTATCCATAAAAACAAATAAGATTCTATCACTTTGAATTATCTATTTTCCTTGATTATTTCTTTTTATAATTTATATTGCTAATATATTATTAATTCTTGCATGATATTACTCTTTTGAACTATTTATAGGATTTTCACTATATATGACTTTATTTAAATAATCATCTTCTGATTTACAAAATATCTTATATTTTGGCTTTTCTTATAAATTTTTCATTAAAAAAAATCTAATCGATCTGTACTTTCTGGTCTATCCAAATATTGTTTTATATGGTTAACCTCCTATACAAAATAATCCTCGATCTGGCATAAATGTAATTGCAGTAGGTATTTATAATCTTGAATTGAATTATTACTCAAGGGTCATAGTTGCCAAATTAAAAATCCTAAAAATTTAATCTTCTGAACCAGTTACAAATCTATAGGCAGTCTCATATGGAGTATATAATTCTTAATTCTAAATTTGTAATCTATATATTTACTTTGCCTTCATTTTTTGGATCCTTCAATTCAAATTCATAATTCTCATCTGCTGCAGGATCTACATATCTCCACTCTTATATTAGTATGATCTTTTTCTCCTTTTTATTTTCAAGTTCTTTTATTGTACCAACAAGACCTCTAATTGATAGTTGCCAAACCTTTTATTTTTTATCAAAATTTTACTTTAATATCATTTTTCTCTCCTACAGTTATTAAATATTTGCCATCCCTAAACAATAAAACATCTGTAATCTATTAGTATGTCTTTAATGTTGCTAATTCATTTATTTTGTAACTTGCTTATTAATCCTAACTTTCTATTATAAGATTATCAATACATATTATCTATTCCTTTAAATTCTACAGGTGGAGATATCATTTGTTATTATTAAAGTTTTGCCTTTTTATCCCATGACATAACGGCAGTCTCAGCTAATTTTTATTAGTTTTTTTAATCTATAATCTATAGACTTCTCCTACCATCTCTAGATTAAGACTTTTACTCTGTTTATGACCCAAATATACTTGATTAATTTATTAATCTTTTTTTTAATTGATTCATTTCAGGGACGCTTGCCTCTTAATTGAAAAGCTTTTATTAAACCTTAGCTAATTATTAGTAATTTTGTGGCACTTACTATTATTATTATTGTTATTGTTATTGTTATTGTTATTGTTATTATTATTATTATTATTATTATTATTATTGTTATTATTATTATTATTATTATTATTATTATTATTATTATTATTATTATTATTATTATTATTATTATTGTTGTTATTGTTATTATTATTATTATTATTATTATTGTTATTGTTATTATTATTGTTATTATTATTGTTATTGTTATTATTATTGTTATTATTATTGTTATTGTTATTATTCTTATTATTACGATTATTACTATTGTTATTATGATTATTATTGTTATTGCTATTGTTATTATTACTATTATTACTATTATTATTATTCTTGTTATTATTCTGGTTATTATATTTTTTATTTTTCTTCTTGGATCAATTTTTTATCATTTTATTTGTTAACTTTTTATATTTTAATATCCTATGATAATTATTGTACTTTTTATTAATCAGGAGTTTATGTTAAAGTAATTGGTTATTCTACTAAAGCTTTTTGGTCAATTATTTCATCTTATTTTTATTTAGATGTTTCTTCTTACTTTTATTTAGAAGATGTGAATACAGAGAAAAATTATTTGACTGGAGATAAATCAATTAAAGAATGTTACTAAGGAGATTCACTATCTAGCTTAATTTATTTAGGTTAATCATTTAATTACTATGGTTATTAAGAACTTTTCTTTCTTAAACTTTAAGGACTCAAAGGTTCAATTGGATGTGAAAGTATAGTATGATGTAAATATGTTGGCTTGTATGATGAGATGTAATAAATTTATGATTAATGTTCAATGCAGTATATTTGATTATCAATATCTAAATTATGACCAATAAAAATTATGCTATCTTCCATAATTTTATAGGTTTAATATTTATTATACAATTCTAGATATTTATTTATTAAAATCTTTTTGTATTCATCATTTAAAGACATATTTTTTTATTTTATAAACATAGCCTAAAATATTTAAACACTCTCCATAAATTTCTTTGACTTTTCCTATTCTACTATTTAATATTTATCATTTTGTTTATTATAATCAATATTGATTTCATTTATTCCTAAATAATTAATTGGTAATTTATGCCAATCTATATCATTTTTGCCTAATTCTTCAACATCATCAACATCATAATAAAAAATAGTAAGCTTTCTATTCTTATCAAGCGAATAAAAGTTCATTTTGAAATCTAAATTTAATTTGATAATCACTTCTGTAGTTGTGCAAGGTTCAATTGAAACTAATGAATTATATTGTTTATATTATTACAAATATTAGGAATTATTGCAAATAAAGTAGGATTAGGAGAAACAATCCTAACTTAAATATAATGAAGAGTCAAATTTTGGATAGAGATGGTTTATTCTCTATTTTAATAATCGAATTTTATAGTATTTGGAACAATTTCAAGTATTTCATCCATTATTATAATATTATAAATAAAATTTACAAATAATAGCGATATTCAGTTATTAATCATGGATAAAGTCAATTTTGAATGATAAGATTCATTTAGCTTATCTAAAATGTCTTATTCTTATTCCCACAATTACTGAATTTTCATAAAGTCTTAAGCCTTTTACTTAAAGCTATCAAGTACTGCTTTTTTATGTTAAGATTTAAATTAATCTTATTTTTATTATTTATACATAGCTAAGTTTAATTATTATTGTTATTCATATAGTTGAACTTTTTATTTCTTTTCAACATTATATGATTTTGATCTTTCCTTCTAGAGAACAATAACTTTATCATGATTAAGAGATTGCTTTTTCATTTACTCAAATTATTCCTTCTTCTATTACTGCACGCTTTATCGAATCTAAACTTTTAGATTAAATTGCTATTGTTTTAAAAGCTTCGTTTTTTCTCTAAAAAGTTCCAGAGATTACTCCCTAGATTCTTTATGTTTACTTTACTAAATAGATATCTTAACATACATTCTTCAAGTATTCGTTATATTGATTTCTGATGCTATTCACTTGTTCATTCTTTATTTCGCTTTAAATCTGTTTCCCTTATCTAAATACTTAGAACAATTACAATCGTTATCGAAATACTTCCAACATTTTAACTCTATTTATCATGACGTCCAATTATCTTTTCATCTCTATTTACTCTTTCTTAGAAATTCTTTAGCTAACTTTTTCCATTATGTCTTGATAACTAACTGAATCCTATTTCTAACTTGTAGTACTCTACATAAAGAGTTTATTTCTAAATTTAATTATATTTTGTGTAAGAAGAAATAAATATACCATAATTTTAGATCAAACAAAAACAAAAACAGAAGGAGTAAAGAAAAATAAAAAAATTTTATTTTTATTATTTTCTTTTATGATGAGATAATTTTATATGGTAACTTTTAATAAATACTTGGATTGAAATGATTAAATATATCTACCAGAATTTAAAACATTGTTGTTTAATTAATAGAATAAAACATATTTCTATTATAATTAGTATCTTAAATAAGGTATTCCATTCAGTAATAAGAATAGAGATGATATAGAAAAATTAAGAAATAATCTTAAAGAATCATTTATTATAAAATTACAAAATTAATTGTTGTTTATTATTGAATTCATTTTATTAGAACAAATACATTTAATCTAAAATATGATATATTTAAATTTAATTAAATATGGTTTAGAAATAATAATTATGATGAGAAAATATTAAAAAAATATAAACTCATTTTTTAGATGGTTCAGTTAATAAATTTTAATAAAATTTAAGGTTTGTAATACTTTTATTATTTTTAAGGGTTTCATTAGAACATAATAATGATGATAATTAAGACTGTGATTATTAGGATAATAAAGATTATTAACTATTCTGAGAATTCTTAGTTCTTTTTCTAACTAAAGAATCAATAGTGTCTTTAGTAACTTATGTAGAAGAATTTTTATCAAATTCATAACCTTGATGTCTTTTTTATTGATAAAAAAATGAGGTTGCAAACATGGGTATAAATTAATTGATTAATTTTTGTTCCCGATTTAATTGTTCAAATAAAATTCTATCATTAGTAGTTGGTGATTTGAATTATAGTTTGGTTAAATCTGGAAAATAAGGAGGATCAATTTATTTTTAGATATATTTAGAAATATCAACATCTTAAAACCAAGGATGTGATAATATATCATCAACTCCATTTTTTGATCCTAATCTTTTATTAGGATCTTTAATCATAAGAAGTTTGATTAAATCTTTAACTTCAGGACTTAATTTTTTTGGAAATTGAACTTATTCATTAAGTAATCTTGTATAAATAATATTTTTATCTTCGCAATAAAAAGGAGGAAGTCCTGTTACAAATTCATAGAGTAAAGCACCTAAACAATAATAATCAACCATATTATTATGACCATCATTATGAAACATCTCTGGTGCCATATACTCTGGAGATCCACAAAATGAATAAGCATTTTACTCTGGTTGCATATTAGGTCTAGCTAATCCAAAATCTGCTAATTAAATATGTCCTGTAATATCTATAAGAACATTTTCTGGTTTTAAATCTCTATAAATAATTTATTAATGATGCAAAAATCCTAAAGCTAAACAAACTTCTGTAATATAAAATCTAGCTTGTGACTCTGTCATTTTCTATACTCTTTTCATATAACTAAACATTTCACCACCAGGACAAAATTCAATACCAAAAATTATCCAATTTTTTGTTTCAAATGCAAACTCAATTTTTGATGTAAACAAAGAACCTTTATTTGTTGTTTCAATTAAAATGTCTCTTTCATTTTAAACCAAATCTTATTTTTCATTTTACACAACAAAAGTTTTACTAATTAATTTTAATGCAATAAAACTGCCATCAATTAGAGATCGAGACAAAATAACTGTAGAAAATCCTCCTTTTCCTATTACATGTAAAAATTAAAAGCAACTTAAATTTAATTATTGTGGAGGTGAAATTCCTATTATTGGTTTCAGTCTTATAGTTTTACCAACCATATGTGTTAAAGGTAAAAAAGGTATTGTTAAATAATAATCAAATCCAATATTCTCATCTAATGTTGCAAATCCTATAACTTAATAGTTTCCTGATTTATTTTTCAATGCATTTAATACTTTATCTGTTGTTACATTAGCACAAAATTTATAATTTTATGTAACCTCTGATGAATAATGAACATAAATCAAAATTTCTTATTTTGGTAGCTTATCAATTGATGAAGATTTACCACCTATCTATATTGAATTAGTTAACAAATCTTCAACACTATTTCTTCTAGTCATTGATCCTTTTTCTAAAATTAATTTATTTTTGTTTGTTAGTTTTTAATTCTAAATCAAATTGATTCCTTTAGAAATTTATTGAAAAGGCAGGTTAATTTCAGTTGGAACTTTTACTTATTTTATTTAAGGCTTAATTTTATCCCTTGAGTTAGATCGCTATTAACTATGCACTCTTTCTGTTATACTTCCATGATTCACTTTTCGACTTATATCTTATTTCATTAAATCCTTCAATATAATTTGAGACATATTTCTTTGAATAAATTTTAAAGGAGATTAGGAAGCATTTTTGCTAGTGTGATTCTTAGTAGTCATCTAAAAGTTTTGAATCACTCTTGCAGGTGATAAAATTTAACCACTTCGTTATCTCATTATGGTTATCAAATAAAATAAATATAATATAAATATAAATAATTCAAGATGATTAATAATAAATTTGATGATGATCTAGATGAATTATTAAATGATATCAATTCAGCTATGGATTAACCATAAAAAAATCCAGTTTCATATTAAATCTATTAGCCATTAGCTAATTAAAATTAATAATAAAAAAGGAAATGCTTATCGCCTCAAATTGGAAATCAATCTTAACTACGCATTTGCTCTAATCTTAGATGTATAAAATGTGATCTTCAAGTTAAATGTCATATAAACAAAAAATGGAACAAGGATGTGGATTATTTGATATTCAGAAACTACTTTAACAATATGTCAATGTTATCAAAATATTTAACAGAGGATAATCAATTTAATGCCTATAATTGTTAATGCACCAATGTAAATGCTCTTGAATCAATTTCTGCACCATAAAATTGGGTATGTTCAGGTCATACAATTTGAAAAAATATAATATTATTATTAATCTAATAATAATTCTAACTATATAATTAAAATATTTAAAATTATCATATAATCATCTTTTCTCTCTACTTTAACTTCTCTTCTCAATCTAAATTAAAATATAATTGAATTTCTAATCAATTTATTTTAATTATACACTTAATTCTTCTTTATTATAGGTCAAAATTTATAAGTTATTGTATTCTTTGTAATTTTTAATATTAAGCAAATAAGAATTTACAAACTAAATTGCATTAAATTAATTGAAAAAAGATAGTTTTTATCTAATCTAGACATAATATATCATTCTATTTCTGAGAATAATTATTTTTTCTTAATTATTATTCTTAGTTACAAATTATAGAAATTAATATCAATTTAGATTTTCAACACTATTGAATTGGTGATATAAGTACTATGATTCTTAATTATTTATTAAAAATATTTAATGAATTCATATTTTTTATTTATTTAACCAAATTGTAATTGAATGTATTAAATTTAGATCTTGTATTTAATAATCTATTGCTGTATTTTCGATAATTTATAGACTAGGCTATATTTTTCAATTCTTAGATGTAACATTAATTTGAAATAAAAAATTATTAATTATTATTTTAGATAAGTGAAAAATGACATTAGAGCAAGCTGTAAAATAAATTATAATTTAGTTATCTGAAGATAGAGAATATCTAAGATTGTAAAAATTAACTGAAGCATTAAAATTAATAACAAATGAAATGCCTTATATGAAATCTTTTAATTAAGTGTCGACAATAAAATATTGTAAAACATTGTAATTTAAAAAAAGTATTATGTGCATATCCATTCAATCCAATAAGTGTGGAACTTGTAATTACTAGTTTAATAGATCATTTTTAAGATGAATAATTTATTTATACATTTTTTTCAGCAATAATGGAATTGGCTTCAATATAAGAAATGAACAATATATTAGGACATCGAAGATCAAAAGTAATGGATAGGTATTTAATATTAAAATTATTTGAGTTTTTCATTAATAAAATCCTCGAATGTTCCTCACTAAGTAGGATAAAGGTATTGTAGAGCTGTTTATGAAAACATTCTAGAAGCCAAAAAATTTGCTTGTTAATATTTAAAATAACTTTTCGATAGTGCGATATAATTTTAATAGGATATATAGTACTTTTCTATAGTGTTTAAGTTGATGATCAAAAATTCAAGTAATACTGAATTTATTCATTTTGTTATATAAAAATATGAAGAATGTAAGACTGAATTATTTGGTAATCATAAATGGATAGATGACTTAGATGATGAGATTATTGAATGTAAAGGTTTTAAGATTATAATTAGATTTTGAATAAAGTTAAATTCCTATGCCATTTGCTGTAAATAAAGGTTAAGAAGAATAAAGATAAGATATTAAAGTGAACACAATACAAATTAATGATTTATAAAATAAAGTTGAAAATTCAGATTCTGATTCCTCATTTTTGGATGAGGTAGATTTGATGAAAAAAGAATTCGAAACATTGTAGGTGAATATACAGAAATGGCTTTGTATTATTGGAACTCCTTCTATAAAATCTCGAATAGAATATATAAGTGATGAACATCATTTCGAATATTTAATGTCTTTCATTTTCAATCCGTTAAAACATGAGACAATTAAAGATTGGGTATATATTAATATTATTTATAGGAAGATAAATTTAATAATCTTTAAGTAGATGTTGAATAAACTGATTATAAAATAGAATCATAATTACCTTCAAAATTTTAATTGATAAGATCTTACAAAACTACATTAATTTTTTTGACTGATGAAAACTTCTAGTCAATGATTTAAATTGTTCCAAAATTAATCCCAATACTTCGTATTTTATTTAAGTTATATTTAAGTTTATCAAATAAAAATAAGCTTGGAAGAAAAAAGCAAATCAGTTAATCTTTTACATATTAGCTGTATATTAGATAAATTTCTTCAGAAATATCCAAAATCCACATTACTTTTAATGACAGAAATGAATCTATTTTAAATTCTTGGAAAATATATTTATAATAATAAATTAGCGACTATTTTAGTTGATATTTTAGATATCCAAATTGATAGATATTTCATTGGTGCTTTATATCAAGAATAATTATGGAGATATTTTTTAAAAATTAATTGGTTCGAAACTGTATCAACTCTTTTATTAAATAATAATTAATAATTTTAAATTTTGGAAATTAAAGAAAACTAAAAATTCACATAAATTCTCAGATCATTTGCACAAAGTGAAAAAGAGAAAACCCCACCAATTATTGATTGTGATGAGAAAAAAAAATTAACAGATTTTCTAGGAACTTTATAAGCAGGTAAGACTATGGAAGAATATTATAATTCCAACTAATTAAATTGGTAAATTAATTAAAATTTAAGAGAACATCTGTTATATAGTGAAATTGAAATTCAAGATATTGATGGATTAAAGAAATTTGTTAAAGAAAGAGATTCAAATCATTAACGATCTTTACATAGAATTAAAACTTCATAAATGATTAAAACTATTAAAGTCATAAATCAAATTAAAAGAAAGCCTTCAGAAGTTATGAGATTTATTTAAATTAATAAACCAATTTTAAGAGGTTTTCATGGACATAGAAGAAATTGTGAAAGTATAGATTTTTAATCAGATACTATAAGAGAAGATGAAAATAATTATGGAGAGTTTAAACTTCATAATTCTAATCCAGGAAGTTTTAGGGCTAGCTAATAAAATTCTGAGGATGGAGAAGATGATTTAGGATCTCTTTCTCCTAGAAAACTTAAAATATATCCTGGATATAAATTACATTTGTATGTTAGTGAATTTGAAAAGAATGAAAATAAGTTTAAAATCAATAAACTTTATTCATAAGAAGCAATCTAATTGCTTAAATTTCAAATTAATTCGTTTTTTAATTTCTTAGATTTGTAACATACAAATAAAATCAAAGTTGAATAACAAAAAATTGATATTAAACCTATCATAAACTCTTTATTAACATTTTAAATCATAATGAAACTTCATTAATTTTTTTTATATGGAATCTTAAAAGAAGAAACATCTCTAGAGTTTTAATTAGCAGAAGAATGTGGAATTATTGTTAATTAAATATATAAATACTCTCTTCTATATTAAGAATTACTTGAAATTAAACCTATCTTAGAGGAAATATTTTTATAAGCAGCAGAATATTTGTGCAAATTGATAGTCAAAACATATCAAACTTCTAATTAAGATTAAATTTCTGCTAATAGGAAAATTTAAACATTTTTGCTTCTTACATTTAAATAAGGATATTAAGTATTTCATTTTGATCATCATACTAAAGAAGACTATGGAGTTCATAAATTTTTTCATTCAACAGTTATTCATATAATCATTTATTGGTTTTTTAATAGTCAAAACAATAATCTGTATTAAAATGTATTTTTAAAGTAATAACTATTTACTAATATATTTTAGATTCATTACTTTAGTTTTGGCAAATGCTCCACCTGTAATTTTAAGTAGTATATTATTTAGACTTGGATTAATAGGCTTACTTTTTGATACATATAATATTTATTGTTTAAATGGAAGTGAACATGTTCTTTTAGCAGATGGTCTACTTGCTCATGTAAAATGCATTGTTTATTCAATTAATGCTTCAATAACATATAGATAGTTAACAACGATCTAATTAAATCTTAAATGTCTTGATTCATGGAAAAAACTAGCAGATGTTAATTTTAAAGGAGAATTATCAATCTATAAAGATATTAATTTTATTATTAATCCAAACTTTAATTTTAAACATAGCAAAATAAATTTCTATTCTTCTTAAATGTCTATTGAAAATAATAATGAATAAAATAACACCCCAAAATTAAGTAGAGTTAAGAATTAATACAATTCATAAAAAATTAAGGGAAATTATAAAATTTAAAATAAGCTTCCTCTCTTAAATCCTATCAATGAAAAATAAAAAGTTTTGTCAAAAACATTTAGCCAAAATATAAAACGATGACAATTAGAATATATATATTTTTATATACTTAATCAAAAACTTTATTTAACAATTTAACCAGCTTTATTCGTAAGAACTGATTTTTTGCTTAAAATTTATGTTAATTCATTTTCTAATAAAGCTGATAGATTATTTTTAGGAGGATTTATTTGAGGTTCATTTCGATATTTACTAACATACTTCTCATCAGAATTATATATATTACTATTTTTTTTTTATTCTGAAGATTTCTCCTTTAAGTCTTATTCCAACTATTAAATATATTAATTAAGTTAAGATATCTTATTTTATAAAGTGTGTAACTATTATTTATATTATTCAATTTGTTAATTTACAGAATTTCTTTTTAAGGCATCATCTTTTGCTAGATTTAGCAATTAATAATATTATTATGAATTTGATAGTCTACTCTAATTTCTATAATCATTTTTATTTATTTAAATTTTCATTTCTTTTATCATTTTCTCAAAAACATTAAATTCTATTTAAGAACCATCTTCTATACTATGGAAAATTGGTATGTATTTTTCTAAAACCATATCTAAATCTTCATTTTTATCAAAATTTAAATTATTTTTCTCAGCTGTTGAAAATATAGATTACTTTATTTTATTAACGAAAATAACAGTATAAACTACTTTTCTAAATCGTTTATAGATTTTGTTATTATTAATTGTAAATTCATTTCTAATTAAGACAAAATAATGTAAATAATTTGAATATTATATTAATTATGAGAAAGTTCTTTTTACTTTTTCATTTTATAATAAATGGGATATTACACTATAACTTAGAGCAACTTTGTTTTAAGAAATGGCTTTTCTTACTTGTAAATCTGAAAACTCAGATTTTAATTAATGATATTCATGTTTTAATTCTTCAAATTCTTAGGATATATTTTATGCTTACCATTTTGATTATTAAATCTATTCTTCATTTGTCTAAGATAATTGATCATAATGATAGCATTTATCAATTAATTAATTTATATATTAATTATCTTACTAAGCTTTTAAATTTTATTATTATAAAGCTTCTTCAAGTTAATTAATTTTACTATTTTACTCTTCAAAAATAGATCTATTTTCTTATTATAATTTTTCTTTTGTTTTTGAATATTCTTAATTTAATTAATCAAACTTTTATTTAAGTTATTCTCCAACTTTATGCATTTCTAAAATGTTTAAACTAATTTATTCTTTTTCTTCTTTTAAATGTGTATTACTTTCAAATAAATCAATAATAATATCTTTAATATCTTGAAAGAAATTTTCAATTTCTGAAAAATTGAAGCTATTTTTTTTTTTCTTTTTAGAATTAGAGCGTTTATTGGAAGAAGAAGATTTTTTAATTTCAAATAAATCTTAAGGATCTTAGATTTTATTTAAACAAAGACATTGTGTCATAATTTGATCAATTTAATTAGCAACATAGCTAAATAGTTATTAAAATTCTTGATTTGAATTTTCAATAGTTGAATTATATTCTTTTTATTTTTCAAATTGTTCATTTAAAATTTCATATTATTTTCTAAATTTTTCATTAGCCTTATTCATTTCATCAAAGGAGAAAGCATAATTTTTTTCACATTCCATAGCAGTTTAAATTTGAATATTGAATTATTCATTAAGTTATATATTCTTTTTTTCTAAATCTTCAAATTGTATTTTTAGATATTTTAATTCAACTAATTCTTAATGTTATTACTCTAATCTAGTTCTATAATCTTCTAATTCTTATTTTAATATATCATTTTCTGTTTCTAATTACTTCAACATATTAGCAATGTTACTTTCAAATTAATTTTTCTCAGTAACAATCTATCTTAATTATTGTTCAGCATCTAATTTTTCTTTTTTTAATTGTTAATTTTTTTTTGTTAACTATGATAATTCTTCATCTAATCCTTTAACTGCATCTTTAATCATAGTAATTTAATCAGTTAAGTCTTACAAAATCTATTCCTTAGATTAAATTTCTTAACTTTAATATTAAACTTACTCTAATAATTCTTAATTTTTATCTTATACTTCTTTTAATGCAACCAACAATTATTAATTAAACTATTGTAATTGTTTAGTCTTTTTTTATTAGTTTTCAAACATTTGATCATGTTCATCTTATAAAATGGTAAATTGACGATCTACATATTCTTTTTATTTAATAGCTTAATTCATTTAATCTTCCATTTCTAACAATCGCTCTTGCAATAAATTAATTGTTTAATCTTTAATTTGAATATCATTATTAAGTAATTTGATTCTTGTATAACTTTCTTAAATTGCTTACACACTATCAGTCATGTTAAAATTTAAATAAATATTAAAAATAACAATTCAATATCACTTCATAATCATTCCCACTATATTCATACCACCTTTAGTCATTTCTCTTTTTAATTATTATAATTTCTTCTTATGTTCTCCTCTACATTTGTAAAATCCTTATAAATTAGTTAAAGATAAAACAAAACATATAATTGGTAATGGTAACTAAACATTCTTATTAATAAATACCCATAAAATTTTAAGTCCAAAAAAATCTCCAAGACACATAAGACCCCAAAAGAGTGTTCCATATATTAGACAAGACCAAAAGAAATATTTATCAACTTTATTTGATTATTCTTACAATTATGTTTAAAACATCCATTTTTATTCACCTTTAAGATCCATTTCAATCCACCATCTTAATCCAATCAATTTTTAACCCAAATAATTCTTAAGAAGTAGAAATTATGTTAATTATAGTAAAATAACTAAAGGATAAGCATGAATGACATCTTATAACAGAATAAAAGTTAATCCTGGTATAGAAGTTAATACTAATGCAACAACACAATAATATGGATGAGCTGCTTCTGTTATATCATATTCTTATATTAATAAATCTTTCTATTGAAAATATCATATAATATAATTACATGAGCTGCTTCAACTTCCTCTTCTTATTAAGTATTTTGATAAACTGCATCATATTTATCTACTGTCAAATCAACATCAGGTTCTACATGCTCATTTATCTTTTTAGATTATATGTTTATTTTAAAATCTAAGGAGTTAGATTCCATTAAAATATTTTTATTTATATTCATATTTCCAATATAAATTTCTATTCATTTTACTCATTTTTTTATACTCAACAAAGATTCAAAGATTAAATTCTTACAATCAATCTTATTTTGAAAAAAATTTATACAAAAAAGATATTTTTATCAAGTTAAAGACATTTCTCTGATTAAAAATTAAGTTTTTATAGAAAATTATTAGCAAATAATAATAATATTGCATTCATCAATTAATTTCATTTAGAAACACTTCTTTTGTAATTTATTTTTATCCATTAAAATTATTGAACCTTGCTATAATAAGTTCTGCATCTTATAAACTAACATTAGTTATTGTTGATTTTTGTAATATTTGAAATACATCTAATACATCCATGTAACCTTTAACAAAATATATATCTAAAGAGTTAACTTAATCTTATTTAAGATACTATATTCTTGCTTTTTGTAATTGAAGTTCTTAGTCTCTTAATAATTAGAAAAGATTATCTGCAATTGTAAGAGCAGAAACAGGTAAGTCAATAATATCAATTTTATCTTTAAATGGTAATCTTTTATCATAATAAGTTAAAATGTTAATAAAATAATCATAAGATATATCTTATGAGTTCACACTAAAAGTTTACCATTGTTTATGCCAATCATTTTAATTCAAAGATTTTAGTAGAACAACTTCATCTAATTAAATCATAACATTTTATAAACATCTCTATTAATTTAAGTATATTGACATAAGATTATTAATTGCTTTATTTTCATTTATAAAAGACTTTTATTCTGTTAATTGATTTGGTGTCTTCGTTCTTGCTAATTTTGGTTCTGTATTCCTACTAGGAGTTGGTGTTTTTGCTCTTGGAGTTTAACAACCATCTTTTTATATAAAAGATTATTAGGTTTATAGAGGTTTGTATCTTTTTCTAAATTTATCCATATAATTGGAATTATTATTTTGTTTATTTAAAAGTATACTATTTTTCATAATAGGAATTTAAATCTTTTCTTAAGCTCTCTATTTCTATGTTTTGAGTGCTTAACTAAAATCTTCAAAACTCATTATTGTACCATCTCCATTTCCAACTCTTTTTAATAATAATTTTATATCTTCATCATTCAAATTCTATCTAATACGTATAAAAAACTTTCTCATTTTATTAAAATCTACAGCATTACTTCCAGGGCATAACTTATTAAAAAGAATTTCTTAATTATAATCCCATCTTCTAAAAATTCTTACTCTTTAATCATCTAATTATCTTTCTAACTATATTTCTTCATAAAGTAATCTAATAAAAGATATTTCTGCTTCTTTTTTTTAAACATTACCAGGTAATCTCAAATATCTATCTTAAAACTAACTAAATAATAATCTATCTTCAAATCCTCCTAATCTACCAATCATGTCTTTTAATTCATAAGCTTATGTATCAATCCCATATGATTTTAAATAAATTTAAAGCTGCTCTAATCTACAAACTGAATTTTAAAAAAATGGAGGTATATATTTATTATCTGTAATTTCTTATATGAATTCTAAACACTTTTCTAATCGTCTCTATTTATATTATTTAATATACCTCATGCCATTTATTACTAATATAAAAAATTTACATAGTTCTTATTAGGTTTCAATAGATGACATTTATAAATTCGTTAAAATAAATATTATAATCAAAACAATATCTGTTCACCAGATTTAGCTAAATTCCTTGTATTCCAAGTATTTATAACCAACTCTTATTCTTCAGTTGGAATTTCTGCTATCTTAAATTCTTGTTATTACTCTCTTTTTAACATTCTTAGTTCTCTTTTAAATTAATTTTCTCCTGTTAAACTTAAATAATCTTGACAATCAGCAAATTTATTTTTCGGTTTACCTTTCAATTTCTAATGATACATAGATTCCAATTTGGTTGAATATAATTTAGATTTAGGTGATTCTTAAAAATTGAATTAATCTGTACTAGTGAGTTATTGTGACTTTAATTTTTACTGAGATATAACAGTTTCAACTTATTTAAAAGGATTTTCGACTAATTTAGCATTAAAATTAGATTAAATATCTGATAAAACAAATTATTACTATTGATATAATCTTTCTGCATCAGTATCTGTTACAAATCTATTTGTAAGTCTATTTTCAAATTTTCTTTCACTTTATTATTAATTTTTTGAAGTCAATAATGTAAATGGAGGTCTTGAATCTTTATGATCATACCATCTTAATCTTAAATACCAGTAACGGCTATTATTTTTTTCATCATCCCCTTTACATAATTCTAATGCTTATACCATTTAGTTTTTTTCTCTATATTAATCAGATCTAGCCATAATAGTTTCTTCAGGTTTTCGAAAACAATTTGAGGCGACTTAAATATTAAGATTTTCCCATAAAGATTTTACTTCTTCATGCTTTTTTATTGATCTTTATTCTCTTGTGATAGCATTTCTTATATTTTATGGTAATTTTCTTTCCTATTCTTCTTATTCTTTTTCGCCTTATTATATTCTTTTTTCTGCATCTCTCATTATTTAAACTAAATCTCTCTTATTTAAAAATTTCTAATCTCCTCTATTCTTTTTTGGTGTCTTTCTACTTTATTATATCAATTTCTCACTAAATTAGCTTGTCTTTACTTATAGCTATTCTTCTATAGCTGAATCCTCTGTGATTCCATTATTTGTATTCTAATTTTTGATTTTTTTTTAATCGTATTGTTTTTTCTTTTCTTAATGAGTTTTAAGAAATTATTAATATCCAACTACTGAATACTTTATTAATTTATCTTATTTTAATTTTTCAAATCTAGGAATTCCTGTATAATCGATAAATTTTTTACGTTCTTCATTTTCAGCATCTTAGAATATATGTATATATTTATACCTTAGAATATATTTTAGGTTGAACATTTTTAAGACTAAGAATATAAAGGATTTACTTATCCAGGTTTTAATACTCTTAACTTACCTAAATCATTTTCTAATATATTAAGATTATCATAAAATATATTTGTATTTAATCCAAATCCATTCTATTAAATACTCTAAGATTCTAAAGTCTAAAAATTATAAGGTCTTGTGGAAATTGATTCTTAACCAGTTTCCAAAACCATATCACTTTTGCTTATGGCTTTAGATTAAAATATAATTGGCTAAGATATGAATAATGTCCTCATCATTCTATCAGGCTTTTTAGATTTATTAGGTAAATTCATAAAAAATAAAATAAATATTGATTAAAAGGTGTATCACATGATTAAATTATATATTTAATAATATTTAGAATAAAACAATATTTGTTTTTATTATAAAAATGTGTTTACTAATTAGACAATGGAGTTTTATACTTTTGGCACTAAAAAATAAGTTTGATTAAATAATTAGGTAATACTAAAAGCAATAAGAATATGATATTTTTGTATCTAATATAAATAGAATTTCTATTATAAATAAAGTTAATTAATAAATATCATTCACAGTATTGAGTAGGATGCTTTCTAAAAGATATACGATTATCTCCAAATCTCGAATTGGATGTAGAAGGCAATGTAATAGCAGTAGATATACTATTATAATTTGTAGTAGAGGTTGACTTAGCTCTAGGTAATCTTAAAGGATATTTAGATTATGGTTTATGTTCTGCAATTGTGATCTCACGACTTAGGTTCATTAGTCTACTTAAAGGTTAAAGTTTTTATTCATTTGAAATTAATTTATCTTCAATTTATGATAAGAGTCTGCCTCTTTCACTTAAGTAATGAACTTAATTTAAAACTTTTGTAATGTCAGTAGGAAAATAGTTTTGAGGGTTTCTTTCATTTGATTTATTTATCAATTTTTTAAGGAAGAGTTTTGATTTTTCAGATAAAACACACTATTTGAATTATTCAGTTGTTATAAAACGACCACTTTTTGGATTAGCCTATTTAATATAGGCTGTTAATTCTTATTCATTTATGGAAATTCCATATTTATTAAGAAGAGTAAGTAATTCATATTTTTGAATTTCGCCTTTTCCTTCTTAATCGAATTTAGCAAATAATTATGCCAATTCTTATTTATATTCCTAAATATAACAATAATATACTTCTTCTTTTGGATCAATTATATATTAACTATTTACAGATTTATGAAATCTTTAAAGTAGCCATTGTTTGACTGTATGAGTTCGTAATTTAAACATTAATTAATTTATGAGTCCAAAAATTGCAATAATTGTAGGTCTTTTAATAAGACTAGGATTAATTGCTTATGCAGAAATATANTCTTGTGGAAATTGATTCTTAACCAGTTTCCAAAACCATATCACTTTTGCTTATGGCTTTAGATTAAAATATAATTGGCTAAGATATGAATAATGTCCTCATCATTCTATCAGGCTTTTTAGATTTATTAGGTAAATTCATAAAAAATAAAATAAATATTGATTAAAAGGTGTATCACATGATTAAATTATATATTTAATAATATTTAGAATAAAACAATATTTGTTTTTATTATAAAAATGTGTTTACTAATTAGACAATGGAGTTTTATACTTTTGGCACTAAAAAATAAGTTTGATTAAATAATTAGGTAATACTAAAAGCAATAAGAATATGATATTTTTGTATCTAATATAAATAGAATTTCTATTATAAATAAAGTTAATTAATAAATATCATTCACAGTATTGAGTAGGATGCTTTCTAAAAGATATACGATTATCTCCAAATCTCGAATTGGATGTAGAAGGCAATGTAATAGCAGTAGATATACTATTATAATTTGTAGTAGAGGTTGACTTAGCTCTAGGTAATCTTAAAGGATATTTAGATTATGGTTTATGTTCTGCAATTGTGATCTCACGACTTAGGTTCATTAGTCTACTTAAAGGTTAAAGTTTTTATTCATTTGAAATTAATTTATCTTCAATTTATGATAAGAGTCTGCCTCTTTCACTTAAGTAATGAACTTAATTTAAAACTTTTGTAATGTCAGTAGGAAAATAGTTTTGAGGGTTTCTTTCATTTGATTTATTTATCAATTTTTTAAGGAAGAGTTTTGATTTTTCAGATAAAACACACTATTTGAATTATTCAGTTGTTATAAAACGACCACTTTTTGGATTAGCCTATTTAATATAGGCTGTTAATTCTTATTCATTTATGGAAATTCCATATTTATTAAGAAGAGTAAGTAATTCATATTTTTGAATTTCGCCTTTTCCTTCTTAATCGAATTTAGCAAATAATTATGCCAATTCTTATTTATATTCCTAAATATAACAATAATATACTTCTTCTTTTGGATCAATTATATATTAACTATTTACAGATTTATGAAATCTTTAAAGTAGCCATTGTTTGACTGTATGAGTTCGTAATTTAAACATTAATTAATTTATGAGTCCAAAAATTGCAATAATTGTAGGTCTTTTAATAAGACTAGGATTAATTGCTTATGCAGAAATATAGGATAAATATTTCAATTTGAAATACACAGATATAGATTATTCAGTATACTGAGAATTCATATGTAGGTATACTCTGATGGAGCATAATATGTTGTTGATGGAGGTTCACCTTATGATAGACATACTTATAGATATTCACCTATTTTAGCATATATTCTAATACCAAATGTCTGGATATCATCATTTGGAAAGATTCTTTTCAGCTTTGTTGATATGTTAGCTTGTATTTTCATGTAAAAAATGGTTAAATCTACATTTCTATTGAATTTATGGATTTTCAATCCCCTAACAATCTAAGTATCTACTAGAGGATCATCAGATACCATAATTGTCTTTTTAATTTATGCTATGTTGTACTTACTAAAGAAGGAGAAGTATACTTTAGCTGCACTAATCTATGGTTTTATGGTACATTTACGTATTTATCCAATCATATATTCAATACCATTATACTTCTTTATAGATTCACATTAACCACAAAGAATGTAAGATAAATTATATAATAAGATATTTGGGTATATTTAGTAAGAATAAAATGAAGTTTGCTTTAATTTCAGGAGGATTATTCATTGCTTTAATGATATTTTTCCATTTTATTTATGAAGATTTTCTATTCCAAACTTATCTTTATCATTTCACAAGGAAGGACAATAGACATAATTTTTCACCTTATTTTTATTAGATTTATTTAAGTTTTGAATCCATCACAAGGATTTAAGCAACATTAACATTCTTGCCTTAATTTTTGATTATTATTTTAGCAGGATTGAAATACTATAGAGATTTACCATTTGCAATGCTTATTTAAACATTAGGCTTTGTTGTTTTTAACAAAGTTTAGACAGCTTAATATTTTGTTTGGTGGATAGCACTCATCCCATTGGCACTTCAAAATACAAAAATGAATAAGAAAGAAATATTGATTTTGTCAATTATTTGGTTAATTTTAGAAGTTTAATGGAATGTAGGATCTTATTATCTTGAAATATAAGGGTAAGATGTATTTACAATGATCTTTATTTAATGTATAATATTTTTCTTGTCAAATACATATCTGATGATCAAATTCATACAAAATCGTTTGCCGACTGAATTCTATAAGATTAAAATAGATTGAATAACTCAAAATTTCATTTAATATCAATTATTTATATTTATCCAATTATAATTTACTCAATCCAATATATTAGTTGGGGCTGTGTACTCTAATATTCTATTAAAATTCTATAAAAAGTCTGCATAACCTTCAGGAATTTACTAGTATTTAATTTATATTAAATATTAGAGTAATAATATATTTTTGAATCGAAAATAATGAGTAGGAGTAAGTTTATCTCTTTTTAATTAGAATATAGAGGTTTAAGCTACATCTTTATTATCATTATAACTTCGAAATTTAACTCCTGATTGATCAAATTCTACTTTGAGATTGTTTGCATAACAATCATGAAGGGAAGAAGGTGTTCTTTCAATAATAAAATAAGCTCCTCTAGAACATAATATTTCTACTAAATCATTTAAATTGTATTTGATAGCATATTATAAAAATGTTTAATCTTAGAATTGATGCACAGGTTTATTAATATCCTAAAGATTACAACTCAATTTACTTTTCCAAATTCATCGCATAATAGTTTAAAACTCTCTAAATCGTTATTTAAAAAAGCAGTTGATAGTAATGAATATTAAGAGAGTGGATGTTCAATCAAAAGATCTTTTTTATGTAAATATTTCATTAATTCATGATTGCTATATCTGACTGCATACATGGCAATTGTCCAATAATTTGGAGCAACCAAATTTTAAATGTAATCTCTATGAGTTTCTATGAATTATATTAATTCTTAAGTTTTATTCTGTTCAATTAAATTGAAAAGATAAGTTTTCAAATTTTTTGGAGCAGAAACAATACTCATTTTTTATTATATTAATAAATATTGAGTATAAAATATAATTATGATTTTTTTAATATTTTGCTTGACTTTTTAAGTAATCGCAAATTTTAGTTTAGAATTAGGCTAAACATATAATGAGTATCTAATATAATCATAATTTAGTGCTATAATACCTTGGCAAGGAGATAAAAATTATAAATATTATCAAATTGATATAGAAAAAGCTCTTTAAAATAGAGATTTAATAATAGTTGTTAAATAACAATCTACTTTAGGAAATCCTGATATTTATATTTCTTCTAAGGAGCAAAAGCCAAATAAAACAAATTATGAGATTCAATGTAATTCATAAGGAATGGGTAGTTTAATTTATAAATGGTTTTAGATATTTGTGTAATTGAATAGCCAGAGAAGAAGACTTATTATTTAGCAGTATATTGTGAGGATTATTGTCGATATAATTTAAAAGCGGTTTATCAAGAGGAATTAATGATGACAAATTGTAAGTATCATAATATATATGAAATAGCTGATGATTTAGAGTTTAAGTTTAATAGTTCAAGTTGGACAGAAATAATTAGAATAAAAATAAATTAATTAAATTTGAATCCTATAAAACAGGATTAGAATTTAGAAGTATAAGTGTAAGTAAAGAATATTGAGATTTTGTAAGAGTCTTTTTAATCATTTATGAATTTTGGAATGGAAAAGCCAACACAATAAAAACATCAATATAAAGGATAAGATACATTTTCTGGAATTTAAAAGTTTAAGATAAATAGAATAATGGCAAATTAAACTTATACACTTTTAGTAGAAGCATAATAAGGAGCAATTGTGTAGATAAAAACAAGAACTTATGGATAGAAAAGGTTTATTAATGTAGGAGATTCAATAGAAGAAGTATTATAAGAAAATGAATTTGGATTCTATGTATTAAATATTACATCAGATTAAGAATAATTTTAATTAGGGAAATTGATTTTAAATATTTAATTGATATCTTTTAAAGGTTATACTGAATTATATGTTAATATGGATGAGAATCCAAAATCTTTAGAAGATTATCATTGGAAATTAAAAGATGGATCAACAGATGATTTAATAATTACAAATGAAGATTTGAATCGTTTAAAAGCTAAAGGATTTTATGCATTTATAGTAATATAAGCAAAAGAATCAAATGCTACATTTGAATTAAAAACTTAGATGTTGAATCCAGATTTAATGGTAATGGAATTGAATAAACCAGCAATTAGTTAGATGAGTAAGTTGAAGTTTCATCAATATAAATTCTTTATAAAAAGCAATAAAAGATAAAGTGTTAGTGTTAGTCTTAGAAATATAAAAGGAGATGCAGATATAATACTAAAATCATGTTAAGATTTTTGGTCTTGTAAATTTAATTAAGAAGAATATAATAATATAAATGCTATAGATTTAAAAAATAATAGTAGTGAATAGTAATATTTATATTCTTTAAAGTATTAATGAAATAATATTTAATAGTCCTGGAAATGATATAATAATATTTGATTATTTACCATAAAATTGTAAAGAATATAAGAATGTTCATATGTGTTTCTATACTATAATGATTATTCCTGGATAAAATAATATTGAAGATGAATTAACATACTCTATTTTAATAACAACAAAGCAAGATTCAATTATATTGAAAGAAAATGCACCAATTAAATAATTTGTATTTCATGAATTCTATAATTACTATAAATTTATAGTGAATGATAATGATCATATAAAAAGACTTTTTATCTAATTAACTCCTATTTAAGGTTAACCAAAGATATTTTCATCTAAGAGTGAAATATATCCTTCAAAAGAACAAAATGATAATCAAGGTGTTCATAATTTAATTACTTATGGAGATAAAGACAATAAAGAATCAATTAATGGAAGTATTTATATTGGAGTTTATGGTGAAACAGCTAGTTAATATATTATTACTGCAATTATATTCAGAAAATAAGATGATTGGGGAACAATTGGAAAATATGCACATTAATATATTTAACTTATAGAAGGTTAGCCACAAGAAATTACAACTAATTATTCATAGGATATTTAATTATTCAAAATTGATTTAACTGGATATAATGATAAAGAAACAGTTAAAGTGTATATGAGAGTTAATTCAGGCTAATTTTGGATGTTTGGATTTGATCATCCAGAAGTTGATATAAATAAAGCATTTTTAAAAGGATAAAATAAATTAGTACTTTAATTATCAAACTCATAAAAACTTCCATAATATTTGTTTGTTAGAGTTCAAACTAATTCTTCCACTTCATATCCTCCATATTCATATTCAATAAATTATAGAGTTAATTCATAACCTATTGAATTGGTTATAGGAGATAATTATTAAGGTTTTATTGAAAGTTCTGAGAAACTACCTTTTTTTGTCAATATTTATAAAGAAGAAGATATTTATATCTTTCTCCATGTTGAAAATACTGATCAATCTATTTTATCAGCTACTATTTTTGTTTAAGATGATATTATTAATATGAATTCATAAAGTAAGATAATTACTGCTAATTAACTTAAATATAAAAAATGTAAAAAGACTGAAGAAATAGTTTCATGTTAAATTACTATTCTTATAGAATCTAATTAAGATTCTCACTTTTCGTTATTGATTTCAAAACCCTCATCAATCATAAAACTTTATAATGAAGAATCAATTACAAAAACAATAACAAATGATTATGATTATTTTACATTTTTATTAACTGAAGAAACAGAGATAGCAATATATTCTCCTACAGCTAATATTAGAATCTTGGCCAATATTATATAAATAGATTCACCAACAATAGATTAATTCCCAACTAATGATGATAATTCATAATTTTAATCATTAAATGATTTAATTGAAATAGAAAGTTCACTCTTTATCTCATTGGATGAAATAAAAAAGGCAAATTGTGATCATATTGTTTGTTATGCTGCAATCACTTGTACTCTTGCAGATCCATCTAATTAAATGAATCAAGAGTATACTATCATTCGAACTTCAGGAGCATTTAAACTTTTTGAAGGTTTTGTTTATTAAGGAAAAATTAAAAAAGATTAAATTAAATATTTTAAAGTTACTGATGTCAATGAAGCTACTGGTTTATAAATTATTGTTACTACTTCAGAAAAGAATTAAATACTTTTGATGGCAAGTATTAATTAAATGCCTACTTAATAATCTCATGATTTTACTTCTAGTTTCAATTTTGGAGACTATATAATTATTCCTCCAAAAAAAGATTCTTTTTAAATTGTCACATATTAGTATTTATTTAATATTTACATTATATAGTATTGGTGTTTTGGCTTATTAAGAAGTATCCATATCAATATAAGTTAAAATGGGACTTTCACGCTTTTATCATATTAAAATTTAAAAACCATTTCTTACTACTTTACCTGAAGGCTCTAGAACTTATTTAACATTTTTTAATAGCATTTTAGGTGATCTAAGTATTCTAATTAGTTCTAATGTACTAAACCAATACTTAAGACCAAAAATACTTATTAGTACATATTAAATTAATCAATTATCAGAAGTCATGAATTCTATATAAACAAAGTATGTTTAATTATATATTATTTAGTTATTATTGGAAAATGGATGATTATTATCTCTAAATTACAAGTGATTAATAGAATTATTGTACTAATTGTTATTATATGATTTATTTGGAAAATAGTTATTATGAAATTTAATTAACTATTACAATTAATCAACAAGATTCTCCAATATATTTATTGGATAATGTAGAGTTAAAAAATTAACTTAAAACTAATTAGTCTTAGCGCTATATTTATTATCCAAGAAACATGAATGATTTCTATATGAATGTAACTGTTTTTAAAGGTTAAATTTATTTATTCGATCAAAAAGATGGTTCAGATATTGAATATTCTCATCATCTACTTACTCTTAGTGAATAAGATGGATTATATGATTATTTAAATAATTAATTAGCTAGCCGTGAAGGAATTCATGCTAATCGAAGTTTATATATAAATCATGTCAAAGAGAAAAACAATCTCTCCTATTATGATTTTAAAGTGTTTTCTAATTTCACAAATGAATCAATCTATTAAATTGAAATTATAGATATATATTAAGCTATTGAATTAAAAATAGGGTAACCATAAAAGTTTAAGATCACTTCATAAAATAAGGTATAATTGTACTTTGTTATCCCTGAAGGGACTAATGATTTTAATGATAATTACTATTCAATTACAATTGAAATTCATACCTATTATAAATCATAGATATATAATTTTATGCCTGAATTCACTTTGAAACAGGATAGATATAATAACCTTGACCTACTCTCCAATTATCATGATTTCGTTGATGCTCAATTATCTATTTTACAAGAATTAGATAATTTAATTTATATTTAAATACCTAGCATACCAGGACTCTATTTTCTTACCCTAAATCCAAAAGAAATTAATCATTTTTCATACTCTATTACTTTAGGAAACAAAGATTATGACATATTAACACCAAAATCATAGAGATTAGTAAAAGCCAAAGTAGGAGAATAAAAGATATGGGAAATTCATCTCTATTAAACCTCTTAGCTTTTTGTGCAAATTTAATTATGTGGTGGAATCGTCAATGTATTTGGAAGTTCCTCCAGAGATGAGCTCAGTATGGGATTTTTTAAAGATAAAATTGAACACATTTAAAATAAATAATTAATTGGTATCATTCCATCTGTAATTCCTCATATTTATTATTTAAATACTTAAACTATTAAAAGTACTACATAAGATGATTCTGTTTCATATATATTGAGACTTGACATCCTATAATAAGATACTAATATACCAATTGATCATTTTTATCCAGGGGATGATGGAGAGTTTAAAATCTTAATGATTTCAAATGAGTTGCAATTTTAATTCTCCCCTATATAATCTTCTGGAAAGTCTAGTTAGGATTATTCATTAGAAAGCATCACTTATACTTTTTTATATTAAAAGCAAAAATAAAATGATAATTCAACATTTGATAAATGTAAACCCTACACAAACTACCAATCACAACATTATAAAAAAATTGATCATGAAGCTTAAAAAACATTATCTCAAAAAATTAAAATAGAAGAACATGATATTGAAAAATTACTAGCTACAATTTAAGCTACTGGTAAAAATATGTATTATATATTCTAGTAAATGTCAAAACCAATAATTATGAGAGATTATCATTAACTTACTATTATAAGGTAAAAATTTTAGAATCAAATACTCTATCTAATGATCCCTTGAAAGGGTATTTTATTATAATACTTGCAGTCTTATTTTTCTTATTTTTCATTTTGGCCATGAAGTACAGAAATCTTAGATTAATGTAAATATTTTATTAATTATATAGTGCCAAATTTGATGCCTATACATAAGAGCCTAAATAAGAATATGAACAATAGATTGAAATGAATTATTCAAATTTTAAGTGATTTGCAGCATTGTGAATTAAAATTTATATAAATTATAATTATTTAATTCCAAAAATAAATCAGTTGAACTAATTATTTGAAAGAATAATGCTACATTCATTTAAATAATATATAAAGATTTTTAAATTAATAAAAATCTAAATGAATCTCTAAAAGTTCAACTAAATAACAGATGTTGCATCAAAATTTTGGAAAAAGGAACTTCTTAAATCAAATAAAATAGAAAAAGAAATATCTACTATTTGTGGTTGTTATGAATTAGAGCCATCCTTACTAGAGATTTCAACAATGAAAATTCAATAATATTTGGTATTTTAGGAAGAAGAAGCAAATTTATGCAAGAATTCTTGATTTATTTTAATCATCATTTCAATTTATTTACATATACATATATATATTAATATTTTTTAAATAATCAACAAGAGGAATAAATCATCATTGAATTGCAAACAAGTATCGAATTACGTAAGACAGTGATGATAAAAGGTTTGGAAGCTAAGATTATCAAATTGAAATTCTTATTTAATTAATAGAGTTGATTTAAATAATTAAAATAAAATTATTTCTTTCTCTAATCAACATATAATAATTGTTTATTCTATTAATTAGATTAATAGAAAGAAAGTGATATTTTTGTATAAGTATGATATAATAAAAATAATTGAAGAATTATTTAAAATAACATAAATATTAATAAAAGTTATTTTAACATTCATATTCAAAAAAATTGATTACAAAAAATCAGTCTTAAGATTCTGACATTTAAGAGTCTAATTCTTTATCTGAATGTTATTGGTCATCATCATCATCATTAAGATCGTCTTCTTCATGAATTTTTTCTGCATAAAGTGACTCAGTTTTATGTTAAATACCAACAAGTTTTTCTAAATCCATGATTCTTTTATGTGAGAAGAGAATAGATTATCTAAATTAATATATAAGAGCATTACTAAATTTATAGTTTTTCTCTATTTAAAGCTTCAATTTCTCTCATAAGTTTATAATTTTCATTTTTTTCTTCATGCAATTTTTCTTTGAGTTTTCCATGAAAAACTTTGAGCATAGGTTATAATTCTCTGATATTAGTAATATTATCATTATTGATTTTTTCATTCATAGCTTTTAATTCTTCCTAGATTTGGAATAGATTGATTACTTCAGTTTTTTTAATTAATTCTTTATACTCGGCTAATGAATCTTAAAGCTATTTGATAGATGTAGTATAAAGTGTACTCATAGCAGCTACATTATCACTTGCACTCATTCTGGTTTTGTATTTTTCATCTAGGTTAACAAATTATTTGGATTTCTCATCATAGATATCTGGAGGTTCATATAATTATCCCATTCCAGCTCTGGCAAGTACATGAGATACAGATTTACTGACTTCATCTCCTTGGAGAAGCTAAGCTGTTACATTATCAAACCTTAAGAGATTTTTAATTAGTGAGCATAATGTCTTTTGGGAGGTAAGGACCATTATTCTATCCAAGATTGAGACTGTATAATCCTCCTTGTTTACTTGGCTTTTCTTAAGTTTTCATTATTAATAATAATAAAAATAATATTTTAATATCTCATTAGAATATAGAGTCTTTAAAGTAGTTTTCTTTTGTTCTTTAGGTTTATTGATGAGTAGTATTTTATGGTCGTTTTTCATAAACTGATCTTTGGATTCCTTTTTTTTATTGATCTTTAGATGGGATATCAAACTAATCTTATTTTTGATTATATAGGTCAGGATCATATGATTTTGGTATGAAAGGAGCTCTTTTTGGATATTGGATTGGTTCTGATAGTTTATCTCTAATCTAAGTGTAATATTGATTAGTTTAGTACATTCTCACTATCATAATTATTAATATGATAGTTGGGTGTATCATATTCAGATGGATGTTTATTAGTCTATTAAAAATCAGGATGATTTGGATATTTCATAGGAGGTCTTTAATAATAGTATTTTTAATCTTATTAATCCTCTATGGAATCTCTATAATACTATTCTGGGATAAATGGAGGAGGTCTAGATTAAGGTGGATGAGGTAATAAAGGTGGTTATTATGGATTAATTGGATGTTATTATAAATGATTATGTTATGGTAATTAAGGTATTTATGATACTTATGGTGGTAATTAAGGACGTAAATTAGGAGGGAATTTATTAATTGGAGGAATATTTTAGTAATCATGTGGTAGAGGTAGAGATGGTGGTGGTGGTGGTGAATCAAATTATGGATGAGGTGGTGGTGGTGGTTAAGGTGAATTTAAAGGAATTGAATGATGATATTATGTTGGAGGAGGCATAGTCATAGTAGGAAAGTCTTTTGGAGTATAATTAAAAGGTTATAAAGGAAGATGAGGAGGTGGAGGTGGTATTGGAATTTCTGTTGGTTTATTCAATATTCTTGGAGGTGATTATTATGGTTATGATCTTATTGAAGTTAATGGAACTTATTGATATTATTAAAATGATAATTGTGGTAATGGTGGTGGTGGTGGTGGTGGTAATGATGATGGTTATGGTATTCTAGTCATTTAAGCATTTGTCTGAATCAATTATAATTAAGGAGGTCTTGGAATCACAGTCTATTATAAAATTGGAGGTTATTAAATAACTGTTGGAACCATATGTACTTCTTTTGGAGGGGATAATCTAACTGTTCTCTCTGGTGATATTGTTTCTGTTGTTACTGGTACATATTCAGTTATTTCATGAGTTACAGGAACTTGAATCTTTTTTATTCTTGTTTCATATTCAATTATTTTCTTTTCAACCGGAATATATTCTGTAATTGTTTCAGGCTATAAATTGGTAAAGTCTGATAAAGATTACTGTTATTAAATCATTAAGTCTTGTCTTGCTTATTCTGATTATGCTGTTTAATTCATCATCACATTCTGCAACTAATTTTACAATAAATAATTATGATGATGCATCTAAAGCATCTATTAAAATTATTCATTCCACTATTATTACATTATTTATTGTTATAGATTCTATGATAATTAATTTTATCTTATTTTTTGATCATCGTTTTAATATTATGGTTATTATTATAATTAAGGTACTCCTCCCTATTATTATTAAAACTGCTATTGTTATTATTACTAATATTATTATTGTTGTTGCATCTAATAATTTTGATTAGATTGTATCATTTAAGGTGGATAGAATGTAATTGGTTGTGGTTTAATACTCATTTGAGATGGCTACTAAATCTATTGTGAATCAGGAGTATAACTTGTTTATTGAGGTAGTTGAGCCATTTGTTACATTTGTTACATTTGTTATTGTTACTGTTAATTAAATTAAATCATGCTTTTGCTTAGTTAAATATTTTTGTTATAAAATATAAACTCATATTGTGTTATAGTTATATATGTTTATAAAAGTATTAGTTAATCATATTATCTCTCTTTCTCTATTTATAATATTTATAATAATGAAAAAAGACCGTCAATCATTACTCTCAAATGAACCTTTTAAAATAGGTGAAAACCCCTATAAGGCTTTCTTAGTATTAAGATAGCCTCAATTAGATGAACCTGAGAAGCCCTAACTTGTTCATTAGATCAACGAACATACAGTCTAAGCTAAGGATTAATAGTACTAGTTTAGTGGAATCTTTGCAAATAAGAACTCTAACGAAGACATTTACAAAGCAGTATTTAGGGATTTAATTTCACATTTTTTGGCAGGAGAGTCTCATATGATATAAATCTTAGGAGAACGACATTCAGGAAAAGCTACTTTAGCTATTGGAAATATGAGAAATCCAGGACTGGTATTACTTATTATGTAGGAGATCTTTAATTTTATTGAAGAGAAATTTCTTGAAAACAACATCACTATTAAAATGAGTGCATTTGAGTTTGACGAAACTGGTTTCAAAGATTTATTAGTTTTAGACTCTTAACCCTTTATGCCAGTCTTTTAAAATGGTTAAAACTAATTACTTGGTATTCCGGAAGTTATCATTGATAATTATCTATTGGGAATGAAAATATTAAGAATTGCTATGGTCAATCTTATAAATAAAGAATAGAATATACTTAGTTAAAAATTTGTTGATAGACATAAACGAACTAATTTTATTATAGAATTAAAAGCTGAAATTAGTCCAAATGATGATATCAAAGAATAGGTGATCATTTCTAAACTTAAAATTGTTAAGTTTAGTGGAACTTTTGAATTTGGATAAATCTATAAAACAATGGCTGATTTAACTACAAAAAGAAGAAAACATGTTGATGTCCCATTCAAAAGTGTAGAATTATTAGATTATTTTCGAGATTACTTGTTGAATTAAAAATAAACTGTTTTTGTCTGTATTAATAGTGATAGCGTTGAAACTGTTAAATTAGGTTCACTTATTGGATAAATAATGAATAAATCTTAATTCCTGACCTTTTCCATTTATTAATAAAATGCATAATTAAAAGACATAATGAGTAATCAATATGAATCATTGAATTTATTTCATAAAGAGTTTAGTTAATATAATGAGAGCAAGAAAGAGAGAGGCAAGATAATCTTTAGCATTTTAATTGGAATGGCAAATCTATATAAAATGATGTTAAAATTATTTGATTAAGCAAGTGAAATTAAATATAAATTAAATTGCTTATATTCATAAGTGATTAGTTTTCATTGTTCCAAATATAATAATATAATTAATACAGAGGATTGTAAAGAATTCTATTTAGCTAAAATTTAATTATATGCAATTGAGCAAGTGTAAACAGTTGAATTGACTTGTTAATCAATGGCAATAGAATTATTAAATGATTTATTTGTTAAGAATTAATAATTAACAAAATTGAGAAAAGAGATGATTCAATTTGGTAAACAATTCAATAAACATTAATAATTGTCTTAATATGATTTACAAAGACTTAATAATACTCATCAATTGGTGACTAAATTATTAATAATATTTGAATAGCGATTGGGTTATAATATTCTAAATTAGATTGATTAGAAATATTATTAAATGTTTGATAATGTGCTGGATATAGCATAATTGTATAAAGAAGATGTTTAGATATAAAATTAGGACACTTAAAATTAAACTTAGACTTAGACTATAAAAAAGTAGACTTAAATAAATAACACAACAAAGTTTTTTAAACCTACTTTACCAAGTAAAAAAGAGCCTCCTTAAAGATAGAGATTCACTGATGTAGTTTAACAATTATTTCATGATGAAAATACTAAGGAATATTATTCAGCTAAGTCTGTATTTGGATTGACAAAAATAAGTGATTAACCATAAATGAGATAAACAGTAAAATCTGAATTATTTGATAAATTATAATCTAGATAAACAAATAATATAAAGGCAATAGTATTAGAGGAATAGAAATATCGGTATTAAATAATTTAAATTGTTTAGATTCTTCAGATCAACAGGAGTGGGATTCATTAAAAATTCTTATAGAAGTGGAAGTTTAAGAGCATAATCATAGATGTTACCAAGAATAGTTTAATTTGAGAGTGTTGACCATACTAATTAGAATTAATAATTTTGATTATATAAAGTATATAGATAATTTATTTTAGTATTATGAAATAAATAGATATTAATAAATTGATATTAATAAAATGAACATAAATAACTAATTACTAAAGATGGTGTAAGATGTAAATAATTAAATATTCAATTATCAGATATAAGTGGTTATCAAAAGTGAATTTGAAATCAAACCAAATTTGGATGACATAGTGAAGATTTTGAAGTAATAGGTGGCCATTTTGATTGAATTAGTACAACAATAAAAAGGTGTAGACTATGATCAATTAGAAAAAGCAGTCTAAAAGGCAGAAGCTGAGATTCGAAATCATGTTAGAGTATGTTCATAAGTAATCTATTAGTTGGAGTAACAAATGAAGTTATATTCGGATAGTTTATAAGAAAAGATTGATTAATTAGAAAAGGAGAAGTTAGAATTGGCAGAGAAAGTATGAAATGATTGTTAATTTTAAAGAACAAAAATATATTAGCAGTTTAGGAACGAAAGATCTCTTCTCAAAATTAAACAAGAGAATCAAGTCCTAGTTTGTTTAAAAAATCATACATTTTAGGAAATCAAGTGTATAATAGATAGTAAGTTAATCAATAAGAGGGTTGTGTATCAGTAACTTAGAATTGTGATAATCAATAAACAAGAGAGAGAAGAAGTTCTGGGACTTAACATTCATATATGATGATGAAGAATATGTAAGAACATTAAATATTGGATAGTCGTGATAAAGTAAATATGAATGCTTCATAGGAGAAGGTTAGTGATAAAAGTTCTACTATATTGAAATCTTAAAATAGCACTTCATTATTGAAGATGTACAACATTTAGAAACTCATCATTAAAAATTAACAGGATAAATAATTGCAACAACTCAAGAAGTAATGTATGTTAACTTATTGAACTTAGCAAAACAATAAATTAGATTTTAGATGACTCTTAGGCTACTAAAAAGAAACCCTGATTTATTAATCGTTATCTCAAAATATAATTTATACCGTTCAATTATTTTAAATTTAAACTCAAATGTCTGAAAGAGTTAAAGTAGCAGTTCGACTTCGCCCTTTAATTGAAGAGGAATTAATATGTAAAGACAAATCCATATGTGTTGAAACTATAGACCCTAATAAAAAACTTATTATCAGTATCTATTTTCATCATTCTTAGTCAAGAAAGATTTTGAGAAGAGACAATTTCAATTCGATTCTGTTTTTGATTCTAAAGCAACTTAAAATCAAGTTTACAATGACATAGCAAAAGGAGTTGTTGGCGTAAATTAATTATATATATATTTAGAGTGTAATCAAAGGCTTTAATGGCACTATTTTTTGTTATGGATAAACTGGAACAGGTAAAACATATACTATGATGGGTCAACTTGATTCAGATGAAAAGGGAATCACTCCTCGTACTTTTGAATAAATTTTTAATGAAATCTAAGCAGATGCCAATAACATCTATACGGTTTAATTAGGATATTTGCAAATCTATATGGAAATGGTATAGTTTTGATATTTATTTTAGTTATTGGATCTAATTAGACCAGACAATTAAGAAGTAAAAATTAGAGAATGTCCTGATAATGGAGTTTTTGTTTCTGGATTAGAATGGATGGAAGTTGAATCTCCTTAAGAATGTTTAAGTATTATGAATTTTGCTGAAAAAAATAAAGTGGTTGCATTTACAAATTTAAATGCACACTCTTCAAGGTCTCATTCAATGCTTGTAATAAAAGTAGAAAAGAGATAATCTAAATAGCATTCAAAATCAATGACTATTTCCAAAAAAGCTAGTTCTAAATTATAAAATTACTCTTAAGATTTAATAACAGAAAGTGATGAAAGTATAATATCATCTGGTAATTGTGTTGGAACACTTTATCTTGTTGATTTAGCAGGAAGTGAAAGAATTAAAAAATCTAGAGCTACAGGAGATCGTTTAAGTGAAGCAAGATCTATAAATTATTCACTTACAGCCTTAGGAAAATGTATTCATGCTTTAACAGGTCCTAAATCTACATTTGTTCCATTTCGTGATTCTAAATTGACTAGAATTTTATAAGATGCACTTGGAGGCAATTGCAAAACTGCATTAATTGTAAACATTGGTCCTGCTGGTAAACATGTTGAAGAAACTCTCTCAAGTCTTACTTTTGGAATGAGAGCTATGAAGGTTACTAATACACCATAAATTAATCAAAATGTTGATTATGAAGTAATAATCTTATTTATTTATTAATAGCAATTAACTTAACAACTCAAAATTGAAATTGAAATGAAGGATGAAGTTATTCAAAAATTGGAATAGTAATAAGCCAAATTGTTATAGTAAGTTAGAATTGAAACTTCTTGCAATCTTAGCACTTCAGATCATTAATATAAAGTTAAATTAGAAAAAGCTGAAGAAGAACATAAAGCATTTCTAGAAGAAATAGATAATATGATGGTAGAATAAGAATAAGAGAATGAAGAACTCAAAAAATAATTAGCTCATGTCATGTTAGAATTAGAAGATTCTAAAAATAAATAATCATAATTAGAATAAGAAATAGAAGAATTTAAAAATTCTTAATAGCAATTAGAAAATGAATTAGAAGAAGCTCTAACTAATGTAAATAACTGTTATTTATCTTTTTAGAAAAATGAATTTGCTGATACTATTAATTAATTGCAATAAAAATTGGAATCTAAAGAAAAAGAAATTTAAGAACTTAAATAAGTCACAGTCTTGTCCACAAAAAATAATGATATTATCAAAATATCTAAAGAAAAATAAAATTAGATGTGGAGATCAGAATTATAATAAATAACTTCATAATATGCCAATAAATTAGAAGAAGTCAAAAGATTAGAGTTTTAATAATAGGAAAAAGAAAATAATAACATATTAGAATTTAAATAAAGAAATGAAGAGCTTATTTTATAACTCAAATAATACAAATACTAAAATTCAGAATTAAAAGAATAACAATAATAATTAATTTTGACCAATTAACAACTTGAAGAATGTTTACAAAAATAAAAGGAACGTTGTTAAGAGGAATCTACTTTATTATAATAAATCAAAGATCTTGAAACAGTTAATAATGAAATTACTAAAAGATTAGAATAATATGAAGTTAAATTAAAGAAATAAAAAGATTAACAATAATAAAATGAATTTTCTTATTAACAAGAACTAGAAACTAAAAATGAACATCTCAACAAAATTCAATTAGAATATCTTGAAATATAAAAATAAATTGCTTTAATCAAAGAATAATATTCCACAATCTAAACCATAAATTAATAAAAACTTAAGTAATTAAATCATGAAAACTAAATGTTAATTAATAAAAATGCTGACTATTAATTACAAGTCTAACAATTAATTGAGAAAAATAACGAACTTTAATTATAAATACAATAAAGTAAAAGTTCTTAATATAATAATTACAATTAATACTTAAATAATTCTAAATTTGAATATTAAACTAATTAATCATATGTTAATGAATAAAATTTTGATATAGAATTAAAAAAATCAATAACAGTTTCTGGAGTTAATGAAGGTCAAATTGTTTTTGAAATGTAAGTTCGAATTCAATAATAAGAAGATTTTATTGAATAATTATAAGTTTAATTAAAACAAAAAGAAAATATAATAGAGGAACTTCAAATGAGGTGTTCTAATACATAGAAGGAAGCTGAATAATTGAAATTTTAGATGGAATCATTTTCTAAAAGATCTTAATAATCATTATAAAGAATGGAAGAAACTATGTGTTAAGAAGTTGTGAGAAATGTTTTAGAAAAGATGATTTTTTAGATAGAATTAAATTCTTTTGAATCAGATGATATAAGTAGTCGTGCTCCAGATAGTGATTTAAAACTTTAAATGAAATCATTTTCTAAATAAGATAATGCTTAATTAGTCGAAAGTTTATTTATAAATTCTAAACAAAGTTAACATAATGCTATTGTTGAATGTGATGAGGAAGAAGATAATTCATCAGAAATAGATTATTAATTACCAAAATTTAGTTAATCTGGTTAAAAAATTTAGTAAAAATTGAGAATGTCAAAAAGTAGACAAGATTCTGTCTTTTCATTTAGTGAGAAATAATAAAAAAAAGACGCAGTTTCTCTATATGATGATTTAAGTGAAATAAATTAATAATATGATATATAAAGTCCAAGATCATAATTTGATGAAATTCAATTTTAAATAGATTTTAATGATGCAAATGCAGTTGATAAATTTATGTCATAAATTAAAAAGAAATAAGTATCTCTAATATAAAATAATGACTTATCAATAGGTTCAATATAATAAGTACTTAGTCCTTAATATATCGATAGTTTGAGTGAAAAAAAGGCAAAATTAAATTCTAGGTATAATTAATATTGATTATAGAATTGGAAGTGATGAATTATAAGAAGTTATTAAAGTAATGGCTTAAATGTTAGTTGATAAGAGTAAAACTGAATATACAGTAACTACTAATACGATGGAAACTTTAAAAGCTTCTTTATTAGACTTTAATAATTTGTGCAACACTTTAACAACATATTTTTTGTGAAAATTTTAGTTTTATTTATTTTTTCGATTGAATAATAGATATAAAAATTAGATAGACAGATAAGTATAGAATTACTTATTAAAAATAATAAATAAATATATGCATTTTAGTATTTACACTTTAAAAATATATCACAAATTGGCTTCTTCATCCAATTTTTGTCTTTTTAATCCAATTTAATCTAGGAGTTACATAGCCAAATTTTATATTTCCTTACTATCATCACTTAAACTGTTCATTAAAATCAGAATCAGATTATTTTCATAACTATTCAAATTTTGAATAGAAAAGTGCATTAATAATTCTGAAACTGCAATTAAAGTTCCTTTTCTTACATCAGAAGATTTATCTAAAGAGAGATTTTTTAAATTATTTAAAACAATTTCTAAAAAGGTTCCATTAGTTCTACTTAAGAGGACTGGAGCTATACTCTGAAAAATAATTATTAAATTTTTACATCTACTGTTGCTTTTCTAATTTTAGTATGAGCATGTTACATATTGAAATTTAGTGATTTGACAGCTTCTCCCATATATTCACCAATAGGTAATTTTTTTGAAATTTCAGCTGCAAATATTGCTGCATCCTATTAAATAAAATAGATAAGAATACTTTTTTAACTTCTGGGAAATTATCTTAAAGTGCTTTACCAATCATATGTGCTAATCTTTATAAATTATTAGAGTAAGCTTCAATATGTTTAACTTATATTTGATGTAACAATTTAATCAATGATAATCTAATTTCTTCACTAGTTTCTGAAAATGGTAATTAATTAAGACGATTGATTATCGTATCAACAATTAATCTAAGAGTCTCTGTATTATAATGTTAATCATGAAGACTAAGATAATTTAATACTATATTTATAGCTGCTTCTCTATTTCTCTCTACTGAATCTTCAAATACTCTTAAAAGATTTTTAAGTGCATAAGCATCAAAGATATATATACGCTCTGGAGCATTCTATTTAATTTTGAAGAAATCTTAAAGTTTTGCCAATCCTGATTTTCTTAAATTTCTATCCTAAAATTTTAATGAAATCACTCACCTAATCAATTATACAATTGATATCTCTTTAAAGTAATTTAATTTAATCTTCAACAAAGCTTCGATCGATATTTGGTTCGGTAAGCATCTAATATAAACTATTTTAATTAAATAACAAATCCATAAATAAAAAATGGTTTTAATATATTTCAAGGCTATTTTCAAATTAAATTGATTTTTGATATATTTTATATATAGTTTAAGATATCTAAAAAACTTAATTATGTCAATAGATATAATAATAAATAGTATCTTTAATGTGAATAATAAGTTTAGTATTATAACTTCAAAATATAGTTGTTTAATTAACGGTATCTAAGACTGTTTTCAAATATGGAACATTGCTAATATCTTTATTTTCTTGACTTTTGGTAATTACTTCTGTGGTTACATTTATACTCATAATTCTATCTCGTTCTACTCTATAGGTTTCACTAAGTGAATTTTTTTTTGTAAATTTGATAGTCTTATAAGGAATGATTTTTTATTATTAAAATAAAATATTCCTCTTCAATAGTTGTTTTGGCGATACACTTTTATAAATTTAATTAAGTTCTGAATTTTTATGATGAACTTTAGGTAAGAGTGGTTTAAGTGCAAGTTATTCATTTGTTTATTGTTATTATTATTCATGATTATATTTTTTGGTAATATCCCCAAGAGTATGTCTTAATTGATGATCTTAAGGTAAACATTACTCTGATAATTATAAAGCAGATTAAAATATTTTCTTAGATTCAAATTATAATTTTAGATGTTCCATTTCAACTCCTAAATTATGATATGCAACAACTAAAATAGACATTCGTTCTTAAATTTTCTTATTTTCATTACAATTAGATTTAACAGTATTTACAAATTAAACACTTGATTATCTAGATGGTAAAGCTAATAATATAAAACAATTAAAAATACTTGGCTCTTAATCTTATTTTAAATCTTGCTTTTAAAATGATGAAATAAGTAATTCATGTTGCAACATAATGATTGATAAATAAATATGTTGAATAGCTTCATCATGTCTTTCTAATTAAGAAAGAACTGCACATAGATTAAGATAGATATCTGGAAGTGAATTAGATTATTTTTATCTAAACTATAGAAATTATCATTACTGTAATTCTATTTATAATGCTTATTGTAAATATTAAAGGGCAGTTCTAGTTTTACCCATCTTTCTATAATAACATGCCAAATTATTAAAAGTTTGAACCTATTTTATCGTTAAATGATACCTTAAATTCTGGTACATAAATTGTAGCAACTTCTGCTTTTTTTAAATATTCAATACATTGTTCAAAATTTTATTTTTATAATGCTAAAAGACCTTATTGATTTAGTAATTTGCATAATAATTGATTCTATTTCATCATCTAAAATTTCGTTAATTAGAATCACTTACTGTTAAATCATCAAAACCATAAATAGTACTTCTCTTTAGAATAGAGCTCTCTAATTATTATATATATTTATCAATCTTCCCTTCACTAAGATTTGTAATATCTATATTCTCGTTGTCCGACATTAAATTTAATAAATAAATGAGTTCTCCAGACACCAATTCTAATAGAAATCAAACTAAAAAGAAAACTAAGCTTAATTCTAATAAGTCTTACTCCTTTTATGATTCCTTTGTAACTAGAAAAGATATAATTAAATTGGCCTCCTTAGAAACATAAAACTAATAAAAAGAATTTCTTAAAACTGTCATCCTACGATTTGAATTAGGTCATAAAAAAGGAGGAGTATTCACCTTTCCTGTTTATGAACTTATCTCTTTTCAATATTATTAAACCTAAACTATATCTAAAGTAAATTTTGTATCAATTATTACTAGGCCACAGAAGAATCTTAATAATAATGCAAATTTGCTGTCTTTTCAGAATACTTATTACAAATGTACAATTAACTTAAAAAATATACATTTGAATAAATATCAGCATTTATGTCAATAGGATTTTATATTTTTGTAGAAAGTTTGGAACGTAAAATCACATAAATTGATTCATATGAAATATTCAAAAGATTATTAAGACCTAATATTCTACTAACTAATACCTATAATTTACCTATATTTACTTAGGAACATATTATGGAATTCAATAAATTCATGACAAATTATTTTTACAGGTGAATTACCTAATTTATTCTAGATATTATTCATTGTATGAATTAAGAATGACAACTTATTAAGAAGTCAATATTTTTAGTAGATTAAAAGGTGAGAATCCAGTTCAAATTGAAAAAAATGAAGACAAAGATTCTATTTAAGAAGAAGATGAATTAAATTTTAAAGATGTAGAAGTTTATCTTGATGATGATGTCTAACCTGAACAAGAAGTTAAGAAAATTAATGAAAAAGATGAAGAATAAATTGAAAAATTATTGGAATAATATAAATTAAATTGGAACAATAGGTTAGATGGATCTTAATTATTATAAGAAGCTGAAAAAATATTAACAAAGAAAAAATGATCAAGTTTCATTATATTTATATTTCATTTATTTTACTTGGAATCTTTATAACCTCCCCTTATAACTAATCATTGATTAATTCTTAGTACTTGTTATAATGCTGCAATCAAATTGTCAAAATCAGTTAATACATTTTTTAATCCAATATCCTCTACTTTTAAATTTGGGTCATAAGGAGCTTAAACAAAAATAATGTTAGATCCCATGTTTCCGTTTCCGCTATCTCTTCTCACAATTGAGGAATTCATAGTTCCACAAGATGTTCCCATTATATAAATTATTAATAATTATTAAATTAGAAATTTATTTCTAAAAAATATAATTTTTATATTTTTTTCTTATCTAAAGGGTTTAACTATATTCAATCTAAAAAACCTAATTAATTTTAAATTATCCATTTTGCATGAATTAAAATAATGATTTCCTTTGAATTAATTAGATTTTCATTAAAAATTATAAATAAAAAGAAGCAATTTCTATTCTTTGAATATTTTAATTGTAAAGAATAATTTTAAAATATAGAAATTTTTATTATTTGTAATTANTTGGAACGTAAAATCACATAAATTGATTCATATGAAATATTCAAAAGATTATTAAGACCTAATATTCTACTAACTAATACCTATAATTTACCTATATTTACTTAGGAACATATTATGGAATTCAATAAATTCATGACAAATTATTTTTACAGGTGAATTACCTAATTTATTCTAGATATTATTCATTGTATGAATTAAGAATGACAACTTATTAAGAAGTCAATATTTTTAGTAGATTAAAAGGTGAGAATCCAGTTCAAATTGAAAAAAATGAAGACAAAGATTCTATTTAAGAAGAAGATGAATTAAATTTTAAAGATGTAGAAGTTTATCTTGATGATGATGTCTAACCTGAACAAGAAGTTAAGAAAATTAATGAAAAAGATGAAGAATAAATTGAAAAATTATTGGAATAATATAAATTAAATTGGAACAATAGGTTAGATGGATCTTAATTATTATAAGAAGCTGAAAAAATATTAACAAAGAAAAAATGATCAAGTTTCATTATATTTATATTTCATTTATTTTACTTGGAATCTTTATAACCTCCCCTTATAACTAATCATTGATTAATTCTTAGTACTTGTTATAATGCTGCAATCAAATTGTCAAAATCAGTTAATACATTTTTTAATCCAATATCCTCTACTTTTAAATTTGGGTCATAAGGAGCTTAAACAAAAATAATGTTAGATCCCATGTTTCCGTTTCCGCTATCTCTTCTCACAATTGAGGAATTCATAGTTCCACAAGATGTTCCCATTATATAAATTATTAATAATTATTAAATTAGAAATTTATTTCTAAAAAATATAATTTTTATATTTTTTTCTTATCTAAAGGGTTTAACTATATTCAATCTAAAAAACCTAATTAATTTTAAATTATCCATTTTGCATGAATTAAAATAATGATTTCCTTTGAATTAATTAGATTTTCATTAAAAATTATAAATAAAAAGAAGCAATTTCTATTCTTTGAATATTTTAATTGTAAAGAATAATTTTAAAATATAGAAATTTTTATTATTTGTAATTATTGAACAAAATCATTAGTTTTGAAAATAAAATATTCAAAAAATCAACAAAGTCTCATAAATACAATAACATTATTAAGAATTCAAATATATCAAATTAACATAATTAAATATCCTTAGTTTGTATCCTTATGTATGTGATTCTAGTAAGAAACAATCATTTAAAAATATTATTTTGCTATATTCCCTTCAATAAAATGGAAAATTTTTATGTCAGTAATGTATCTAAATAGATTTTAATTATTGTAACAAAAAACATAAACAAGAAATATTATAATTAATAATTCTTAAATAGCTTCTATAATCTAAAATAAATGAATTCAACCAAAATCATTATAGATAAATATATATAATAAAAATCATTATAACAATTTTTTTAATTTAAACTTAGAATTTTTAAATATAGGTTCTTTTTTTGTTTTGTTTTTTTAAGATACTGGATTTATTAGAGATATAAAATTAAAGTAATCACTTGATGAATGAACCATATTTTAAAATTAAGTATTTTATTTTTAAGCAACAAACATACTCTAAAAACATTTTTATCTATATTAACTAGTTGAATTTTTTCTAGAAGATTTATTTTGCGTCTATATGATAATTCTTTAGATAATTTTAGGATAAGTAGGAGTATAGATAGGTATTCCTAGATCTACAAATAATTTTTTTTGTTGACAACTCTTAGGTTTTTAAGGAGTAATCGGTGTATCTGTAATTTATTTTTTAGGTTGAATTCGAGATATTGGATCTTTTAATGTTGCTAAATTGGTTTTTTAATTGTTTTTTTTCACAGGACTGATAGGTGCATCCCAAGGTTCAGCTATAAACTCAGTTTAGAATTTCTTAAAAAATTTATTTGTGAGTGGCATTTACATAATCTCACTGGTTGTCTGTTCCAAATTTAATAAATCGAATTGAGGATCATTAGACATCTTATATTTATATTATTGTTAATTAAATCATATAACAATTCATATTTTTAATAAACAATAAATTTATATACATCAATAAGTTGTTGTATTATTTTTAAATATTTTATTGAGTATAGAAAAATATAACAAAGAACTCATTTCAGAAATTATCTCATGTCTTAATTTTCAATGAAATAAATTGTTCATCATTCAAGATTTGTTAATCTATTTAATAAATTTTGTGTTACAATTTTTATATATCTTTATTTAAAGAAAACCAAATTTATTAATTTAAAATTGATGAGAATTTCATAAAACCAATTTTAAGTTTTAATCTAATTTTAATAATCATATCATTCAAATATTATCAATACAGATTGTTTTATTTATTGTCCAAATATTACATCGATATTGATTTTGCTGCTAATATTTATTACAATATGAAATTGAAAATACTGATACCTTCAATTACAACAAGTTCAATTTTTACTTCAAAATTTATTAAGAATAAGATCTCTTTAAGTTTGTTCTAATATCAATAAGATTTCAAATGATTATGATTTTATATGTTCTATGAGGATTTTTTTTATTATTAGCAAATATTTTTATAATTTTATTGATTTACAAATACTCTCCTCTGATAGTTCTGGATCTAAGAAAAAATTCTGAAAATCTATGTTTATGCAAAATATAATTTTTAAGAATTGATTATTTCTTAATTTTTATGTATCTAACTCAAATAATAAATAACTTTAAAATTGATGGAACTTAATTTTCATTATAATTTATTTAAATTTATTACTTATAAAATATTTTTTGTTTATTTAAATTTTCTTATCTTGATTATTTCTATAAATCTGAACTAACACACACATAGCTACCTTAATTTTAAATATAGTTTCAAAACAAAATATTGAAATATTTTGTTTTTTATTTTAGAAAAACATATCATTTTGATAAAATTACTTATTATTGCCCATCAAATAAATTTTAATTATTAAATTAATATATAGAGTTTAATCATAATTTAAATCAAAAACATATTAGTTTAAATATCTTTTTATTTTTATAATTTTATCATCAATTATTATAATGTAGTAAAGAAAAATTCATAGTTAAATATATGTATAATCAAGAAAAAAATCATTAAGATGACTTAAAAGACTTATAAAAGAAGAAAGTGAAAGAAACAAAATAAAATAAAGAAAAGGGAAAATAAATTAACTGCAGATTAGAGATTAGTTTATTAATATCTCATTTGATAATAAATTTAATAAAATAATGTTGATACAATTTTTAGAAATATTCAATTAAATATTGTATTCTTGTTAATAAAAGTTTCATTTGATTAATTAATGCACAAACTCCTGTAGAGTAATTTTTAGTTAAATTAATACTTTCAGTTCTTTGTCTTTTTTATAAAGGAAATCATAAAAAATATGCAATTTTGAAAGTAAAATGAGATTATTGAAAAAATAGAATAAGAAGATGGATTTGATACAGCAGATAAAGTTTGAAACTAGAATAAGTTTAAAAATGGTTTTGAATATGTGATTATAAAAAAATAATTAATTAATAATAATAATAAATAAAAATAAAAAATGAACGATTTAAGAAGAATAGAAAAAGAGATCCAAGAGAAATAACGTTTAGTACAGTTCCTAGATGAAATAAGGCTCCAACATTTTATAAGAATCCGTATCGTCCAACAGCAAGATTGTTAAAATAAGTGAGAAGACAAGCGAATTTTATAAAGACGACAAGTCATTAGAAATATGAAGAAATGTTAGAGAAAGTAATGTAGAAAAGTCCACGACAATATAAAATGAGAGAATCACCAAATCATGAAGAAATATTGAATAAGATTATCTTTGAGTTAAAAAAAGAGATTTAATAAAAATAAACAAATTTGTATAATAAATAATAATTAGATCTCCAACATTTGGTATAAGAAGAAAGGAATAGTTTGATTAACATGATAAGATATTAACTCTTAAGACTCTGATCTCACATATTCATAATGATCAAGCAGTAAAGAACCGTTAACGTCAATAAAAATTTCCATGCATCTAATAGGATAATAATTCATGTGATTCCGATAGAGTAATGTCAATAATTTCAGCATGTTCTAAATAAAATAGTTAGTTAGAAAAAATGCATAAATTTGTGCATTAAAAATAGAGAAACTAAAGAAAAAGATTTGCTTCATTAAATGATCAAATAGGATTACTATATTTATTAGAGTGAATGTTCTCTATCATTTTTACTCAATTACATTTTCTTTCTATTGTTCAATATCTTTAGATTGCAAATCTTCTTTATTAGTTTCTATCTTACTCTATAAATGAAGCAATGAATTTGCTTCTTTTTCTTCAACACTCCAAATTTCGATACAAGTTAACTAAATTATATAAATAATCTATACATTTAGGAATTCAATATGTGGTTCTAATAAATATCCCATTTCATAAGTTAAATCACATTAGTTATTTATTCTACAAGTAGCATTACCTTTTAAATTATCATCAAGCCAAATCCTATGATTTCCTTTTCCATCTCCTCCAAAGGCTAATCCTAAAGGTTAATCAACTCTAAAAGATTTATTGTTTATGTAAGCAAAACATTATTTTGACCTTTGATCAAAAGTACTCATAAATAATTAATATTTTGGCATTAATGAAAATAAGAAGCTTTTTTCATCCCCAAAATATAAACTCTGAGGATCATTTTCACTATATAAAATATTCATTGGATCTTTCAGTTTTCTCCTAATATAATGAGTTTCGAGTGTTGGATCTATTGAAATATATGCCCCAAAAACTTGTTGTTAAAAAGTATCATTTTATGCTAATACAATTTAACTAAAAAATTACACTCATCTTCTCTGTTTCTAAAAATGAATAATAAAGACTTTTAAGTATTTACAACAATATCCGAAATGTGATCTAAATCTTCATCACTTACAGATGATGAGAATTGTAATTATAATTATTTGATTTTACTAAAATCAGGAGAACTCAATTAAAGTAAGGCTAAAACTTGATCATTTAATATAAAACTAGAAGTATTCAATCTTGGTATTTCAATACGAGATTACTCTCCTAGAAATTTCATATTAAAATAATATTTGCATAGTTTATTGGCATAAATCAACTAAGCTTTTGCCATACTAACAAACTAATTAAATGGTAATTCATCTTTTTAATCAAATATTGTATTTGTGACTGATCTAGCAGCTAAATCATTTCTTTAAGAATTTGTTATTTAACCACCTGAATAAATATTCAATAATTCCCTAATTACGATGCTACCTTATGAATAGCATACTGCAAATCTAGAATAACGGATATTTGATTAACTACCTATTTATAGAATCTTTATCATTTTCCAAACATTCTAAACTGATCAAGGCAAACAATTCAAACTTTTCTAAATTTCTAAACTTATAATCACTAAGATAGTAATCTTTCAATTCTTTAAGCAATAACTCCACTAAAAATTTTAACAAGAACTTACATAAAACAACAAAATTAGTATAATTGACCTAATGATTTGGACTTCGTTCAACCATCCAGTTGAATAATTTTATCGAAAAGTCTGGATTTTCAGGGAAATAAGGTAGAAAAGATCTTTCTACAAGATCTTTGCCTCCATTTAAGCATTAAAACAATTTTTCTAGTTATTAAAGCTATTCAGGTGTGAATGCAACTTTTGCATGTTTAGTGATCTCTTTAGATTTGGAATTTCCCATATAAATTTATTGTAATTGTAAAACAAATTAAATTTATATATCTGATTTAATACTACTCACAATGCTCTACTAAATGCTTAAATTCCTGTAATAGCTCTTGCTAAAATAAGTGCATGAATGTCTGATGCCCCTTCATATGTATTAACTGTTTCCAAATTAACCATATGTCTAATTATTTCATATTCATCACTGATTCCATTTCCTCCCATAATATCTCTGCATTCTCGAGCAATCTTTAATGCAATTGCTAATAAATTAGGTTATATTTTATTACCACATGAATTTCTTTTAATTAATGAAACTTATTCTGTAGCTAATTAATCATTCTCTTTAAGTCTACTCACTTGTAATACTGCTTATTAAGCTAAAGCAATATCAGTAACCATTTCTGCAAACTTCTTTTAAACCAATTAGAAAGAGGCTAAATTAGCATCAAACTATTTTCTATCTAAAGCATATTGACGAGTATGATGAAAACAAAATTCAGCTGCTCCTAAAGTTCCCCAAGCAATTCCAAATCTTGCATTATTTAAACATGAAAATGGACCTTTCAAACCTTTTACAGATGTAAACATATTTTCTTATGGCACTTTAACATTATCCATAATAATCTATCCTGTTATTGAAGATCTTAATGATAATTTTCCTTCTATTTTTGGAGTAGAAAGGCCTTTCATTCCTTTCTCTAATACAAACCCTCTTATGTCTCCTTTTTCATCTTTTGCCCAAACTACAAATACATCAGCTATTGGAGAGTTTGTAATCCAACTCTTAGTACCATTCAATATATAATAGTTGTCTTTTTTCTTTGCATGAGACTTCATTGATCCAGGATCAGAACCTATGTTTTCATAACATTTACTAACTTACCATGATCAGGCTCTGTCAAACCAAAAGCACCTACATATTCACCACTAGCTAATTTTGGAATGTATTTATCTTTCAATTCTTTTGATCCAAATTAATAGATTGGATGTATCACCAAAGAACTTTATACTGATAAAGCAGATCTGTATCCAGAATCAACACGTTCAATTTCTTTATTAATCAAACCATATGCTGTATAAGACACACCAGAAAGGTCATATTCTGAAATTGTACATCCCAAAAATCCTAATTTTCCCATTTCTTTATATATTTCTGGATCAAAATGCTCCTTACGGAAAGCCTCTCTAATTCTTGGCTATAATTATGATTGTGCATAATTAGCTGCTTAATCTCTAATCTTTTAAATTATTTAATTCTTTACCAACTTTTCCTCACTTGTTAATTAACTTTCCAAATTTAAAGGGTCTTTATAATTGAAAGCTACAAATTTCTCTGATGCAAACTATTTAATTTGTTTGTTGAACAATTATCTTAATAAATTATTTTTACGCATTATATTTAATTATTTCTAATAATATATCAGATTATTATACATAAAAATATAAGATTTATTTTTAGAAACGAGTTTATACTAGTTTATATTAATTATAAGCTTAATTTATTTTCTTAATAGAAAAATTAAATAAATTCATTCTAATTCTTTTAAATCAACTTATTATTCTATTAGTTTGAAATTTAATGATTAAAAAAAAATTAAATAAATTTTATTATTAAAAAAAATAATAGAAATTAGAAATGTGCTAAATAATTTCAGTCTCAAATAATGATGATGATGTTGAAATTCTTGATTATCAACATAATTTAAAATATTGCTCAATTTAAATAAAGAATTAAGCCGGATACATTTTGTGGGATTAATAAGTTTAATACTTTTAGAATTGCCCATTTTAAGAAAAGTTTGAATTTGGGTTAAAACCACAAAAAATAAATGTATTATAAAAAGGAAGATCATAATAATCTGAACTGATAATTAATGACAATAAAGTAATTTTAAAAAACAAAGATAAAGATTTGATTTTTTATTAATTATTTGAAAGGTAACAAGTAAGAATGGAGAATGTTTAAAGAATAAATTAATATATTGTTCATTATGATAATAATAATAAAAATATACAATTTTCAGATGGTATGAATAAAATTCAATCAATTTAACTAACTGAAAGTAGATAAATTTTAATGATAAATGGAGTTAATTTAGGAACTGCTTTTCAATAATCTGATGGTAGTATATGTTATTAAGGAAATAATTAATGTGTTTATTGTATAATAAAGTAAAATGAAGAACTCGAACTTAAGAATTTTTAAAATTTTTAAATCGGAATTAATCAACTCTGTATAGAATACTAATTTTATTGAATTTTTTATTGTTTGTATATAAATCTCACTTGAATAATGCTGCAAATTCTTAAAAATCTACTAAATTATCTTAATTTTTATCAACAAGTTAAAAAACAAGAGTTTGTTCTTCAATTGTTGATGAATTATCCATGACCTTGCACAATTATTAAAATTCTGCAAGTTCTAATTTTTAATTCTTATTTTTATCAAAATTCTGGAATATTTACTCAATTTTTAAATTATTTTATTTAACAATTCTCACTAATTCAGAAAGTATTTTCTAAAAATATTAAATAATATATAATACATTAGCTTTTTCTTTAGCTGGATTAAACTTTGAATCTTAATCAGTTCCATATGAAAGTTCTCTCTTAAATTCATCAAAACTAATTTTTTTATCATTATTCTTATCAAATTTATTAAAGACAACTTGAATTTCTTCATTTTTTAATGCTGGTGCAACAGTACGACATAATTTAGTAAATTCATCAAAATCTAAATCACCTTACTAATCTTTGTCAAAATTTTTGAAAATATCTTCAATTTTCAAATTATTAGCTTTAATAATTTCTTTTAGATCAACAATAAGCCTTTCAGCTACATCTTTTAAATTAGAGTAATCATAATCACAAAATAATTTTTTAAATTCATCAATGCTAACCTTTTAATCTCCACTTTTATCTACCAATTTAAATAAATGTTCAACTTCTTTATGAGTTACTCTTGAATCTAATGCTTATATAAAATTATAAAATTCATTTAAATCTAAATTTCCTCCTTTATCTTAATCAAATATTTTGAATTGTTATTCCAAATTTAGATTCTTAGCTTAAATAATCTTTTATATATTAGCTAAAATTTGTTTAGAAATTTCATCAACTTAAAAGTTATCCTAAGGAATAAAATTTATTAATACATATTATCTATCATTTTATGATATTTTAAGTACATCATGTTTAAAAACATCATTCCACCCTATTCTTTAATTTTCATCAATAGTCAAACATTTTTTTATAAAATCTTTGAATTATTCTGAAACTTTTTTTTCAATTGGAAATTTTAATGGTGATGATTTAATGTTTAATAGATAAGAGTTGAGATCTCTACAAGGCCAAGGTTATCTACCATAAAGCATTTCATAAGCCATCACTCCAATTGACCAAATATCACATTTAGCTGTATATGCGGTATTTTGAAGGAGTTAAGGTGCCATATAAATAGGAGTTCCAACACAATCTCTAATTAGTTATCTACCTGTTATATCAGCTTTAGTAGCAAATCCAAAGTCAGCAACCTTATGAATATTCTTATGAATGAGTGAATTTTCTGGTTTTATATCTCTATGAATATATCCTGCTTTTGTCATCTCTTAGAATCCAAGCATTAATTATTATAACACTTATTAGGCTAAAACTTCATCTAACATTCCTTAGTGTCTACTTAAAAAGTGTCTTAAGTCTCCACCATCACAAAGTTCTATTATTAATACCTAATAAATTATAGATATTTTTTACTGTTTATTTTGAATCACCAAATGTATCTACAAGTCGAACAATGTTTGGATGTTAAAGTTATTTCATTATAGCTATTTCTTTATGTAATGCATCAATCATGAATTGATCATCAAACAAAGTCATATCCATAACTAAACTCAAAATATTCAATAATACTTTTTATAGCTACAGCATCTCCGGTTTAAGTATCTTTACCTTTATAAACTCTTCCAAATGAACCACGTCCAAGAAAATCTTTCTCCAAGTATTAATATCTATTCTGTAATGTTTACATATAATAATTATTTATTAAATCTATAATGTTTACACATCTTAAATATGAATCAAATTCATTTAAAAAACTAGATGAATTCTTCATATCTAATTAACTAATCCTAATTTTTATCTGCTGCTTTAAAAACTTAATGTATTTCATTATCCGTTATTACTTTCATCAAATCTCTACACATAATTGTAAACTCTTCAAAATTCATTTTATTACTTTTGCTAGAATTGAAGGTTTTGAAAATGTTTTCACTTGTTTCTTTTTTACTTTTTATTTGTAAAACTAATTCATTTTATAATTTCTATTTTGATTATAAAGTTTATATACTTGTAATTTTAGTTTTTCATAGTTTTATCCTTAAGGACAAATTACTTTTTTAAATTCTTCTAAACTTATAGAGTTATTATGGTCTTTATCAAACTCAGTAAAAACCTTACAAATTATTAATATATGATATTACTATGAAAATCTCCTTTGGTTTTAAAGCTGGAGCAATTCGTGTAATAAGTTTCGTAAATTCATCAAGCTTTAAATCTCCTTCTTTATCTTCATCATAAAAATGAAAAATCTAATCAACATTTAATTTATTATTTGCAATAATCTCCTTTAAATCTGAGATTATTCTTTACGCAAGATTTTTTAAATCCGAGAAATCATTTCCACAAAAAATGACCTAAAATTCTTTCAAATTGATTTTTTAATTTTTTTCTTAATCTAAAAAAATAAATAATTTAGATATTTCTTTAGAAGTTAGAGATGGATCGATTTTAATTATGAATTAAAGAAACTCATTAAAATCTAAATTTCCTTCTTTATCTAAATCATGCTTATTGAATTGCTCTTCTAATTTTAGCTATCTTATTTAAGCAATGTATTAAATATTTTTTAGAATTGTCTTTGTTTCCTCATCGATTTCAATAATTTTCTAATTTTAAATTAAAACTTACAAATGTCTTTTATGCTATTTATCTTGTATCAATTAATGGATGTTCAAAAAGTTCTTTCCATGAAATTCTTTAATTTTCATCAACTTTTAAACATTATCTAACAAAATCTATCTTTAATATATAAATTACTTTTATATTATTCAGAAACTGCTTTGTCAATAGGAAACCTTAGAGGATAGCATTTAATATTTTTTAAATATGATTTCATGTCTCTGCAAGGCCATGGTTGACGACCATAAATCATTTCGTAAGCTATGATTCCCAAAGACCATATATCACATTTAGAAGTATAAGGAATATTCTCTAACAATTATGGAGCCATATATAAAGGAGTTCCAACTTATTAATTGAGTATTTCATTATTCAACACTTTAGTGGCAAATCCAAAATCTGCCAACTTAAAGATTCCATTTTTTATTAAAATATTGGCAGGTTTAACATCACGATGAATATAACCTTTTGCTATTACCTCTCTAAAGCCATTAACAATTTATATTAATATTTATGTCGCTGTATGTTCATCAAGCATTGATCCATTTTAATCTATAAATTTTGATAAATCTCCTCCTTCACAATAATCAATAATTACAATCTAACAGATTTTTTTTATAATTACATTCAGCTTATCACCCATATGATAATCTATAAATTTAACAATATTGGGATGATTAAATTCCTTCATTATCTTCATCTCTGTCTTGAAATTCTCTATCAACTATTAATCATATAAATCATCCAATTTCAAAACTAAAATAGAATTTTAAGTACATTTTATAGCTACTTATTAATTATTTTTTTAATCAACACCTTTATACACAGTTCCAAATGCTCCACTCCCTAATTCATCATTCTCAGAATATGAATATCTATTCAAGATTTTTTTCATTAATTCAAATTTTATTATGTGATTTGACATACCCCCCAAAAATTAATTAATACTTAATACTTAATCATAAATTATATCATATATCAGATTTTTACAGAAGAATTATAATTCGTAAAGTAAACAAAGATTAAATAATTTTTTAATTATAAATATCAAAATATTCAAGCTTGATAATCAATATATTAATTATACTTGCTCTTATAATCTAATATTATAATTTTTATAATTCATTCATTGTATTACTAAATAATTACAAATTTAATTGCTCAATAAGGGGTTTCAATTAGATAATTTTGAATATCGCAAATATTATCTGACGAATCCAAAAATTATTTATTTTTAATTAACAAATGAACATCCGCTTTTAAAAAATGCTAAATTACTTCTTGGATTTATACATTCAAAATGAAGAACAATTAATAATTTTTCCAAGATCTCTTGTTTTGATTTTGAGAATTTAATCATCGCTATAAAGTTTATCATATATATATGGAAGTGAAATAAATTCATATGTGACATTATTAAGTGAATTTGCAAGACCTTAATTATTTTTTGCTCCATTAGATGCAGCTTAATACATTATTTTGGTTTTATGTAATTTTTATATCATAAATTTGTTCTCAATAAACGCACATAGTAAATATTTTGGAATTTTTGGATAATTATTAAGAAGCAGTTTACTAAATTTTTTTTTTGAATATAGCACAGGATAATTAAAACTGCTTACACATTCATTCTTAATTCTTATATCATTTAGCGAAACCTTAGTTTTATCTGGGACATTAAATGCAAATACAACAAATTTTTAAAATACGCGATTTTCATTCTTAGATTTAATCTTAGCTATTTTAAATTATATCATAATGATAGTATATTCATATTACGAAAAATAGTAAGTTATAACAGTGTTAGCTTTAACAATAAACATTTTAAAGGCAATAAATCTAATAATGTTTTCCCCGTTAAAAAATTTTTAAACTCAATCAATCTTACTTTCAATAAATCTTTACACATTATTTTTAGGACTTCTAAAAGTTGCATCTATAGAAAAGAATTTTACAAGTGAAATAGTGCTTATACCATTATTTTTAAATGTTACTTTTATTTATTAGTCTAGGTAATTTAGACAAACAATTTAACATACTAAAAAAGGTTATTGTAATGTAATTAATATTTTAATATATCTTGATAATATTAAGGACATTAAAGCAATTAAGATAGAGAAACCATAAAATGCTAAAGAGAGAATTATATACTCTAGTATTCTTATGCTATAAGGATATGATTATGAAGCATATTTAGAATTAAATTAAATTCCAGAATAATAATTAAATGTTTTAGATAAGTTTAAAAAAAAAGTAGTTTTAAAATAGTGCATCAATAAAATTGATTGCAAGATTTAGGTTGAATCTAATTAATAGCATAAAATTGCTTTAGCAGTTAGTTCTTTAATGGCTAGTGAAGACTCTAATTATTTAATTAGAAATGATATACTATGTATTTTAAAAGAGAAGATTACCTGTTAATAGTTATTGATGTAAAGTTAAACATATAATCATTATAACTAATATCTCAAATTTATACAAAATGCCTTAAGTTTATAAAATAAGTTAGAAAAGTAATATAGAGAATTTCCTTGTGATAAAACTCAAAGTATTTTAGGATTTTTTTATGCAGAAATAATGAATGATTTTTTGACGACTAATCAATTATTTAGCATAATTGCATTTTCTGATGAAAAAATAAAAAGAGTTGGGACATATTAAGATATTTTTTCAAATAAGATGATTTATTTAATATCTAAATTCACAAACACTTTAATTATTAAAAGATGTTCAAATGATGCTAATTAATTATTACATATGACTAATGAATAATTACAAGGAAAATCTGTAAATTGTCTTATTCCACCTGGAATTGCAGAACATCATGATAAATTTATTTTTAAATTTCTTTAAACAGGATAAGCTAAATATATGAGAAAGATTAATTAAAGTTATCTTTATTATTCCCATAAGAATTTAATGACAGTTGTAGAATTTGTATTTGATGTAAATTTATTTAATGATTTCAGTTTTATATCATTCATTTAACCTACATCAAATTAACAAATGTTTTTAATTGTCAATTAAAATTAAAAAATCTCTTGTTTAAGTGAAGGACTAGTCATTGAATTAGGAATGAAAATTCCAATCCAAAATTATATAGGAATTAATATTAAGGCAATTCTACCTGATTTTCCATTATTAATATCAGGAACTTAATTTATTGAAAATGCAGAAGCTCATTTTTCTAAATTTAATGATGAAAATATATAAATTGCAGGTTCCACATAATTTGTAACTTTTATTACATCTTATAATGTGATTTCATGTTAATTTTAAGAAGAAGATTTATATTAGATCATAACTTTTGACTTTTTCAAAAAACCAACATATTAATATTAACCAAGCATATCTAATTTAAGTCCAACATTAAGTCCAAGAAAAATTGATGATTAACATTTAAATTTCTTTAGTTTAGTCAATTAAGAAAGTCATGTAAAAATTCCATATAATGAAACTATTAGTTAGAAAAAACATACAAATTCATTTAATCAAAAATAATTAAAAGAAAGTTAAAAAGTAATAGTTAATTAAACTGAATAAAATGAAGTTAAACTTTTTTCTTATTTTGAACATACTAATTTAATTAGCCCTAGTAGATAAAACGACAATTTACTTGTTTAATAACAATATTACTCTAAATCAAAATCTAATAAGTTATTATTATAAATTTCTGGTTAAGAATAAGATTAATATAGTAATGAAAAATAATAAGCATTTTAAGATGATAGATCTTCTCAAATTTCAAGTTTACAAGGAGCTAGACGATCAAAATTTTTTAAGAAATATGAAATCTTTACTAAGATTAAAGAATCAAGTTCATTATCCAAAAACCATAAATTATTTCTTATAATGTTTTTTTTTTGCATTGTTATCTAATTTATTATTTAAATTATAGTAATTTATATCTATTATAAATTAGTAATTAATAGAAATTAACAGAAATTTGAAAGGACTCGCATCTGATATAGACTTACTTTAAATTAAGAATTTTATATTTCAACCTCTTGAAACATTTTTAGTAACAAGATGGACAATAGTAAATTATAATTTAATGAGAGATTAAAAAGAAATTAATTTAGCATAACATGCTGATTTAATTAAATTCCCAAGATCTAATCTTAATTTGGGTTACGATTCTTTGGATGAGAATCTAAAAAAGGCTTTTAATAGACCTGAATTATAATAATTTCTTAAGAATACATATTTGGAAGTTTATATATATGTCAAAACAAATTAAGGTGAAATATATAATATATCTCTGCGAAACAGTATAAATATTTTGATTAATTATTAATACACTTTTAAAATGGCATATATAATTGATGGAGCAGCTGTAGCAGATAGTCCTTATGTATATTTTTAATATAGAAATTATTTACCAATAAAAGAGAAATTCTCTAATTTAAATGAAATAGTGTTAATTTAAACAATTTAAAGAGCAGCGAATATAAATGAAAAAGTTAAAGTAATTTTTGTTATAAGCATATCTGCACTAATTCTATTTTTATCTTTAATTTTACTTCACTTTATCAGAATAACCAGAAATATAAATAGATATTATCTTTTGATGTAAAATATATCTAATTAATATATTGAAAATGATCTAAGTAGATTGAAAAGTTTAACAGAAAAAATTAGTAAAGATTAAAATCTATTATTTAAATATTATTTTAGTTTGTCTGAAAAAGAGAAAATATTTGAAAGTATAAGTGATAGAAATACTACTATGAGGAGATTAAACTAAAAATTACAATCTTTTAGTATGTAAGATATATATTATTATCTATTCATTTTCATAACGATATTGATAATAGTTGGAAATGCAATTTTAACTTATTATGAAGGCTAAACATATTTAAATAAATATCCAGCCACATCACGTTTTTATAAAGCTGTATCAGATATTGGTACAGATGTACCTACGATGTATGCTCAAAGAGATGTACTTTATGGAAGAACTTATTTTCCTTATTATACTTAAGTTGATATTGAAAATATTTTAAAGGAGGTTGAAATGGCAATTTATAGAACCTAACTATTTTCAAGTTAAGATTATGATTTTGATAAGTATTTTTTACAATTATTACAGTTTTCTCGTTTCCGATGCATTTAAAGAGTATTTTTAAATTCTGTAAGTTAAAGATTTGTGTGAATATATTTCTGAAGAATTAAAAGAAAGTTCATAAATTCTCTGTCCTTAAGTAATGAGCCAAAATATGAAGAGAGGATTAAAAGCTGTCTTGATATATATAATCAATTTTATAAAGACAGATATGGAAATTAATAAGTTTTAAGTCAGAACTTAAGCTAGTTTTTTAGAATTAGAAGGGGCCTTTTTAGTCTCGAATCTCATTAAACTTATTAATGATAAATTCAATTAAGATTTAATGAATTAAACTTAATACTATATCTCAACAGTTAATGTAAAAATTTTATTTATTATAGATTCATAACATTTTTGTTCTAATTTTATTTTCCTTTGTTGCATTGATCATACTAACTATTTTGATACAAAAACTAAAATAAAAATTTCATCTTGTCAAAAGATTAGCATATCTATTACCTTAAAGAACTTTATTATTTGATGATGTTTTTGAAAGAAATATCAGATAATTATTACAGCAAAATTGAAATAAGATATTCTCTTAATTATATATAGATTTTACTTTCTTTTTCTAAAATAACAAAATTTAATTATATATTATCATATTCATTGTAGGATTTTATATCTTGATAATTATAATCAGTAATTAATTAAATTCTTAACACAACAATAAAGTGTTGGTACTTATAAAAAAATGACAATCCAAAGAAGATAATCTGACACAACATATTTTAAATAAGAAATTTTTAGAATTGTATATAAAAAGTACTATACTAAGTTAATAATTTATAATAACAAACTTAAAATAAATTATATTAGCAGAAATATGGAATGCAATTAAAATAAAAATAAATATTAATTCTGAGGGATAAGGATTAATATTTTGTTTTCATAGATCTCTAAAAAAAATGATTTTGAAAATTGGAGGAGGATTAATATTTAGAATTTTATTATTTTAAATGGAAGTTGTTTTATAAATATATCAAAAATGAAAATATGAATGATTGAAACAAAGTTAAATATATTAATTTTAATGTTATCTAATTGATCCTTTTAAGATATTTTTTATAGGGAATCATAATATTATAAAATAGTTAAAATATATTATAATTTACTAGATCTAAAAGATATATGTGAAATAAAGGTTTTTTAGGATTAAACTAATGATTATAAGTTTAGTTCAATTAGAATATTATGACAGGAGAATTGAATATTAATATAGAAAATGTTATAGTCATTATCACATTAAACACTAAATCAGTTTTCAAATAATTGCACAATTGCAAATTTGAGTTTTTTTGTTAGTTTGTGTCTCTTCCAAATTATATTCTTTGAAATTTTCAACAATGTGAATTTCGAATAATGGGCCATTATTTGCTTAATCTCTAAAAATAATTTTGTGAGAATTATTTCCCTTTAAAATAGGATTATTGAAAGCATCTTTTCTAGATGTTTAGGCAGTGAGTGGAGGACTTATTTCAGTCAATTGTACAGAGCTTACATCAGCATTCATTTATAAAAATTAATTTTTAGTATAGTTCTTAAAAACTAGATGATGATGTGATGATTATAGTTGATATAAAAAATTCAAATAATAATAATAATAATAAAATGATGAAACTTCTTAAATCACATCAATCCGAATCCTTCTGCATTATCTAGAGATATTTTTAACTTTTCTTTTAAGGTTTCTTTATTTTTATATTATGGTAACAATAGAACATTGAAACAAGTATGAGCTGATGGTAATTATTCAGTATCTAAATAAATATATATAAAATAAATACCTTCTCCATGTTTTTAAATAACAAACTTCATTGATTTAAGTCCTCCTACAGGGATTCTATCAGATCCTGTGCAAAAGAATAAAAATCTTTTTTGCATTTCTACATTTAAGGAGTNTACTAAGTTAATAATTTATAATAACAAACTTAAAATAAATTATATTAGCAGAAATATGGAATGCAATTAAAATAAAAATAAATATTAATTCTGAGGGATAAGGATTAATATTTTGTTTTCATAGATCTCTAAAAAAAATGATTTTGAAAATTGGAGGAGGATTAATATTTAGAATTTTATTATTTTAAATGGAAGTTGTTTTATAAATATATCAAAAATGAAAATATGAATGATTGAAACAAAGTTAAATATATTAATTTTAATGTTATCTAATTGATCCTTTTAAGATATTTTTTATAGGGAATCATAATATTATAAAATAGTTAAAATATATTATAATTTACTAGATCTAAAAGATATATGTGAAATAAAGGTTTTTTAGGATTAAACTAATGATTATAAGTTTAGTTCAATTAGAATATTATGACAGGAGAATTGAATATTAATATAGAAAATGTTATAGTCATTATCACATTAAACACTAAATCAGTTTTCAAATAATTGCACAATTGCAAATTTGAGTTTTTTTGTTAGTTTGTGTCTCTTCCAAATTATATTCTTTGAAATTTTCAACAATGTGAATTTCGAATAATGGGCCATTATTTGCTTAATCTCTAAAAATAATTTTGTGAGAATTATTTCCCTTTAAAATAGGATTATTGAAAGCATCTTTTCTAGATGTTTAGGCAGTGAGTGGAGGACTTATTTCAGTCAATTGTACAGAGCTTACATCAGCATTCATTTATAAAAATTAATTTTTAGTATAGTTCTTAAAAACTAGATGATGATGTGATGATTATAGTTGATATAAAAAATTCAAATAATAATAATAATAATAAAATGATGAAACTTCTTAAATCACATCAATCCGAATCCTTCTGCATTATCTAGAGATATTTTTAACTTTTCTTTTAAGGTTTCTTTATTTTTATATTATGGTAACAATAGAACATTGAAACAAGTATGAGCTGATGGTAATTATTCAGTATCTAAATAAATATATATAAAATAAATACCTTCTCCATGTTTTTAAATAACAAACTTCATTGATTTAAGTCCTCCTACAGGGATTCTATCAGATCCTGTGCAAAAGAATAAAAATCTTTTTTGCATTTCTACATTTAAGGAGTGTATTAAATTCCAAAAATATCTATTTAGTTTATTTATAATACTTAATATATTCTGAATTATTTTCATATCCATCATATTTTGTAGATGTCTCTAAATCTTTCATATCAAAAGTTGGCAATCCAATAATTAATTATTGCAATTCCTCACCAGAAAATAACTATTTTAAATAATTAATTTAAATTTTTACTTTTATACCATCACCATCAACAACAGTTTTAAATCCATCCCTCATTAATTCAAATTATTTTTAAACTAATTTATTTAAATACCAATCTGTATACAAACGAATATATTCCTCTCTATTTTCAATGGTAACATCAATTTAAAATCCATTAGGCTACATTAAATTTATGTTTATGATACCTTTAAATCTTCATAATAGTTTTCATCCCAAACTTTATATGTAGCATTAAAAGTGAGAGATAGACTCTCAATAATTTTTGGATCAGTTTATTCTCTTAGAAATTGAAATCCAGTATAAGTTTCCATATCTAATTCTTTCATATCTTCTTCCTTCACTTTCTCTCCTCTTAATTTCTTAAATAAAACTGTAGGGAATCTAACATCTAATAATACAGAATTATAAAGTGATAATCCTAATAATTTACCAATCAAAGAATAATATATAGGCATTTCAAAAGATTATGGATTAAACCAAAATACAGTATCATTATTTTTAGGAATAAACATACCATAATCAGGAGTGACTAACTTCTCCATTATCAATCTAAAGAATTCTCTTTTAGGTCCTCCTTCATCCACTCCTTATTCATTAACAAATTGAACCTTTAAAGGATTCTTCAAAGATACTGAAGTTTACTGTAGTTATTTAATAGCAGATTCTATTATATTATCTCTTTCAACTGTTAAAGAGACATATTAAGGTAGAAATCCAAATGTTCTTCTTCTCTAATCATATTATTTTACTTTGCATTCAATATAAAGTAATTTATATTTAAATTCTATTGGCATTGCCCAAGGGTATTAACAAAAAGTAAATGAATAATTTCTCCAAATTTTTTAATTAAACATTTAGAATTAAGTGAATTCTTCTCTATCTGCATCCATTTTATAAAAATATTATATAGAATTTATGATAAATTCACTTGCTTATATTCTAGGATTCCTTAAATTAGACTTATAAATAACACTATAAAGTTCAAATAATCCTTTCATTCTTTAAATATCATCAATTTCTAAAAGTGGTCTAATTGGTGCATTTCCTTATATATTTATTTATTATTCAATTTAATTCTTTATTATTTATTACAATTATTTTAGTTCAGATTTATCAAGTTTTCTAAACCATTTTGATAATTATGTTAATTACTATTAATTTAATCTTCTTATTATTGTCAATACTATTTATGTTTTCTCTTCTAAAATAACATTCAAACAGTTTCTAAATTAAAGAATTAAATAAAGTGCTCTAAGTTAATTTAAATTTGTTAGTTATTCAATATCTAATACTTTTTTTTAAAATAAATTCTTTATTATTTATATTAAGTTTTCTTTCTATTAATTCAATAAATTTGCAGTATCTTGAATCAATTTAAAATTTACTTCTGGATTTTCTAAATCTACTTTATAAATCCCTTAAGTTTTATTGAAATTTTCAACAAATGAGATTCCAAATAATTCCAAAGAATTTGAAATTTTCAATAGTTCTTATACTAGATCCTTATTTACTTCTTTTTAATAAAATGGTTAAAAATTATCAGTAATTGTTTTTTCTTTTGAGCATATTAATTCCCATTTAACTTCTTCATTTTCAATTAATACTTAACATATTCCTTAAATATCTTCTTCACCTAATCCTAATTCAAAATATCCATTATTTTATTTACATTATGGAAACTCACAAAATTTCTTACCACATCCTTATAATGCTTTTTCTATTAAAAGTTTATAATCATATTCCATTGTTTTTTCAAATTTTGATAATTACCAATCATTCATTTCAAAATCTACAATTAAACAATTGTCTCTTTAACTCTATATTTAAAAAACCATCATATTATCACTTAATATATCTCCATCAACTTATTTTGTTTTTTATATTTATTATATTAATAAATCTGCTTTAAATGTTTTATGTCTTGGACTCCAAATTCGAACATTTTTTATTTATCTTGGTTTAAACATTTCTTAAAATGTATCTCTTAATAAATTTGTCCATGCCTTAATCTCAGAATTATGATCTACTTAAGCCTTTACTATTTATAATTTATTATCTATAGGAGACCAATAAATTAAAGTAAACTTAAAATAAAATAATTGATACTCTTGCTAAGTTAGGAAATATTTATTTTTTTTTAAGATTTTCATTATAAAATCCTACTCTTATTTAAGGCTCAATTGATTAATAATTTGTTTTAAAATTCTCATAAACATCTTTCATAACCTAAATTTTCTATTACATAATTACATATTCATAATCCCATTCATTTTCTAAATAACGTATAGTAGAATTATATATATGATCTTCTGGAATGTATTTAAATATCTTCGCTTCTTATATTAAATCAGAATTGATTTTATTAGGCTATTCATATTTAAATTCAAAACTTTCTATCGAGTTTCCTTTTAAAACTCATCCATCTCCTCATCATAATCTACGTAATATTTCCATTCTTTTATGAATTTCTTAGATATCAAATAGTACTCCATCCCTCCTTTCTCTTTTAGTGATTTTTCTATCCTCTACATGTAAATAGAAAAATTACTCTTCTTCCATCTTCATATTAATTTAATTCCTAAGAAAATGGACCTTCTTATTGTTATAACAATTAGAGGAGATTCTGAATCATCATTAAAATAAATAATATTCAGATTAGTATAATTTACTTAAATATTTCTATAAAGTCATTATTAACTCAGAACAGATTAATTCTCTTTCACCCATTATTCTGTTTTACTAAAATATAATTTACTTCAATACCTTAATTATCTTAGTTTTTCTTATATTTACTCCAATTTAGCTCTTCCTGTATTTTTCATACTTTCTATATAAGAATCTTGATTTTCTTATTTTGATTTCATTAATCTTTCTAAATCCATCTAAACCATTTTTTAATCTGCTAATAACTAGTCTTTTTATTATCTTATTTAAATCATTAATTAAGCAACTGCAGCTTCTATTTCAAAAGGTGATTTGTTATTCGATATTTTATTTCTTAAATTATCTATTTGATTACCAAATTATCCAAATGATGATAAATTAGTTTCTTTAAATAATTTACTATTATAATTAAAATTATTGATATTCTTTTTTATTTCTTAAATCTTTTGTTATTTATATTGAATTTATTCTAAAAGTTATTTCTCTTATTATGTTAATTGTTTTAATTCAAATTTTTATTTATTTATAATTTATCCATACTCTATTGATTAACTTGTCTATTATAATTGAATTTATAAATCATCCACCTCTTACTTATTTTTATTGTATTCATTTTTAACTATACTTAATTCCTTTTTTAATTATTCAATATTCTCTAATAAATTTTGTTCTTTTTATTTTTTTGAAAATTAATCTTGCTCAAAAAATTCTCTTATTTATTATTCTTATTATTAAGCAGAATCTTCAAAATTTTTTTTATATCTATAAAACTCTTCCTTTTATTTTTCTTCTAATTTTTATTTTTCCAATTCAAATTCTTCCTCTTTTCTTTTTTTTTCTATTTCAAATTACTATTCTAAGATTCTCAACTCTTTATTTATTTGATCATCAATTTCTTTTCTCTATTTAGCTTCTTATTCTTTAATCTATTTCTTTATCTTCATTTTTTCTATTTCCAATTTCTATTTTAAATTTTCATTTAACCTTTATTCTTCATCTTCAAATTCTTTTTAAAATTATTATTTAATCTAACTTTCATCAAAATTTTATTTTGTTTTTTTTTCCTTAGACAATTCCTCCTCTAAAATTGATAATTCTTGATTTATTTTTTCTTATTCTTATCTTCTAAATGATTCGATTTATTCATCAATTTAAATTTATTTAGCCTTCTTTAATTCTTCAAATTTCTTATCTTCCTCTTCCTTAAATTTTTACTTTAAAATTTCTAATTCTTTCTCTTCATCATACACTGTATTAGTAGTTTCAAATCGTAACTATTTTTCTTGTTCAACAAGTGTTTAATATTCTTTTTCACATTTTGCTTCAATTTCTTTTTTTTAATTTTTAAATTATTCTTCATATTCCTCATCAATCTTTTCCATTTGTTTTTCCTCTTATTATTTTATATTTTTTTTCTCAATTTCTAATCTTTATTAAAGAGTCTTTTCTAAACTTGCTTTTGAAACTCTTTCATATTATTCTAATTCTAACATTTATTCTTCCTCCTATTCTTTTAACTTCTTTAATTTATCTTCATATTCTTATTTCTATTTTGCAGATGTTACTTTAATAGATTCTTTTAATTTTTATATTTACTTTTCATGTTCTTAATCAACTTCTTTTTTTTATTATTCAATCTTTTTATCAATCTTTTTCTTTTATTCTTCAAATTCTTTCTTTTTTTATTCCCTATATTATAATAATTTTTTTTCTTGAGTTTATTTTAATAATGGATCTTATTCCTTATTAAAAACATCAGAATTAACAATAGGTTAAACTTTAAATAAAAATAAAAATATTTACTGGCAATTTCAGGTTCTTTTTCTTTTCCTAATAGTTATTCTTTAACACTTTTAGCTTGATCTTTTGCCAATTTCTCAATTTTTTTTTATTTTTCTTTTTAAAACATTTACTTATAATATTCATCACAAGGATGTTCTTCTTATTGTTAATTGGTAACTAAATTAATATAAGAGATTTCTTTATTTCTATTTTAATAAGGTTTCCTTATATATATATGTATATAGAATTACCAAGATTCTGGCAATGGAGCCATCAAACCTTCTCTTGCAATATATAATAGATCATTATCTTCAGGTAATTCCATTCCTAAAAAATAAGCATATTCTCTAATTTCTAATATTTTAACTACTTAAATGAATACCTTAATTTGTAGGTCTATAATGTTCATCTATTTCTTCTTCTAAAAGTACAGACTCTTAATCTTCATCATCTTCATAATTAATTTGACTTCCCATACCCATTTATGCCATTCCCATTTATCCCATCTATGCCATTCCCATTTATCCCATACCTAATTATCCCATTCCTTTTTTCATAAGATTAGATCCCATTTACATTTAATTCATTTATCCCATTTACATTTAATTCATCTAACTTGTGTTTCCATATTAAATATTATTCATTCCAACCATACCTTATTATTATCCAAATTTATTTTTTTAGGTTTATTGCTGTTAAGGTTATTATTTAAAACCAGAGCTATTTGAGAATCCCATACTACCAGACATATTACTAGACATTCCAAATTATTTTTATTAGTTACTAATTCCTGAGAACCCACCAGTTCCTGACATATTCATTCCACTTTAAATTCCATTTGACATACCAAGACCAGACATTCCCATTCCTGACATTCCCATTCCAGACATTCCCATTCCATGATTCATATTAGAAGTTGGAGGACCTTATATTTATATATTTTAATAAGAACCTGTTTTTTAAGCCTATTTATTTTTAGACATGATGATAAAAACAATTTTAAATATATTTATAAATATTAATTCAATATTTTATGTTTCTAAATAGTATAATATAAAGTATTACTTTATTTAAATTTAAACATATCTTTTTTTATCTTATTTTGAATCTTGCTCTATAAAAACAAGAATTCAATTTATTTTTTGTTTTACAATTTAAATTAAATATTATTTATTAAATATGTAACAAGATCAAAATCAAGGAATGGAACATTAAATTGCTGATAAAGAAATGACTATATAAGAATAACTATTAGAATAATAGAAAAAATTTAGAAACTTAGAATCTGATAGAAAAGCTTATGCTGAAGAAACTGTTGCAAACATTAATAAATAAAGAGGAATTATTGATAAACTTAAAAAAGAAAATTAGATTCTCAAAGATTTAATTGCTAAGATGAATTCTTAAAAATCATAACTTAATTAAACATCATATTCAAAAGGACCTAATATTGATACAATTATTGATGATTTGAAAGTTGCTATTAATGAAGAAAAAAAAGTATAAGAAGATATTGATACACATGTTGCAGATTTTTAAAAAAAGATTATCGAAAAAAGACATGCTTTAGGTGGTTATAATGCAGGTGCTGAAAATGAAAGTGCTTTATAAAAATAAATTAAAATTTTAGAAAATAGATTAGATAAAACAAATTAAAAATTTAATGAAGCTATTGCTATAAATAAATAATTAAGATAATAAATTGATAGTCTACGTAGAGAAAGAGTTATTTTTGATAATCTATATAAAAAACTTGAAAAAGAATTGCATGAGAAAAGAAAAGTAATTTATTATGAAATACATTATTTTAGGAAATGGCAGATATTATTGAAACTGCTAATACAGCTTATGAAGAAAGGGATAAAGCCAATGATTTAATTTAAAGTTTAAAATAATAGGCAAAAAGAGAATCTGCTGATTTTGAAAAAGATCTAAGAGAATTAAGTCAAATCATGGAAAAAAATAAAAAAACTTTAGATTATATGAAATTAACAGAAAAAAATAGAGAAATGGATGCATAAGAAGTTGTTGATGCTGATAAATTTACTAAACCAAAAACTAATAAATTAATTAGAGATAAAAATGTAAATTAAACTATGGTTGAATTAATCATGAAATATGAAGAAGATTTTGCTAAAATATAAGCAGCTACTTAAATTAAATAATTTGATGATATTATCAAATTTTTTATTTAAAATGAAGAAAAAGTATACACCTCTCATAATTATCTTAGAATTTTTAAATGTTTAAATATGTTAATGAATTAAGCAACGAAATTGAAGATTTAGAAAAATAAATAGGAGAATTAAAAGAAGAAGCATCTTTATATGAAGGTTAAGGTTCTAATGTAGATGTATAAAGAAAAAGACATTTAAAAGATTTAGAAGAAAAATTATCAAGATCAGAATAGAAATCAGAATAATATGAATTTAAATATAATGAATCTATAAAACTAATCAATAGTTTAACAGTATTTATATATCATCTATTTTATAGAATTGGATAGAAACTCTATTTAATACAGTAGAATGTGATAAATAAATGGCAACTGAGATTGCTGGATCACATGGAGTTACTGATACAAATATGATGATTTATTTAGGATTAATTGAAAATAAAACTAACAAATTATTGCAATATTATTAATAAATTCATTAGAAAATATCAGAAAATTAAATTAATTCATTACAATAGTTAGCATAGTTAAATGAGAAAAATCTATAAAATAAAAATAGAGCAGAATTACCATAATTTGGTAATTTTATTATATTATTTTAGATGAACATGAAGATGATGATATAGAAGGAGATAAAATATTATCAATTGAAGAATTTAAAAAAAAAGCACTTGAAAAACTAGAAGTATTTATTTAATTATAATTTAGAAATAATAAAATTAAACAAAAAATAAAAGGGCTGGACCTAATAAATTAAGAAAAAATAAATGATCATCATTTAATATAAATATAATCATTTAGACTCTATTTTTATTTTTATACTTGGTTTTTATGGTGGTTTCACTAACGGAATTACTCTTGCTCTAATAAAATTTTCAATAAATTCATCTTTTTAATATTAATATGGAGGATGCATATTTATTATATGATCCTTATCTGGTTTCAAATCGACATAATGCATATATGGATAGATTTTACACTTTTAATTAAAGTCTCTAAAATATTAGTTTAACCTCTCAATACAATCAGGATGTATTTAATTGGATTACAAACTAAGTTAAAACATAAAATCTTAATGAGTCCATTCTGTATAATCACTCTTTAAACTTGATTACATTGTGTCTGGTTATATATTTTCAATAATCTTTAAAGATTCTAGTAAAGATGCTTAAGCTCTTAAATCTGGAACATATTTGATGGGAATTACAGCAGGTGTTTTTTTTATGATTTAATTACTTTCAGATTATTAAGATTTTATCACTTCTTGTATTTTTGGTTTCTTTTTTATTGGTTCTAAATATATGTCATCATTATCAATCAGAGATTGCATTTTAATAATTTTCCAAATTATAAAAAAAAATTATAGTTATCTCAAAAAATTCAAGAATCAGAATAAATGATTATACTCCAATTTATCAGAGAAGCTTAATCTATAAATTTACAGAAACAAGAAATAAATACATTTTAGTTCAAATCGTAGTTAACACAGTCTAAACTTATAAAGGAAAAAAAAAATGCTATAAAATTAATTACATTTTGTATTTAAATGTTTAATAATAAAAGTTGAACAAATCTCATTTAACTGGAGATGATTGTCAAAGATTTATTTATATTTTTATATGGAATTTAATAACTTAAATTATTGATAATTTTTAGAATAGTAAATTTATGACTTTACTATTTTTTAAGTTCTACTATTATTTATTTTAATTTAAAATTTTAACAATATTAAAAACTTTATTATTAGTTTATTGTTTATTTATTTCATTGTTAAATCAACATATTATAAATAAATAATACAAAATGCAAGAAATAGAAGCACAAAAGTAATAAAAAGCAAGTGAAGGAGCACATTTTTTTTACAAATTAATATTTATATCAGCATCAGGAATTATTGAGACTTAGTTTATTGAATAAAATGTAATTAGAATCTTTGATTATTTGTACATTTAATATTCTATGGATGAATATTTTTGGGAACTTACATACTTATTACTTTAATTCCTGGTTATTAAAAAGTAATGCTGCTATTATAATCTTTTTTTTAATTTTTTGGATATATGTTTCGGAATTTATCTAATTTTATTACTATTTTATGGAGGAAAAATGTATTTTACACCAAAAGATTGTTTGATGGAAGCTCCGATTTTATTTTTTTTAGAAACATTTTTGTTGGTATACAGAGATGAAAAATATATTAGGTAACAATAAAGATATGAATCATTTTATTTATAACGGAATCATTTATGCAATTTTGATTTTGCCATTTATATCATATTTACTCAAACGATTTTAAAAATCATAATAAGTATATGATGAAAATTAAGATGAATTTTAAGATGCTTGATAATATATAAAATATATAAATGACTAATACTATCTAACATCATGAAAATGAAAATAGTCTTATGGAAAATATCCTAAATATAGTGAGATCTGAAATGAAAATAATAAAACGAAATAAGCTTACAAGATATTAATAAATTTAATGAGAAAATTTCAACAACTGAATTTGACACTATCTTAATTGATTTTTATATTGAGATTAAAAGGAAAAGTTATTCTCTAATATTATTAGTCTGTATAATAAAGAATTAGATAAAAAAGTCGGTTGGTTTAATCAGAAATGATTAGAGATGTTTGTAAAATTAATATTAAGCATAATTGATTTATATAAATATGATTTCTTAAGTTTAGGATTTGTATTAACTTATTTACGACAAACTTGTAAATAAAGAATCTCTTGAGCCCTCCTTGCTCACTAGGCTACATACTTAGATCTTCTTGTATAATATGGAGAAAAACTTTGAATTGGAGGAATTTTATTATGATATTCTTAGAAAGCATATCAAGAATCATTATTCAATCTATCCTGAATAACTGGAAATACTAATTAATATTGTTTATTATCTTGGTATTTTCATTAACTAATAGTAANTTAAAAAGTAATGCTGCTATTATAATCTTTTTTTTAATTTTTTGGATATATGTTTCGGAATTTATCTAATTTTATTACTATTTTATGGAGGAAAAATGTATTTTACACCAAAAGATTGTTTGATGGAAGCTCCGATTTTATTTTTTTTAGAAACATTTTTGTTGGTATACAGAGATGAAAAATATATTAGGTAACAATAAAGATATGAATCATTTTATTTATAACGGAATCATTTATGCAATTTTGATTTTGCCATTTATATCATATTTACTCAAACGATTTTAAAAATCATAATAAGTATATGATGAAAATTAAGATGAATTTTAAGATGCTTGATAATATATAAAATATATAAATGACTAATACTATCTAACATCATGAAAATGAAAATAGTCTTATGGAAAATATCCTAAATATAGTGAGATCTGAAATGAAAATAATAAAACGAAATAAGCTTACAAGATATTAATAAATTTAATGAGAAAATTTCAACAACTGAATTTGACACTATCTTAATTGATTTTTATATTGAGATTAAAAGGAAAAGTTATTCTCTAATATTATTAGTCTGTATAATAAAGAATTAGATAAAAAAGTCGGTTGGTTTAATCAGAAATGATTAGAGATGTTTGTAAAATTAATATTAAGCATAATTGATTTATATAAATATGATTTCTTAAGTTTAGGATTTGTATTAACTTATTTACGACAAACTTGTAAATAAAGAATCTCTTGAGCCCTCCTTGCTCACTAGGCTACATACTTAGATCTTCTTGTATAATATGGAGAAAAACTTTGAATTGGAGGAATTTTATTATGATATTCTTAGAAAGCATATCAAGAATCATTATTCAATCTATCCTGAATAACTGGAAATACTAATTAATATTGTTTATTATCTTGGTATTTTCATTAACTAATAGTAACTATTTACAAAGGCATTTCAAATTATTAAAGAAAATTTAATTGATAATCAACCAATCATTTAGAATTCATTATATTTGCACATCCTTTAAGCTTGTGGCTCTTAAAACATAGGTTTAAAACAAGGTCATTAATTTCTTAACATTGATATCAATAATGAATATTTTAAATCACGATTCCTTAAACCCTATATTGATTCAATAACCTAAAGAATACCAAAAGATAATATTATATAATTCATTAAGGATGAATAATAAAATATCAAAAATCTTCATCCAGAATCAGAGGATTACATCATTTATGAATTAAAATTATTCATTATTTAGTAATAACTCAAAACTATCGATTTTCAAAATAATTCTTAAGAATTATACGACTTATTTTCTTTTCTTCAAATTGAAGATAAATATTAATACAATATTAAGCAAAAGCTTTCTAATATGATAGACAAAGATAATTCAATAAATCCTTTTTATTAATTAGCAATACAATATAAGAGTTTTCTTTTGCAATAACTTGATTTAGACTTTAATCAATTTTTTTCATTTTTTAAATTGCAATTAGATAATATTAGAAATTTTTATTAAAATTAAAAACATATGTTAATTGTATTAAATGAAACAATTGAAGAATATTTAATAAAGCATGATTGTTTACAATATTTTCTTGAAACTCTTGATGAAGATATTAGTTATTTTTCATAATGTATGATATCATCAATTGATCATTTTGTTAATTTAATGATGGAAATATTATTTAAATTAGTATCCCCTTATAAGAACAATTTCAACTTTTTTCTATAAATTGCAAAGATAAATAAAATGTCTTAATACCATCATAAATTAGTAGATAAATTTAAATTAAAAGAATTAGAGAAATATTTTAGAATAGCTTAAAATTCTTAAAGACCTTTATATTTACCTTAACCAAAATTTATTTCCTAAAATGCAGAAATAATCTAAGACATTCCATTTTAATTATAAAAATATTTACCAAAAGAAGATAAAAAAAGATTCGAATTATCTGTTTATGGATATGCTGAAGTATTATATAAAGAGAATTACAGACTGGTACTTAATACAAGACAATTGGTTTCTCTGTATCAATTGATAAACAATAATTTTAAATAGGTTGATGAAAATAGTTTGGTTCTATTTCAGAAAATAGGTTTAATAAATGCAAAAGCAAATATAAATAATGACTGGATACCAACTCATAAATGTTTGATATTATTTAATTGAGAGTTTAATAATTATATACTAATTTCTTTGATTTCCTAAAAATATTCTAAAATTTGAAATATATTTTTAAAATTTAATATAAAGGTCTATATTAATTAAAGATTGAAAATACATAATTGAAGATGATAGTCTAAGCTTAAGAGATTCTTTAATAGAACATCTACAATAAGAATCAAATAAAAATATAAAGTTATAATTAATAATCTTATTTTTGAAATTCCTAATTTTCTCTTAAATATTTATTTATTTTAGAATTATTGTTTTTCTTAATTATTCTTTACATGCAGCCCAATGTATATATGAATGAAATTAGAAAAGATAAAGATTGGTTATCTACTTAAAGAAAAGAGATGCACGAAAAAAAAGAATTAAATAAATTACCTAATGGTGAATTCAAATTTAAACCACCTAAAACAATTGAAGATTAACTTGATGAATTATAAGTAGTCACAATTATAATTTTAGTTATAATGCCTAATTGGTCATTATGATAGGAAAATTAAGATAAAAGGATATAAAGGATCATTCAAATTGGAACATTGGAAAATGATTGAATTAAGATTAAGAGGAAACTTTTCAATATCATAAGTAAGATTCATTGATACTAAATTGGATAAAGAAAATTTAATGATATTACCTTTATGGTTTAGTTGGGTGAAAACTTAGAATTTGGTTATTGAATTATAACATAATGAATTGGATGACTAATGTGTTGAAGAATTCATTTTTTAAATATTTGAAAGAAATATAAATTTATAAAAAGTAAAACTAGGTTTCTTAATAATTAGATGTTTTTGATTAGCAATCCTGGAGTTTACAAAGGTTTTCTGCTTAGAAAATTGAAACATTATTTAATCAAAAAGTATGAAAATAATATGGATTTTTATTATCTATTGTTGAAAAATAAATCAAAATTATCTTTTGCAATAATAAAAATCTAAAGAAATTGGTAAGTTTAAAAAATCAGAGAAGAGAGAGAATTTGCGATGAAGAAAATTGATCAAACATTTTATTTTAGTTTTAATTTATCAAATTGTTTTACATAAATTAACTGGAAAGGATTTGAACATCTAATAAGATGCACTTATAGTTTTGATAATTTAGAGTAAATCTCATCTTTAGATATATCTGAGAATTATTTGGGTACTTAAAGTAGTTTTAATAATGCTTGTTAGAGTTTATCAACAGCTAAAGGATTAGTTACATTAAAATTAAAAAAATAACCACTTTTTCATAATACTACAGCAATTTAATAATTGATAGGAGATAGATATGATCGATTAAGAATAAATCATTTAGATATATCAGATAATTCAGATATATTTGAAAAAGCTTTTTAATTATTAGCTGATCAAATATTTCTTGAATGTAAATCAATCAATTTGAATTATTCATTAAATGAAAATAGTAGTACACTTTATAAATTATCTATCTTTACTTAAGCTTTTGAGAGGTAGAATAATTTATTTGAAGCTCAAGAAAAATTATCAAAATCCAATTTCGGTATAAATGAATATATATTTTAGGAAAATATAAATATAAAAGTAAATTACAATCTTTAGATTTATCAAAGGTTGAAAATTTTAATAGATATGATTAAATTGAAGCTCTTTTAAAAACGATTGTTTTCTCTGAATACAGTAATGTTAGAACACACAGTATAGTATTTAATTTTATTTAGCTATATAAAATTTGGATGTTGGAAGAACTGAAATATATTGTAAAGCCTTGAATTCATTTTAATCGGAGTTCATATTTAAAAAATCAAAAATTCCTAAATATAAAGATTTTAAATTGAATTTAAAAAATTTAATTTACTTAGATTCATAATAAGAATATTCTATGAAAATTGATGTTTTAAAATAATTTTTTTTAGATTTTTTGTTTACTAAAGAAAAGTCACTTCTTGAAATAGAAAGTTTTAAATTTATTAAAAGCTTTACAAAAAAAAATAGAAAAGAAGCTTTAAAATTGGCTGCAGCTTATGTTTTAGAAGCAGTACATAAAAATCCAAATTTAAAGTTTTCAATTAATAACTTGAAATTTTTTTAGGCTTAATTAGAATTAGATCTGTAAACATTTAAATGTTTTTTACTAATTCCTAATATAAAATTAAGAGTTTTTAAATATTTTAAAGATTCCATGAAAGTATAATTTTCTTGTAATTTTTATAGGGTGAAGGCAATAATTATTTAATTGAATTGGAAAGTTTTCTTTTATCTTAACCATAATCATATGTCCATAGTTTATAAATTTTTAAATTGGATACTATAACAGGAATTTCTTTTGATGTAAGTAAATTGATCAAACTTTTAATATATTCTCCTAAACTTTAAATAAAAGAATTTCATTTTTATAAAATCAAATTAAGTAAGTTTAGTTTATCAGTCAGAGATTTAGATTTACATATTTAAAATTCTGTCGATCCTAATCGAATTATAGGATTAAGAAGTTTGAAATTTGGAGATTTTTAGGGGGAAGGAGAAGAAGAGTTTTTTAAATATATTGTTTTTAGTAAATTTGTTAGATTAAAAGAGTTGGCCTTAAAAACTATAGACTTTAATCAAATTATTTAAAATTTATAAACATAAATATTACCAAAGGATAAAAATCCACTCGAAGAATTATAAAGTATAGAATTTGAGGATATTTATATATCATCAAAAGAAATATGGAATTAAATATCGAAAATATTTATATTTTAAAACAAATAATTGGCTTCGCTTACCTTTAATTCTATAAATATTGATATTAATTTTACATTAGGTTTTACTTAATCAACAGTACAAAATATTTCATTAGCAAAAACTTAATAACTTCAATATGATTTTCTATTACATATTACTGAATTAAAGTTTATTGATTGTAATTTTAATAGTGATTTTTTATCATTCTTTTTTCCTATTGCTTAGATTTAAAACTTAGAAATTATCAAATGCAAAAATATTTAATAGTCTATGCTTAAGGTTCAAGAAAACTATATAGATGAAATTAATCAATTTGCTTTAAAATAATTCACAATGAAGGATTGTACTTTTACAGATATGAATATTTTTGAATGGATGGTTAATTATGTTATTTTAAATTTTGATAGACAATAACTTGAAACTCTAAATCTAATAAATTGTGATTTAAATGATGAAATGATTATAATCATCTGCAAATAGCTTCAAAAAATTATTAGCAAAATATAAGAATTGAAAAGAATATTTTCCTTAAGATAAATAAATTTTTCTTAAAATGATAAAATTTAAGAATTATAATGGATTAATGTAAATATTATTATTATAATCTTAGCTATTTAATACTATTTTGAATTAAAATCAAACAATGCAATATGAATTAATTGCTTAGGATTCTCTTCGAAAAGATTAAGTAAATGTTTAGATAAATGAAAATTTATTATTTATTGATTAAACGCTTTTGAATTTAAAATAAAAACTATACTACAATCATAGAATTTTTAAGCCTAACTTCCCAAAATAACTCAAGAAATTAGAAATTGATTTAGAATTAATCAATAAAATTAAAGCAATAAATAAAAATGGAAATTCATAATAATAAGAATTAAAAAGAAGCTTTTATTAAAGAATTGTGACTGGATTTATAATTTATCCTGAAAGTTAATTAAAAAAATTAAAACTATCTAATGTGGATTTAGATCTGTTTATGTAATGTTGTAACATTAGTATTGAATTCTCACAAAAGTATCTTGAATTATCTTTGATAAATACATATAAGCAATAATTTATAAATTTAGAATAAATTCATATAGTAAAAGTAACAACTCAAAGTAGAATAAGTATTGAATAATTCTTTAGATTGTTTCTTTTTAATCACTAAATTAATTTAAAAAAATTATCAATTCATGGATTTAAAGAACAGTTTTTGCAAATATTCTTAAATCTAAGTGATAATCGATCAAATTATTTTCTTGAATAGATTTCATTTGAAGATTGTGAAGATAAATTAAATGAAAGCTAAACTACAAAATTTATTGAATAATTAATAGTTGGAAAATTGTTTCCAATAAAGAAAATAACTATTCCAAAAGGGATTATATTTGATTTTATAAAATAATTTGATTTAAACTCAGCAAATGATTGTAAGATAGAGAAAATAAAATTATCAATAGAAGATAAGGGTAAAAATCACATGTCAACAATTCTGAAAATATTTTCTTTACTATTTTCTCAAGTTTCAAAATTATAAAGTTTAGAAATCACAACTTAAAATTCAGATAGTATATTTTAACACATTTATGAAAACTGTAAATCTGATAAACTAAAACTTAAAAGTCTAATAATTAATAGTTCTCTCAGTGTTGATATGGATTTTTTTCATTTTATCTCTAAATCTGTTGAAACATTAACACTATTGAGAATATAAAAAGTAATTTATTTAAAATAAAATGAAACAAATAACTTATTGTAATAAATCTACAAATAACCTTTATAAGGAAGCAAACTTGATCTAAACATTATTGAACATGAAGATACCTACTTTTTATATTATAATTTAATTTTTAATGAAATGTTTGGATTTACTAATTTAATTTTGAGACATCCTCTAAGTTTTGAAAAGATGCAATTAAGCTATTCGATTTTTAAAATCAAATATTTGAAATTAGATATGGGTATTAGTTATAACGAAAATATCTAATTGAATAATGATGCGTTAACTTTGATTTCATCTAAAATGATTTATAGTGAAGATAGTATTTTGGAAGAATTGGTCTTAATGAATTGTGATTTAAAAGTTCCAGCAATTAAAGCTATTGTAAGTCCTGCTTAAAAATTAAGAGATAGAATCAGTTATACAAGTAGGCAAAAATCCTTTTATATGAGTATCAAAAGGATATGTATCTTATATTCATTTCATATAGGAGAAGAAGGAATGGAAATGTTATTTAATAATTTAATATATTTTGAATATGTGAATATTGAGAGAATAGAATTATAAGCAATAGAATTGAATGATAAAATTATCATTGAAATGATTAAACATGCAAATGAATGGTTACATTTTTAAAAGAGAAATTAAAGATAATTTAGTAAGTTATTTCCTATTAGATACTTGGATATAGGAAAAAATGAATTGTTTTAGGATAAAGTAATATGGTAGAAATTTCTTAGAACTTTTGTATTTACTGATAAAACACCTTATTTATAAATCTTAAATTTTCATTAAATGGCATTGACTGATTCTATAGCAACTCATATTGGATATAATGCATAAAAATTTTTAAATTCTAAAGCTAAAAATTATCAATTTCCTTTAAAAAGATTAAATTTTTCAAAAAATTATTTTTTAACAGAAATTGGATGGAAGAATATTTTTAATAATTTTATTTTCCATCCAAAAGTATATTTAATTGAATTAAATTTGACTAGTACATAATTAGATACAGATGAGAAATTGAATTCTATATTTTTAGCTGCATAAAAAAGAGCATAATTATAAAAAAACAAATAACTTCCTTTGCATACATTCTTATGTTATAATGTTAGAATAAAAGATTAGATTGCTAAATATATTTCACCTAAACCTTTATAATATGAACCTCCTGAAGATTTACCTATAAAAATTGATTATAAAAGTTGGAGATTAGGTATTTTTGATGAATTACCAATTCATTTAGGAGATCAAGTTGAAGTATTAAATTAGATAATATATAACAGAAATGAATTAATAATTCCAAGTTAATTAGATTTTTATGAAGGTTTTAAATTTTCTAAATTTCATTTAAGTTTTATAGAACACTATTTAAAAATAATTAATTAAATTTTTGGTGTAGATTAAAATGCAATTGAATTAACCTTTAATTTAGCAACACTTGATAGCTTTTCAAATTTATTCAGATACACAACCGAAAAACCAGCTAAACCATTTCCATATTATATGCTATTTTAAAGAGAAGCATATGTTTTTTTTAGTAAATCTTCAAATAAAATAAAAAAGATAAGTTTAGTTAAAGCAGAATCTTAATCTTTAGAAGAATTAAGTTAATTTGATGTCCTATAAATTTGGGAGAATATAAAACGTTTTAAATGTAATATAGATTAAATTTTAATGGAATATACTTTGAATGATGATTTGGTAGAAAAAATGCTTAAAAAAGGATATACTGAAAGAGATTTTATTTCATTATGTAGATTGATTCCACCATCAAATGTTAGAATATAAGGTTCATTAAGCATTTAAGCAATTAAAGGCTTATATTCTATTTTATATGAAACTTATTACTTTCAATATTCAGTTATTGATTATAAATTTGATAATTTCTTAAATATTGGTATTGGATATGGTTTGAGAGAAACTGCATATCGAAAAGCCGAAGGCAATTCTTGGTCTAATTTTTATAGAATGATGTAATATGGATTTTATGATATTTTTGTTAAGCCTACTCAGAAATATGTATTTGATGATTCAGTTATTATTTTAAATCAATATTTGTCAAAATAGAAATGGAATTTATTACTATTAGCTTTTACAAACTTTCTATTCTTTGGTTCAGCAATTATTGCTCCATTTTTCCTAATTGAATTTGCAACCAAAGAAAATGAGTAATAATGTTAAGTTACAAAAGGATATTAATAATATTATTTTTATGGAGCTTTTGCATTAATTTCAGCTTTGATAGAAGGGCATTTATATTTTTCTATTTGTAATATAATTCCTGAATATATTACATCAATGGAACATGCAGTATAATTTAATGAATAAGAGATTAAAATAACTGAATATAAAAATTCATTTAATTCAATTGAAACTAATAGAGTAAACTAAGGTGATGATAAATTATGTAAAACACAATTCAAAGACAGATACAAAAAAAAAATAGAAAAGTCTTACAAATCTTTTTTATCAAAAATCAATAGAGTTGGTAAATCTAAATTTATTACTTAAATTAATCGAATAATTTAATTTTCTATGTCTTAATTATTTAAGTTTGATCTTTTTGGTGATGTTACCTTTATTTTAGTACTTTAAAATTGTAATTATATTGAATTATTTTATTTAACCTGTATAATTACTGCATTTACATAAGGAATTCATTTTATTTACTTTTTGTACCTTATTACAAAACGATTTTTTAAATCAAACAAATCTATTTAATAATTATCATCCTAATTTATCAATGAATTCTATTCTATTGGATTTTAAGGAAGAAATTCTGCTTTATCGAATTTATTAGATTCAATAGCTCCGTTTAATGTTTCAGTCATTCCAAATAATTAATTAACTAGAACCATATTACCAAATTAAGCAGGAAAATCTATGAGTAATCTAGTCAAAGTATTTTAAACTATTTTTATATTTAGGGCTACTTCGTTTAGTTTATATTTGAAGATCTACCTTAAATTGTAATATAGACTTATTTTACAGTTAATTAAGCATGGAAATAACAAGGAGAATTAGAATTCTTGACTTATCTAAGAATTGCTATCTCATTATTAACAGTTGTTACTTCCTTTATTAGGTAATTAATATATTATTATAATTTAGATTTATGTCAATTAGACCTACAATTTTAGTCTAAGATGATTTTGATAGATTATCTGAAAAAAAGAAATTTAACTATAACAACATAAGAAAAGATTTATTATCGAATGAAAAAAAACAATTACTTCATTTTTCAGAATTTAGCTCATAACCTATAAATGAACAAAACGGACAAAACCCAGATGAAACTCATCCTTTACATTTATAATAATCATATCAAGTTCCTTGAATCTATTTAAGTAATCATGATTTTTATTATTATTTATTATTCATTATACTCTCCAGTTATCAAACTTTTAATTTTATATATTTCTTCATTTAAGATTTGCTGAGAAAATATATTATTATTTACCTCTTCTTATTTAAATTTAATAAATAATTGTTATTGATATTTTTATAATACAATCTTAAAAAATAAATTCAGATTCTGAATTTCTAAATTGTTCAATTAGATAAATTGTAGATAAAAACACAATTAGAATGAAATCTTATTAAATCTTCTATATAATTTAAATTAAATAGTTATTTTTTTTTGAATAGGATAGTAATATTGTTTTTAAGTAACATTATTGCTATTTAAATTCAATAATAGCAAACATTTATAATTTTAAAGATATTTTAGAAAAATTGAAAAAAAACACAATTAAAATCTTTTTAATATATTTTGATAAAAATTTGATATGTCGGAAAAAATCAGAATATATAATAATTAGTGACAGTTGCACGATATTAATTTATATTTGCCTATCTTCGTAATTGATTATTAATTATGAATTTGGTATACAATTAATTGAATCAAGCTGCTCGAAATGAATTTCAAGCTTAAAAGTTAAGAAAAAGAACATCAATTCATTTTCAAAAAAACAATAGCATCAATTTAAGAAAATTAAAAGGAAAGTTTGTATTTGAACCTATAAAAACAATTGTAGAATAACTAGATGATTTTTTTGTATTTATTATTTCAAACCTAATCTTAGTTGATGCTAAAAAAAAATGGATGGGATCGAAAAATAGGATTCAAAGGATATAAAGGAACTTTTAAAGTTGAACATTTGATAATGATTGAAACAAAATTAAGAGTATTACATCCATTAAGAGAATTAACAATAGTAGATACATAAATTGATAAAGAACACTTAATAATATTGAGATAATGGGTTGCATGGCTTCAACCGAGTAAATTGACTCTAGAATTTTAGCAAAATGAAATAGATAATGAAGATTTTGAAGAATTCATCTATCCTCTCTTTGAAAGAGAAATAGATATCAAGAGAGTAATTTAATTCTATAATTTAGCTCTATATTATCAGCAATCCAGGAATATATAAAGGATAGTCACTAAAACAAATTAAAAATTATTTAAAAGAAAAATATTAAAAGCATGAGTATTATGAATATGAGTTATTGTTGAATAAAGATTCTAAATCTATTGCTATAATAAAATTACAAAAACAATGGACAATATAAGAAAAGAATGATATAATCTAATAAGCAAGGATAAAGATTGATCAAACATGTTTCTACGATTTTGATTTAGAAAAATGCTTTACAGAAAAAAATTATTAAGGTTTTGAACATTTAATTTAATTAACATACGATTTAGATAATCTAGAATAAATATGTGGATTAAATGTGTCAGATAATTATCTTGGAACTCTTAATAGTTTTTAATAGACTTGCCAACATTTATCAACTGCAAAAGGATTACTTGAACTAAAAATTCGATCTTAAAAATTATTAGATAATTCAACTATAGTAAACTCTTTAGTTGGGGATAGATATGATAAATTAAGACTAAATATCTTTGATATCTCAAAAAATAATTCAATTCTAGAGAAAACATTTTAAATTTTGTCAAATGAAATATTTTATTACTGTAAAGAAATTATATTTGATGCTGTTTTAATATAACAATTAAGTACTATATTTAAATTTAGTATTTGGGTTGATGCAATTAAAAATAGAACTGATCAATTGAGAGAATAAAGTTAAAAAAGTAAGAATTTCTTTTATATTAGGTGGTAAATTACTTAAATACAACTTGAAAAGAATTGATTTAAAATCAGTTGAAAACTATAATCGACATGATTTGGTTTAAAAATTTGTTGAAAGCTTAATATTTACAGAGCATACAAATTTTAAAACATTAAGTATCCCATATATTATTTATTTTTTAAGCTATTTAAAATTGCGATATAGGTAGATTGGAAGCCTGGACAAATTCATTTATAAAGTTTAAGGAACGCGTTTAAAAGGAATAATCATCAAATCCTTTGCTAAAAAATTACAAATTACCAATTAAAAATATTATTATGCCAAAATAAACGTATCGGATGGAGCCATAATATATTACACGATTTTTTAATGAACTTTTTTTTACTAAAAAGGGTGGTATTTTGGAAACTGAAAGTTTCGTAATGGATAATTGTTTTAGATAAACTGGAAGAGAAGAGGGTTTTATAAAAGCTTGCGATGACATATTTCAAGCAATATAAAATAAGGAAGAATCATAAAAAAATATCGAATATTCAATAAGAAAAGTTAGATTTTTTGACACCTACTGTGACTTTCGTTTATCAATTTATTAATGCTTAATATTAACTGAAAACTTCAAATTGGAAGAATTAAGTGTTGAAAAGGAAGGGATGAAGGAAAAAGTTTCAGATTATAAAATAGCTACTCTTAATTATTTGAAAAAATAACCACCAAACTTTATTCTTAGTTTAAATTCACTTTAATTTATAGATATATTTGATATGTCTTTTGAAATTTATGAATTCTTAGAGTTATTTCTTTATCATGATCAGCTTAGATTGAAGAAGTTATAATTATCAAATCTTGAATTCAATGAAAATAAAGATTATTAATAAACTTTTGAAAAAATTGTTAATAATAAAGACTAAGAGAAATATTAACTTTCAGTAAAAGAATTGTATTTAGGAAATCTAAAACAAGATACAGCTTAAATAAATTTTATTAAATATGTTATATTTTCGAAGTTTTAGAGAATAGAAAAATTAAGTTTAGTAAACATAAATTTTGATCAATTTACTGATTAGATTGATGAAATTTTATAAGAATCTAAAATTAGAAACCTAAATTAAAAATAAACTAATGAATAATAAATTAACGAGAATTAGATAAAAAATTATGAAGAGCAAAATAAAATTAATATAGAAATATATAATAAAAATAGTATTCAATAAAAAAATGTATTTTTAGAAAATGATAATTTAAATAACAGAAATTATTATATTTTCTAAAATTTAAAATACTTGCTTTTAAATGATATAATAATTACTACATAAAAATTGTGGAGTATTTTATTAAAAGATATTATATTTAATAACCAGGTAAAATTGGAAGAGTTGATTTTATAAAAGCTCAATCTTGATGATAAATTTATTTAAGCTTTAGAAGATGCTAGCAAACATTTAATAGATTTACAATTTAAAGAAAATCCAGAAACAGTAAAAGAAATCTTAGCTTTGAAAAAATTATCTATTATTGAGTGTAAAACATAAAAAGATTTTTTGACTCCTTTTTTTATGCTAAGTACATTAACTGAACTGAAATTTAATACATGTGATGGATTTAATAAAGTTATTTAGGATGCATAGGAAAAATTTAAATAGAATTAAAATTATCTACAATTTAATATTGTATCAATAGAAAGTTTTGTATTAGAAAAAACCATTTTAGAAGAAAAATAATTTTAATGGTTTTTAGATGAAATTATATTTAATTGGGAAAGATAATAAATCAAAAGTATTGGTATTATAAATTGCGATATGACTGATGAATTATTACTTATTTTATCTAATTAGATAAAGAAAATTAAGAATTACTCAACATAATTTAGAAGATATTATAATTTGAGGTCTATAAGTTTAAGAGATAATTCAAAAATAAGTGAAGAAGCTTGGATCGATTTTTTTAATAAGCTAATGGAATAAAAAGCTCAAATTTAGTTTCATTTAAAACAAAATGAGCAAGAACTCAAAAATAAAAATTTAGTTAATGCAAATAGTGACAATGAAGAAAATGAAGAAGAAATTAATTCTAAGAATTTTCTAAATGGTTAAAAGGATGTCTAAATCCAAGAAACTAAAAAATAAAAAGAATTTAATGAATAATAAATAGATTCATAGAAATTATCTATTTAAGAAAAAGCAACTAGGGTTGAATTATTGGCTACTTCTAATGCTGAATAATTATATGAAAATGAACTTTAAGTAAAAGATAAAGTGATTAATAATTTTTAAGATTTCAAGCCAAAATTTCCTTCAAATTTGCTACATATTTCATTAAATCTTGAATTTAACACTGTAACAAAAAAAGAGAAAGATAAGCTTTATTACAACATTATTGTTGGCCTAATAATCAATGTTGAAAGTTAAATAAGTAGTATTAAACTTACAAATGTAGATCTTAGTATTTTTATGCCAAATGTTTAGAAGGCTTAGGAATTAATAGGAATACTTATTAATAAATGTTATAAAAATTAAGCTAAAAATTTTAAAAGTAAAATTGAAAAAATATTTTTAAATGTTAAAACTACAGACGAGGATGATGTTTAATTATTTGTTAAAACCTTTATATGCTCAAATCATATTCAATTAAAAAATTTAGAATTATCTGGATTTTAAAATAATGGAATTATTCGTTAAATTTTAAAATAGTTACCAAATAGAACTGAATATGTTTTGGAAACTTTAAAGTTAGACATCACAGAACAATTAACAGAAGGTGAAACATTCTAATTTTTGGAGAAAGTAATTTTAGGAAGTGTTTTACCAATAAAGGTATTAAAGTTAGGCAAAGCTATTCAATTTTCAAAAACTTAATTATCAGAGCTTTTATTAAATGAATAATTAATTCCTTTATCTCATTATATAATCACAATTAATGATGAAGAAGAACAATTATAAATACATTCTTAAATTTTAGAATTATTATTCCAATAAAATTGCAAATTAAAAATATTAGACATAACTAAATCTTAAAATATGAACAAACTTTTGGAAAGGATAATAGAAAACATAAACCAAAATCTATCTATCTAGCTTGCTTTAGAAGAACTTTATTTTAATGGATAAATAAAGGCTGATTCTAAGTTTTTAAGTTTTTTATTTAGAATACTTAAAAATTTGAAGTAATTAAAATTTGATGATTTGGTTGTAGAAAATAAACAAGCTGTAGAAAATTTTTTGATGGATTCTCATATAGAAATTATATAAAGAAATAATAGTATAATCGAAGTAAAAAAAATAACAGGAGATGGATTAGCTCCTTTTGTTGAAAATTTTCTTTTAAATGATAAAATTGGATTTAGTTAGATTTCTTTAAAAGATCATGATCTCTTAACAAAATTAACTACTTTAAATTAAATAAATAATATAAAAACATTAAAATTGGATATGGGATTGATTTATAATTCTTCAGTTTAATTAAGTGAAAATGGATTAACTTTGATAGCTGAAAAATTTATTTATAACGAAGAAAGTTATTGTGAAGAACTTTTATTATTTTAATTGCATCTTCGAATACCTACTGTCAAAGCAATAGTTAAACCCGCCCAGAAATTTCGAGACAATATAGCAGCTTAAAAGAGACAAGGAAGTTGTCAATTAAAAATAAAGGTTATTGTCTTCTATTATTCATTATATCTTTTAGATGAAGGACATGACTTATTGTTTAAGGATTTATTTTATTTTGAATATATAAACATTGAAAGACTATAATTGTAAGTCACAAATTTTAACAATCAAAACTGTAAATCACTTTATACTAATGGTGAGAATTGGATGAAATTTCAATAGACTTACAATAGATAATATAAAACTAAATATCCTTTGAAATACCTTGATGTGTCTCGTAATGAGTTTGTATCTGAAAAAAAAGTTTGGTCTGATTTTTTGAATTTTAGTATTTTCTCAGACATGATGCCTGATTTGGAAACTTTCAATATTAATTTTATGGCAATCAATGATTTAATTACTGAATATATTGTAGAAAATGCATTAAATTACCTTAATCAAAAACCTAGGAATTTTAAACTTCCAGTTAAAAGAATCAATTTTTCTTAAAATTCATCATTAACTGCAATTGGATGGAAGAATATTTTTGATAATTTTTTCTTGCATCCTAAAGTGGATTTAATAGAGCTTAATATGATGAGTACAATGTTGGATTCTTCCGAGAAACTTGATGTTATTTACAATTGTTTTAGAAATAGAATAAATAAAACACCCACTAAAAATCTAAAATTGGAAATGTTTCTATGTTACAATGTAACAATAAAAGATATGATTAAACCATTTTTAGCTAAGCCTCCAATTGATTATAAGCCTCCCCCTCATCTAGCAGTATAAATAGATTATGAAAGTTGGAAATATGGTATCTATGATGGTATACCTGAAGAATATGGAGAAAAAGTCTTAAATTATTAAAGACTATTTTATTAATATGCTGAATTTGAAGACACAGGGAAATGGAAAGAATTTGAGGATGTTAAGATCTCTACATTTCATCTAGATTTTTGTGAACATTACTTAAAGAAAATGAATAGCTATTTTAAATAACATTAAATAAAAAATCCATAAATTTATTTGAATCTTAATACACTAAAAGTATTTACATCTATTTTTAGATACACAATGGAAAGGCCTGGAAAACCTTTTCCTTATCAACTTATATTTTAAAGGGAAACATTTAGATTTCTTAAAACTAGAGGAAGCATAATATACAAAATAAATCTCATATAGAGTGAATTTCCAAACTTAGAGATGATTAGTTAATATGATGTTATAAATATTTGGAAATAAGTTAAAAGTTGGAGATCGTCAATAGATTAAATATAAATTGAGTATTCATTAAATGACGATCTTTGTGAAGAAATGCTTAGATAAGGATACACAGAGAAAGATATTATATAATTAATTAGAATTATACCACCAAAATCTGTTAGAATTTAAGGAGGTTTAAGTCTGCCAGCTATAAAAGGATTATATTCAATACTTTATGATTCTCATTATTTTCAATACTCTACAGTTAATTATAAATTTAACTCATTTTTGAATACTGGTATAGGTTATGCACTTAGAGAAACTGCTTATAGTTATTAAGACAAAAATGTTTTTTCAAGTAAAATGAAAAGAATGTTTTATTCAATCTTTAATTTTTTTGTTTCCAAAGCAGATAAATTTGAGTTTGATACTGAAATTTAAAATTTAAATACCTACTTATCTAATAGAAAAATGTTTTTCTTTTTGATTGCATTAAATAACATAGTATTTTGGATAGTTACTTTGATTTCACCATACTTTTTTTCACATTACTATAATGGTGATTCTACTAAAGAAGATAAAGAATATTATTGTATAGCAGGTACTAGTAATGAGGCTAATTATGTCTATTATGCTTTTGCTGTTATTTCTACATTTATTGAGGCATTTCTATTTTATTAGTTTTAATTATAGATTCCTAATCATATTGATAAAATAGAAATTAAAATTGAAAAGGTCTAAGAGGAAGTAGAAGAAGCCCCTATCAATAATATTAATCAAGGTTAAGAAATCAAAAGTAATTAAGTTGCTCCATAAATTTTTGATAGAGCCAAAAAAACATATATAGATGTTTAAAAAGCTTTTTAAGTGCATCAAAAAAAATTTGCAGAATCTAAGGTTTTATAAATATTTTTAGTCCTCTTAAATTTAGTGTTTTCATAACTCTATAAATTTGATCTGTTTAATGATGTTGTTTTTATCTTAACTTGTTATTATTGTGATGAAAGAATACTTTTTATTTTAAGTCTGATAATCACAGCTGTCACTTAAGGAATTCATATTCTTTAATATTTATATTTGTTGTTTGTTAGAATTACTTAAACAGAAACGACAGCTAAAATCTTATCTACAAAATTTATTAATGATATTTATCAAATTGCATTCCTTGGCAGAAATCAAGCTCTTAGCAATTAGTTAGATAAAGTAGCCCCTTATAATGTTTCTATTATTCCAAATATATGGCTTACCAGAACTTTTCTGCCAGATTAAGCTGGTAGAAGTATGAGTAATCCCATAAAAGCCTATTTTATGCAATTTATGCTTGAAGACTTTCCATAAACAGCTTTGTAAGCATATTTTGTTATTAAACAAGGTTTACAAAAAGGAGATTTATCAGGGTAAGTGATACTCATTATAATTACATCAATCTACAATTTTATGTCTTCATTTTATCTGTAAGATTTATTTTTAAATATTTTAGATTTATGTCAATTAGACCTTCTACTTTGAATTAGGATGATTTTGATCGATTATCTAATATTAAAAAGGCTTAATACTTAGATATAAAGGAGTAATAATTAAAGTAGGAACAAAATTAATTGAAATTATACACAGAAATATTCCAAACTCCCTTTAGAGTAGCCTCACCTATTAAATAATAGTTAGATGAGGAACATGAATAGTTATTGTGACAGTTTATTTCTTGAAAATTGAATGTTATTTAATATGTTAAACATTATATAATTTATATAAATATTATATAATCGTTTCAAAATGAAAACGGATAGTTAATTTAAAGTGATTAAGTTGAATGATTGAGAACCTTCAGCTATAATTAAATTAATGAAGATTGCGATATTGTTAATTTTAGCAGTTTCACTTAATGCAGTGTCAACAGACTTGAATAGATAAGCTTAAAAGCATGTTGATGCCTTAATGAAAACAAATTGGGGATAAACAATTTTATAATTGGCTGAATTACATGCTCATACAGGCGGAGTATTATAAGACTTAGTAGGAGCAATTGAAGAAATGATTTAATAAATGTAAGATGAATTGGATGAAGTTGAATATAATTATGGAGTTAGAACTAATGAACACAACTCATTATCATTGTAATATACACAAGAAGTTTAAGATGCTGACATCGGTATGATATTAAAATAAAATGAAAGATATTTAAAGAAGTGCTGATACATTAGAGAACTTACTTTATCCAAGAAGAGAACAATTAAAGGGAAAAATCTAATAATTGATGGATTATTAAGAATTCAATAGAAAAACAGTTGATGAAGAAACTTTGATCAGGGAATAAGAACATGAAGCATTTGAAGCTTAAGTTGCTGAATTGAATGATGCAGTCGGTGCTACTGATGATGCATTAAATTTGTTAAGTACCTTGACAAATCCATCATTGGTTTAGATTTAAAAATTCTAAAGCAATTTGAGAAAGATTGAAGCCAGAATTCAACCACACTCATAACACTAAACTTTAATTAAAGCTTTAATTACATTAGCTTCAGAATAAAACTTTTCAGATTAAGGAATCATCAAATAAATAGTAGATAAATTGAATGAATTCAGAAATGCTGTTGTTGATGCAATAAATGCCGCTACTGCTCAAGAAGCTTAAGATGTTTAAGATTATGAAGATAGAATTGAATAATTGGATGCTGAATATGCTGAATTCTAAAGATAAATAACCAAGGTAACAATAGATTTGAATGCTACTTAAGGTAATTATTAATGAAAAATAAAATAGAAAAAATTGAATAATTTTTATCTTTCTAAGCATAAAGATAATCTGACAGAAATACAGCATAAGCTTTACTAGATTTGGAGAATGAGTAATTTGCAGATGATACTTAAATTTATACTGACTTGAAGAACAAATTGATCAGAGATATTTAAGTGACTGAAGAAGCATTTAGTTTAGTAAAGAGTGTTGATTTCAGCAGAATAAAAGTCTGATTGAATATATATATAATATTAATAAATTTAAATGGATATTTCTAGAAATAAAATTTAATTTATAGTATAAAAGTAATAGTTGTATTTTGATTGGAATTAAAAATTAATTTGAGGTAATAAAATGTTAAGCAAATTATTCAGACCAACATTAAAAGTGAACTAACACACTGTGAATGCATTCAGTAGTAAGGTAATGAAAGGAGAATATGTCATTGGTATTGATTTGGGAACAACAAACTCATGCGTATCTATAATGGAAGGTATAGAAGAAAATAATAAATGATTAGCTGGTACACCAAAGGTTATAGAGAATGCTGAGGGTATGCGTACTACTCCATCAGTAGTAGCATTTACAGCTGATGGTTAAAGAATAGTTGGTGCTCCAGCTAAAAGATAAGCAGTAACAAACCCAGAGAATACAGTATATGCTACAAAAAGATTAATTGGTAGAAGATTTGATGATCCAAATGTTTAAAAAGACATTAAACATTTGAGTTATTCAGTTATAAGAGCATAAAATGGAGATGCTTGGGTTAGTTTAAAAAGTAAAATAATAATTTATATCATAAGGTGGTTAGACATATTCTCCTTCTTAAATTGGAGCATTTGTATTAATGAAAATGAAGGAAACTGCAGATGCCTATATTGGAAAACCTTAATCAAAGGCTGTGGTGACAGTTCCAGCTTATTTTAATGATTCATAAAGATAAGCAACAAAAGATGCAGGTAAAATTGCAGGTTTGGATGTTTTAAGAATTATTAATGAACCAACAGCAGCAGCTTTAGCATTTGGTTTAGAAAAGAAAGATAATAAGATTATTGCTGTATATGATTTAGGAGGTGGTACATTTGATATTTCAATTTTGGAAATTAATGCTGGTGTATTTGAAGTTAAAGCTACTAATGGTGATACAAGTTGTGGAGGTGAAGATGTTGATTCTATTCTTTCTAATTGGATTAGTTCAGAATTTAAAGCATAATCTGGTGTTGATATTTCTAAAGATAAAATGGCTGTATAAAGAGTTAGAGAAGCTGCAGAAAAAGCTAAAATTGAATTATCATCAACAACATAAACAGATATCAATTTACCATATTTAACTGCTGATGCTTCAGGACCTAAACATTGTAATCTTAAATTGACAAGAGCTAAATTAGAATCATTAACTGAAGATTTCCTTAAAAAAACAATTAAACCCACTGAAAATTGTATTAAAGATTCAGGATTAGATAAAAGTAAAATAGATGAAGTCATTTTGGTTGGTGGTATGAGTAGAATGCCAAAAGTATAAAAATTAGTATAAGATTTATTTAATAAACCACCTAATAAATCAGTTAATCCAGATGAAGCTGTATCTATTGGTGCTGCTATTTAAGGTGGTGTCTTAAAAGGTGATGTTAAAGAATTATTATTATTGGATGTTACTCCACTCTCTTTAGGTATTGAAACTCTCGGTGGAGTCTTCACTAAAATGATTCCAAGAAATACAACTATTCCTACTAAAAAAAGTTAAACTTATTCTACTGCTAGTGATAATTAAACTGTTGTTTCTATTAGAGTATTCTAAGGTGAAAGAGAAATGGCTGCTGATAATAAATTATTAGGATAATTTGATTTATCTGGTATTCCACCTGCTCCAAGAGGTGTTCCTTAAATTGATGTCACTTTTGATATTGATGCCAATGGTATCGTTCATGTCTCTGCAAAAGATAAAGCTACTAATAAAGATCATTCTATTACTATTTAATCATCTGGTGGTTTAAGTGAAGCTGAAATCTAAGATATGATTAATAAAGCTGAAAAATATAAAGATGAAGACAAAAAAAGAAGAGTAAATATTATATTCTATATTCTAGGAACTTGTTGATTTGAAAAATGAAGCTGATGGAGCTATCTTTAATACGGAAAAATCACTTAATGAACATAAAAGCAAATTATAACCAAATGAAGTTTAAGAAATTGAAAGTGCTATACAAAATTTAAGAGTACTCTTAACTGAAAATCTCACTGCTAATGATGTTCAAAGACTTAAAGATGCTGTTGAAAATGTTAAAAATTCAGCTATGAAAATCGGATAAGCTATGTATTTTTATTCTTTTAAACTTTTAGGTATCGAAATACTGGAGGAGCTAGTGAATAATAATAATAACAATCTTCTGAATAAACTGGAGAATAATAATAGTAATCAAACTAAGAAGGAGGAGATAATAACAACAAATAAAATTGATATATTATGTTATTAATAGTGTGCAAATCTATAATTCTGTTCTTATTAATATTATTTTGTTTTGTTAAAGCTTCTTTCATTTTTTCATTTTTCATTTTCTATCACTTCCATATAAATGTTCCTATAGTCTTTTACTTGTAACTCTCTTATTTATATAATTATTATAAACCATTACAGAAATTGACAATCAAATCATCTAGCTATATCTGAATAGGAGAATGTAATGGTTAAAATTGATAAACTGTTATTTATTTAGAATTTTAGTATTGTTATTTTTCCCTTCCATTATTCGTGAAACAATTATATGGTTTATAGATAATTATTATTCTATTATTTCGATTTTATTCATTTTATAAACATTCCATATGAAAAGAAACTTTACTTAATTATTATTCAATCATTTAAAATCCAAAATTTATGTAGTTTATTTATGATTACAAAACTCCATGTTTTAAAACTATGCAAAATGTGGAGTAAATGATTTCTATAATTATTGGAATTAATAACCTTACGATAAATGTCACTTAATTTGAGTCATCCAATGTTATTATAAAATGTAAAGAGGATGAAAATTGATCTTTTATTAATTATAAAAAATAATTGCTTCTTATAGACTCATATTAAGTAAGAAAGACTTTTATATCTCGATTTAGATTGCTTATTAATAGAAGCGATTCCATATTTGTTGATATCAAATTTTAATAATGAATAATTCATTTATACAATATATATTTAATCAATTTTTGTAAATTCTAATTTGCTAAGAGATCTTCATTTGGCAAATAGGACATAATTACAAATTTTTACAACATTTGAAACAAGTAGAATTATGTTTACAAGGAAGGAAAAGTGCATCTCGTTCATTTTCACGACATAATGTACAAAAGTTGTATTCATTATAATTAATACTGAATTTGTCTAACTGGCAAAGATATTAATTAACAGTTCCAATTCTGATGATAGTAATTTCATCATCTAAGGTGATTGGATAAATAGAACTTGATTATCCATCTGGAGATAATCTTAGCCAAGTGCTTTAATAGATACAATATATACCCATTAGTGGATGAATGATCTTCAATTGTAACATTCTTGTCAACTAAATAGAATTTAGCATGTAAATTAGAGAGATGATGATCTTCAGGAAAAGCAATATCAGCATTAGTTTTTCTACCAAGAGTGACTGATGTTTTGTCTTAGTCAAGATGAAAAGTAATTTATTCTTCAGAGTTAGGTCCTTCAAGAACTAGGAGTTCAAGTTGAATTCCATCAGAGATTTATTCTAATTGAATTACTTAAAACAAATTGCTTCCTAATTCAATGAGCATATCTTGAAAGAGATTCATTCTTTTTTAAATTTTAATNTTATTTTGTTTTGTTAAAGCTTCTTTCATTTTTTCATTTTTCATTTTCTATCACTTCCATATAAATGTTCCTATAGTCTTTTACTTGTAACTCTCTTATTTATATAATTATTATAAACCATTACAGAAATTGACAATCAAATCATCTAGCTATATCTGAATAGGAGAATGTAATGGTTAAAATTGATAAACTGTTATTTATTTAGAATTTTAGTATTGTTATTTTTCCCTTCCATTATTCGTGAAACAATTATATGGTTTATAGATAATTATTATTCTATTATTTCGATTTTATTCATTTTATAAACATTCCATATGAAAAGAAACTTTACTTAATTATTATTCAATCATTTAAAATCCAAAATTTATGTAGTTTATTTATGATTACAAAACTCCATGTTTTAAAACTATGCAAAATGTGGAGTAAATGATTTCTATAATTATTGGAATTAATAACCTTACGATAAATGTCACTTAATTTGAGTCATCCAATGTTATTATAAAATGTAAAGAGGATGAAAATTGATCTTTTATTAATTATAAAAAATAATTGCTTCTTATAGACTCATATTAAGTAAGAAAGACTTTTATATCTCGATTTAGATTGCTTATTAATAGAAGCGATTCCATATTTGTTGATATCAAATTTTAATAATGAATAATTCATTTATACAATATATATTTAATCAATTTTTGTAAATTCTAATTTGCTAAGAGATCTTCATTTGGCAAATAGGACATAATTACAAATTTTTACAACATTTGAAACAAGTAGAATTATGTTTACAAGGAAGGAAAAGTGCATCTCGTTCATTTTCACGACATAATGTACAAAAGTTGTATTCATTATAATTAATACTGAATTTGTCTAACTGGCAAAGATATTAATTAACAGTTCCAATTCTGATGATAGTAATTTCATCATCTAAGGTGATTGGATAAATAGAACTTGATTATCCATCTGGAGATAATCTTAGCCAAGTGCTTTAATAGATACAATATATACCCATTAGTGGATGAATGATCTTCAATTGTAACATTCTTGTCAACTAAATAGAATTTAGCATGTAAATTAGAGAGATGATGATCTTCAGGAAAAGCAATATCAGCATTAGTTTTTCTACCAAGAGTGACTGATGTTTTGTCTTAGTCAAGATGAAAAGTAATTTATTCTTCAGAGTTAGGTCCTTCAAGAACTAGGAGTTCAAGTTGAATTCCATCAGAGATTTATTCTAATTGAATTACTTAAAACAAATTGCTTCCTAATTCAATGAGCATATCTTGAAAGAGATTCATTCTTTTTTAAATTTTAATATATGTTCCTGTTGTACTTCCTATATCCCTAATATAAAACTTAAATAATGATAAGATACTATCATACCTTGGAATCTTAATAGATAACTTCAGCATGGAATCTGCTAATATTTTCTTCCAAAATAAGAATCTGATTACTAGAATGTCTTCCAATCTTAGCTCCTATTTGTTTGATACAATAGAAATTATTTTGTTAACTTTCTAAAGGTTATAGGATGAGTTAATTTTCAGTTTGATTGTTAATTTTGTTTTAAGATTGGTGCAACTCATCGAATTGATTAATTATAGATTAACATTATTTATCTTAAGAAGAATTATGATTCTTTAAGAGAGTAAAATCTTCATTAGGTTATTTTTTGATGGTAGTGACTTTAATTTAGGATAAATATGTGCTATATTCTTTCAATCCTGTAGTTATCCCTACCAATTAGAAAATGGTTACAATTGATCAATTTCTTTTTGATAATTTTTTAATTGACACCCAACTCTTGTTCTATATCATCTTCTGTAATTTCTTCTAGGACTGAGCCATCAATAGATAAACTTACTAATATATAAAAAGATTATAAGTACCAAACTTATCTTCCATTTATGCAAGTCCAATGAATTAGAGCCAGATAACTACATCTGAGACTTGCCATTTCTTGGGTTCTTTTGGTAAGAGTAGATAAAGAGAATCATAATCCATTTATAAAATATTAATATTCCTGTACTAATTTAATGAGAAAATAAAGATCATTTAATGAAGGCAATAACAATAGTAATGTCATCAATTACTTCATCCTCTCTTTACCAAGCTTCTCTTGCTAATTAAACTAATTTTTAACAAGCTCCTTAAGTATCATCTTTTTTATAATATTCATAAACTATTTCTACAACCTATTCATTAGATAGAAATCTAATTAATATATTAATAACAAATATACTCCCAAATTCCATCTGAAGCTACAACTATAAATTTATCACATGGTAATAGAGAATGTTTAATAATTTCAGGTTCACAAATTACTCCAACTTCACTAGCAACATAATCTCCGAAACTTCTTGACATAGCTAATCCAGGTACATCTTCATCCATTTTCCAAACTCTTGCTGGTCCAATTGGATTACCATCTTCATCACTATATGCTTAAACTCTTCCTCCTCTTTAAATAATTCTTGCTTATTCTAAAAAACAATCTGGCTTATGATCCTTTGATAATTCTATCACTGATAATTTATTATCCATCCTTCCTATTATTGCTCTACTATCTCCAATATTTGCACAATATAACACATTATCAAAAGATAATACAACTACTGTTGTTGCACCTGAATATGTAATATCTATTCCACTGTCCATCAATTCCTCATTTGTCTACTAAAAACAATTCTTTAGTACCAAATTTATTTATCTATTTTCTATTTTTAAATTTACTTATCTCTCTCATAACATGATGTCATATGCATTACTCCTTATTCTATCAATTCAGGTAGTACTTCCTATAAAAACTTTGCCACTTAATGACCATTTGTCCCATGTCCATCAGATACTTATATATACCAATCATTTTCTCTCTTACTAAACTTTTATATTAATTTATATATGTCTTAATTTGTTTTTGTCTATCCATTATACAGCATTCCAGCTGCACTTTAACCATTTGCTTTCACTATCTATAATTACATTGTTGAAATATCTGGATTACTTATAGAACGTGGACCCTTAAATAATTTTGGTTTAAGTATTAACTATTATTATTATTTAGTCATTTCCATTAACTTTTAATACTTTTTCTAAATTGTTTATTAACTATAAACATCTTTTGCTTATTATATTTAAGATTGCTTATTTTCATTTTTCTCTTATTTTATTTTAAGCAATAAAGAAAGAGCACTAGATGATAAATTTTAAGAATTCTCTTTTGTTTCAACTAATTTACTATTTTAACGTGCATGTGTTTTCTTTAATAGAACACTACTCACATCTTTTAAGTCTTTACCACTTGCAGGTCTTGACTTTTTTGCTTCTATTTTTGAATTTCCTCCACTATTTCTGTTACTAGAAACTAAGTATCTAATTAATATAACAATCAATTATTTACTTATTTGCTGTCATTATTGGAGATTTTAAACGCCCCTATTATTCTTATTCATTTTTCCTTTTCAATAAACTAGCATATAATTTATCTGGAGATATTTATGAAACCTTCTATTTCATCTAAATATTTTGTTAGTTAAAATATAATTTATAATATTATGAATTAAAATGTCATTGATGTATTAGAGTTTCAAACCACTTCTTAAGCACTATTTTCTAAACAAACCTATTACACTATTACAGGATAGAATAAATAAAAAAATTTTGAAGTACATAGTAGATTCAAAAATTTCTTTGCTTTAAAAAATCTTTCGTCTTTATAATGTTTAGGATGATAGGTACCAACAAGTCTTCCAGGAAAGAAACATTTTTTAATAGTAATAATTCAACGACTTTCAATCATTGTTAAATTTCTTTAAATATCTTTTGTTTAAAATTGCTTCATCTGCTTCAATCTGAAGTAGTACCTTTAATCTTATGAAGATCTAAAGATGAAGAAATCTATCAAATATTAGAGTCAATAAAATTCTCATTCACCCAAAACCTTCTCTAAAAATATTAAACTACATTTCTTGATATTATATTATCTAATATTTTCAAATACTATTTTACTTTCTTTTGTATTCTAAACTTCTTTACATTTTCAATAATTAATGTAATTATATTTCATTTATGTTTATAAATGTTTATTCTCTAAAAGAAATATTAGTCTCTTTTATAATTAGATTATGGAATTATTGATGAAATTTATATTGATAACTCTATACTTATAAAAATGGACAATAAATATATATTCTAAATCTTTGAAAAAGATTTATTTGCAATAAAATTTTATTTCCTTTTGGTCAGTACCACAATTTCATCTTCTTTATTATGTTTAACAATTTCTTTCATTAACTAACTATATAAGTGACGAAATTAATTCTAATTTACAGCTATATTTATTATTCTTCAATAAATGTGATTATTTCTTATTTCCTAAATGTTTAAAATAAATTATAAACTATTTTTGATGATTTTTCTCTTTTTTTTCATCTTTAGAAAGTAAAAATATATTTATTACAATTAATGGATGTTCAAACTGTTAAAAAATAGTTTTTGAATTGATTTTCTATGTATTAGTGCTATCAATTACTGAACTAATGGATGATTGAAGAAGTCTAATTTAATAAAATTTTTTAATTGTAATTCAGTATAAAATTTTAAATCACTGGGCCTAAAGACATGTAGATTAGAATAAAAGTGAATGATTGGTTATTTATCATAAGGAGGATTAGTAGAAGGCATTCTACCATTTAATTACTGAAAAGAGATTTCATAGTTGTTTCATTATATATTTATTTATTATATTTGGTTGTTCAAATATCTTCATTTTCAAGTTCACCTCTTAAGCTTTCAACCATTTGATCAGTTTATCTTTATAATTCTTCAGGTGATAATTCACTTTAACCAGGAGTTTTTTCATATGCAACTTCTAAATCCCAACTTGGTGCTTATTCCATTTATGGAGTTTCTGATTATTAGAATCTACTTTCAAATTGAGACATTTCCAAAAGAGATAATTCTTCTGGAAGTAATTATAATGGTTAACCCTTCTCATCTAATAAATCTAATTTATCTATTGCTCTGACATAATCTTAATTTTCATCAAATGGAATATGAGCCATAGGAGGAGATGGTGAATCTTCAATTAATGCTTATTTTCCCATATCTGGTGATGAACCATCATTTGTGAATAAGTCTGCAAAATTAATCTCCTTTTAAGGAGTTTAATCTAATGTTTCTTCTACATAAACTTAATTTTCATCTTCACTAACTTATGCAAAAGACTTATGAGATTTATTCAAAGCATTATGAATAGCATTTCTTTCTTTTGATTCAGCTTTTTCAATTCTATCCTAGTTTGTTAGAGCATTCACTACTACTTCAGAAGAAGAAATTACTCCTACATTCCCACTCAAATCTTACGACTTTCCAACATTTTAAGATCTATATTGCAATATAACAATTTGTTACTCTAATTCAACTAAATCTTATGTATGCTTAGTTCCTTTATTTTATTTCTGTTTTCTGATATTTGCACCATTTGTTAATACCAATACCAAAATAAGAATAGCTATATGTCTCATTTTTTTATTATATTAATCCGTTTTATATACATCCTAAATTAAAATTCAATATAATCAAATAGAGTATTTTATCATTTTTTAGTCCTTACAACAATAACTATTTTTGAAGAACATCTATCAGATAATGTTTAAAAAATTATTGAAATTTTGAATCTAAAAATATTTATATTTAATTTTTATTAAATAAACTTATTCCAATTCACTATCAAAGGTAAACTAAAGAAATATTAAAAATTTTTTGATATTAAGGCTCTATTTTTGCTTTTTTAAAATTCTAATAATTTATTTTTTCCTCTAAAATATTAATTATTTAAACAATACTTCTATTTATTATCAGTTTAAATTTTATAAATATGTTAAAGGTTCATAATACAGACTCTAATAAATATATGATTAAAATTACACTAGATAGGTCCATAATAATAGAAATATTTTTTAGACAAATTATATGCTCAAAAACTAAGTAATAAATTTAATATAAAACTAAAATTTCAAATAAAATTTAGATCATGAATAATACAATATTCCTAAAATGGAATTATTTATAAATTATTAGAATTTTAGAAGAAATAATCTTTTTTAAAATTTATGAAATTTATTTAAACAAGGAAAGATTGGCAACTTTTTTATCGTATTAATATGATATATATCAATAACAAAAAAATTAATTCAATATAAAAGACTTATTTAAATAGGGCAATGATGATCTATCTAGTTAAACTATCCACCTTTGTTTATTTATGTGATTTTTAATAATTTATATTTTGTCTGAGAACAAATTCATTAGGTTTTTGAGTGTTTTTTCTATTTCACT